ATTTAGTGATGCATATGAATACCACTAGCAATCAGTTGAACGGGAACAAGTACATGCAGTTTCGGTTTGGGATGGCGGAATATGGACTCGTCCGCCTTTTAGGGTACCGGGTACGTTTCTGCATTTTGACTTTGTTTAGGGTACATATCTGTATACAGAAGCGTACCATGGGTACGTATCTGTAGTACCTGTGCCGACAACGACCCCTTCAGCAAGAATACGACACAATGGGAATGGAATCGTCCTAGGGTACGTTTCTGTATTCTCATTTTGGCCAGGGTACATATCTGTATACAGAAACGTACCTGGGGTACACATCTGTAGTACCCGTGCCGACAACGACCCCTTCAGCGTTACTTGCCGCGACGACTGAATAAACCACTTGTCCGTGACTCGTGTCACCGGCTGACAAAACCACTTGTCCGTGACTCGTGTCACCGGCTGACAAAACCACTTGTCCTTGACTCCTCTCACGGCTGACTAGAGATGCGATGTGACAACACGTGATATAGGGTCATGTGTTCACTCTCCTACCCCACCTCTCTATTGGTCTCATAGCTGAGTTGCTGGACTGAAGCTTAGTCTCTGAATGTATGCAATTTTGATAAAACAAATAGCTCCTTTTTAAATTGAAAAGGAGCTCCAGTGAAGTGGGAGACTCAGAAACTGAGGAAATCTTGCTTCATCTAGGGCTTTAGCATTGCAGAAAGGGCATGTCGCAAAGGAAAGTAACGCCGCCCAGGGACTGAGACAGATAGCTGAGTGACCGCACAATGGCAGTAGGTCGGTATGGACTGTAATAAGATGGCGATGATACGTACATGGTCTTGTGAGTCTTGACATGCGGTCTCAGCTGCACGCCCATGTTCCTGGCTGTGTCAATCATTCTCTGACAGTTCCTCTTCACCTTGTCGATGTCCACCAGCAGACACGGGGTGGGGACGTCGGCAACGGTGGCGGGAAGTGCGTCGTCAGACATCGCGAGCTCTATGCCAACTGGTGACGTTTCAAATGAAAGCTTCACTACAGGCGGCTCACTGCCACGTCACGATACACTCCGTTAAGGTTGAGTGGAGATTTTCATGGTTTGGGTTTCTAGTAAAGCTAAGCTACCGGGTGGATGGAAAAAACCCAGCTGGGGCTGGGGGTGGAGTTTGGAGTTTGGGGAGAAATGATTGGACATTTTAGAGACAGTAAACTTTCTTTCGGGCACAGCTTCACAATATACCTTCTATCGAGGTCTTTGAATGGCATGTAGAAATGATAAACACTAACAGTGAATATTATTGATGTCAATTTATGGATGCCAACTTCTGCTCGTTGCTCATATTACACTAGTCGACATCTATAAAATGCCCCCTTTGTACCTCTTATTGTTTGTTTGTTTCACACCTTTCACCAGATGTTTCAGAGCAAAGTTCTCAAGGGCCACGTAAGTAGGTTAAATGTGTGTTTAATTCTCGTGGCACGTGCTCATAATTTTGGAGTGTTAACCGCATATCACAATAATCTAAATATATCCAGTAAAATACATGTCATGTTGCAATACAATAGAGAGATACAAAGAACGCTGAGGAGCGAGGCGTGGTTTGTGAAAAGGTTTGTGACATGGCTCATATTTCCTTTTCGATTATTGAAATTAGTTCACAATTTTTTATCATGTCATCACAATATCATATTTTGTTCAAAATACATTGATTGTGTCATACAAAATGAGACGAGTAAATAGTCAAGTGTTTCGCGTTAGAAGACAGTAGAAGACTTGACAACAAACAAAATGTGGCAGCTCGAACCGATAGAAGCCGTTATTACTGTTGTTCTTATATGCACACATGATCTCATGGCATTCATTCATGTGCCATGTGGGGAATCGAAGGCGCGTATTCGAACGCATACACCATGAGACTACCCCGCCGCCCCCATTCACCAGATGAAGGAATGAGAGGAATACTCCGACACGCTGTGTTCCTTACAGTAGAGTAGTGGACATCCATTAACTCCTTATGTGTATCTACCACTCAAAACACCATTAGAAGCCGGGTCCTAGCGCCGTGTCGTGTCCAAGAAAATAACGGTATGAATGGTGAACCCTATCATGAAAATTCAGGTTAATAATGATAATAATAATCCCAAGTACACTGTCGTCAGGCTCCCCATTGTCCTCGGTGCCCTTGGTTTGGTACCTCCTGATATCTTGCCCCGGTTCTCCATCGAAAGTACAAACCTTCTGACACTCTGGGTAATGTAGAAGGCTGCAGTGTTGGGGAGTTGCAGCATTTTTAATCTGTAAAGCATAGTAATAATAATGATCTTGTGCCTTTTGATAAAGCCATTGAATTTATTTATATCATTGAGTGTTCTGTCCCTTTTTACAGCAATGTGATTAACAAGATTCAGGAAAAGCATGATAAATATGCGGACCTCGCCTTTGAAATGTCTCGCTTGCATCCCAAGTACACTGTCGTCAGGCTCCCCATTGTTCTCGGTGCCCTTGGTTTGGTACCTCCTGATCTCTTGGCGCAGATCAGAAGAGTGCCCGGGTTCTCCACAGGGTGTACATCCCTTCTGACACTCTGGGTAATGCAGAAGGCTGCAGTGTTGGGGAGCCTTCATATTCTCCGGAAAGTTCTTGGTGGGTTCGACTAGGCAGCGTGTCCTGGGAGAAGTCCCATTCGCTGTCTGGGCTGCGTGTAGAGGGGGCAAGGGCCCTGAGCTGATGATGAGCCTTACCAGCCTGACTGTGCCAGGATCACCCGAACCCTCTCTGCTGCATTGTCATCTTTAATCTGTAAAACATAAAATGGATTCATATATTGCGCTAAACTCCACACCAAAAGGTGCACAAAGCGCTAACAGAGTTCATAGATATAACATGTTTACAATCCATTGCTATTGTACAGGTAGGTCTTAAGATGCTTCTTGAACTAAGTTAGAGTTGGAGTTGATTTCAGATCAATAAGGGGAGCGTTCCATTCAACGGCAGCATTATGTGCGAAGGATCCACCAAACGTCTTGAGCTTGATGTCGCGGACCTTAAGCAGCATTTGATAGCTGGAACGGAGAGTTCTTGTCGGGACTAGGTCTTCGACAAGATCACATAGATAACCAGGAGCTGTATCATTGATACACTGATATGTGACTGACTGGCTGACTGAGTTTGCTTTACGCCGCTTTTAGCAATATTCCAGCAACATACAGGCGGGGGACACCAGAAATGGGCTTCACACATTGTACCCATGTGGGGATTCGAACCCGGGTCTTCGGCGTGACGAGCCAACGCTTTAACCACTAGGCTACCCCACCGCCCCTGATATGTGAGGGCGAGGATCTTATAATGTATCAGTTCTTTGACCGGCAGCCAGTGGAGATACCTGAGTACTCGAGTGATGTGACATGACTGTTTTGACAATGAGACAATTATAGCCGCTGAGTTCTGGGTGTTTTACAGCCTTCTGAATTTGTTGTGCTGGAGCCACTACAAGCAGACTATTACAATAGTCAATCCTGGCGAGAATCATTGAACGTGCAAGTACTGCAGCTGTTTGTTCTGTGAGAAAGTGGCGTATGCTACCTGTGTTTCGGATGCGAAAATAGCATTTTTTGATGAGGTCATTGATGTGCTTGTCCATGTTGAGTGATGAGTCTAGCTTCACACCCAAGTTTCTAGCATCTGTCGAAAAGTTGATTTCATCACTGTCGACTGTGATATGAGTTGCTTTGATCTTTTGCAGCCTTTCCTCAGGTCCTAGGAGCAAAGCCTGTGTCTTATCGCTGTTTAACTTCAGCATGTTGGCGTTCATCCAGGCGCTAACTTTGGATGTACAGTTTTCCATCGTACTTAGTCCTGCCCCCAGTGACTGGTCATCAAGAGCAAAACTATTGTACACTTGCGTGTCATCTGCGTAATTATTGATCGTATAGTTACTAATGACTTGACAGACTTGCTTGCAATAAAGCGTAAATAGTACTGGGCTCAGTATCGAACCTTGGGGTACACCACAAGTCAAAAGAGTGTTGTCAGATGATGTAGCTATTAATGCTAACTCTCTGGTATCTGTCACTCAGGTACGAGCGGAACCAGTCCAAAACAACGCCGTCTAAACCATATTCAGTATGAAGTCGGTCTATTAGCAAGGTGTGGTCAACGGTATCAATGCAAATAAATTTGACAGGAGCAAAACAACATTTCCGTCATCAACACTGGTCCTCAAATCGTTTAAGACTCTATTGAGAGTTGCCTCTGTACTGAATCCCCTTCTGTAAGACGAGTAATAGATAGCAGGCCCTGAGATGACTGAAGGTGATCATGGATCTTGCTTTAACTGCTTTCTCTGAGATGTTGGACAAAAATGTCAGATTTGATACCAGCCGGTAAATTTGCAGTTTGTTGCGATCAAGATTAGGCTTTTCAATCAGCGGTTTAATAACTTGTCCTGAAGTCAAACTCAGATTTACAACATCTGTAATAACAGACAGGAGAACTGAACCTCCAGTAACAGCTTGGTAGGTATGGGATCAAGCTGACAGCATGTTGGTTTGGAACTCCGGATCAACTTCAGTATTTCACGGGGCAGTGGGGTAGTCTAGTGGATAAAGCGTTCGCTCGTCACGCCGAAGCTCCGGGTTCGATTCCCCACATGGGTACAATGTGTGAAGTCCATTTCTGGTGTCCCCCGCCGTGGTGTTGCTGGAATATTGCTAAAAGCGGAGTAAAACCAAACTCAGTCAGTATTTCACTGGAGTGAAATGGAGTGAATGCTTCCATGGTTACTGGAGTACTGTCTGTGTGAGACAACGTTTAGCAGCACAAGCACGAAACCTCACTGGACAGTTGACAGTGGACCAGACCCCACTGTGCCCCCACTCCACCCAACACATACCTCGTGTGTATTGCAGTATACAACCACGTGGCCGTTTAGTACTTACAGACACGTAAACAGTATCATACAAAGATCCTTCCAAGGTCTGATTTGTACAGTTTAAAGACGAACACGCAAATATTTTAAATCTAAAATAACAATTTTATTACTGTTTTAATGCCCCAAGGAAAAAACAAGTATGTTTATTTTAAAAGTTGCATCTTGAAATACAGAACCCCAAATCGATTACGGAATGCGAGCCGGTCACTGTCCCCTTGTTCTCTGACATTGTTTCCCTTGTATCACGTGATGTGCTCTAGTACCATCAGTCGAGCTGGGAGTGGTGAGGTATCTTTAACAGTCCACAAACAAAAATCGTAATTGGCTAGATGGAAACTTTCTTGTGGTTAATCTAAATATTTGTTGGCAAACGCTCTGCACAATATTCAAAGGTAGAGGCAGGATGCGTCCAATTCAATTCGGGATTCGAACCCACACACTCAGAGTAAGGCACTTAAAGGCCAGCACACAAAGTCAGCCATCTAACCCACTCAGCCATCGACTCTTCCACATATTAGTGCAGCTGTAACAAGCGCTGGATATATGACAGTTCCTTAAATCCCAAGTCTGTATTCAAATCCCGGATGGGACGCTACAGCCCGTGATATTCTCCCCTTTCCCACTGGTTACCAACCCCGGGTAGGACGCCACACCCCGACGATCTTCTCTCCGGAGTGCACATAATACAGGGGGTGGTTGTAGGCTGTGGAGCACGACTGAAACAGAGTACCATGTGTCAGGATAAGTGGTGAAGCGTTAAACCGCCCATTACTGAGGCCTTGAGTGTGAGACAGCCGAACACACTTCTCAACACACCCCCACCCCCCGCCTCTCTCCCTGAGTGCGCGCACACACACACAAACACCTATATAATATGAGTCCAGATATTTCTCCTTGCCAAATCTCCTATATATCTCCACAAGATCTTTCGCCGTTTTACAGCTTTCATTGTACACCTATACCGGCGAAGATCTTGTGCAGATATAAGGGAGATTTAGCAAGAAGTAATATCTGGACTCGTATTTTCTATATTTATAGCTTATACACCTGCAGAAATATGCATATATATATATATATAGACACACACACACACACACACACACACACACAAGTGATTTCTGCAGGTGTATAGGCTATAAATATAGAAAATACGAGTCCAGAGAGAGAGTGAGAGATTGAGAACGAAATGAAATAAACTACAATAGTAGTTCTACTGAGTACTTCCTTGATGACGTAATTTATTGTTTACTAAATAGATGCAGGTTGTGGAGATAAATATAGGGATTGGTCAACTTACATGATATGGATACAGAAACAGCAAGCTTCCCAGTGGGTAGTCTTTAAAGTCGATATCCCCCGTAGCTGGTCGGATCTTTCCGTGCTCCTGGCTCATCTCGACAAGTCTACAAGCAGAAGCCAGGACAGTGTCGTAATACTATGACATCACTGTGGTATGACATCACTTCATTACGTGAGGTCGTTGTCGTAACAGATGAACTGGTCCCGGTCCACAAAGCGTTCGTAGCGTAAAGGTGATCGTAACCCCCATGCTTTAACATTGGCCTTCGATCATCATAACGCTAAGATTGCTTTAGGCAAGTAGGCCCATCTACTTAACGATGAACGTCAGGTATACATGACTTCTTGGGAGATTATTCTCTGCCGACTCATCGAGTGTGCACCTTCTCCGGTCTCCTAAACACGATGCAACTAATAAATCACAAAAATCCTCCGCCCAGCTGTCTCTAGAACAAAGGTATATATATTTCTGCGTTGGAAAAAAACGTCTGTGTTTTGGGCTTCGTCAGGAGTATATATGATCATTTATAAGTCAAAGCCACACCCAGCAACACACCAGCCATCACTCGTCACCACTCCCTTCTTTCCGTAGCCCCCAAGAAGACTAGACCCCCTCTCGATGCTTGTTATGTGCGAAAATGCTTTGATAAAAATAACCCTAAGTAAATTAAATCGTTTATGGCATTGTTTACAAAATCATGAAAAATGTACATCGTCATATTGAAAGTACAACAGAATTGTGCTACCTAAGGTGAAGTTTTTAATAAGAATAATGCGATTGACGGGGAGAGATTCAAATACGCACACATGCATTTGTTTACATAACGGGTCCCATGGGTCCGATTGAGTTTATTTCTGACGATATTGCCTGCTTGTTTTGGAGATTGTACGTGCGCTTCTCAACATTGTTAGGAAATACAAGCATATTTATAAATCGCTTCGAGTTTCAAAACGATAATATTATATCTATATATAACTAATCAACTATAATCTTTTCACACTGGGCTCATATTTCACATCTACACATGTACAAGTGCTTCGGTGATATTAAGTACCATTAGAATCAAAAAAGGGATTGAGTTATCGTTCTTGTTTGAAGTAGTTCTGATGTTCATACGCCAATACGGAACCCTTCCAGACAGACACAAGCCGCTATTCGGCTTGTCCCGGAATAACACGAGTGAGTCACGAATGACCAGCCATATGACGGCAGCCAGGGGCGTAGCTACCATTATAAAAAAGCCCTGGGTTACACATGAAAATGAAAGTTGGGCAAGCTCTCAATACTATCTACATTACAATATAGCTTTGTAACCTATTACACGAAAAGAATTGGCTTGCTACGCGCCTGGCAGCCTAGTCTGGACAAGACAATCAAGTGATATTATGCGCAAAGATCAACGTAAAGATAATTCGACTTATTCTAACATGGAATGGTCATCCTAAAAAACACTTTTGGGACTATCATATACTTAATATTTTAGAGCATATATTTGAGAGCATGTGCAGATTTTCAACATGGGTTACAATGATTGTAAGAACATCAGAGTATGCGAACCAGGAACATCCACTGGTAAAACTGGTAAACACAAACTATCATATTAGCTACTCGTGAGGTCCTTGTGTCATCCTAATATCATCTGGTAATTCATGTACTCAATAAGTACATGTGAAGGGTTGCAAAGCAAAACAACCTTAGTCACAATTTCAAACTTTTCATGAGAACGAAAAAATAGAGTTCTTAAATATCTTGCAGTTTTTTGTACACAAGTCATTATTAAACCTTAGTAATGCTTGAAGCAAAGGCAATTAGGTACCGGACAGTCCGTTTTCCCCAAAATGTAACAGGAAATGAAGAAAATGATTATTTTTTATGTGCGGTACAAAGCAGAATCACCTTAGTCACATCAAAATTACAAAGCAAAATGAAAGGGTTAGTTCGCGCTCCCGTTTGCTTCTCTTGTGAAGTACATCTACTTCTATGGGTTTTTTTTTTTAAGATTCCTGATCTATCAATCCAAAAAGGTAGTGGTCTTGATCCCTTATGTTGCCAATGGCATAAAAAGGTTTCAAAAATCTTTTGAGCATCATCTTTCATTTTTTAAAAACATTTCTTCGACATTTCACAGGGATTAACTGTTTTCCTTTCACAACCTTTCCTCTTTAGTTGATGTATTCCATACCACAAACACTGTTTTGCTTTCTTTTATTTCGTTTCCATTCATCTGGATTAGACGTTTTTCGTTTCTCCAGAATTGTTTCGTGTTCATGTTTGTTTTCAGCATTCAGCACTTTAAACGAATCTGAAAGTTGTGCATCCTCAACCACTGTTGTGACAGCAATACCATCTTATGGTTGTGATTCTTCAACCACCGTTGTAACAGCAATACCATCAAGCGAAGATACATCAACTTGGGCAGCAACAACATCACTGTCAACCACCAGTAGAGCCTTATCTTTACATTCTTCACAATTAGGGTGTTCATCTTCTGACAAGTCCTGGGTATCCGGCACATATTCCAGATCTTTGTCGTCAGAAACATCTGAGAAACTATCCGGATCACTTTCACTGTCATGATCAAATATCATGTGAACAGCATCATCAGTAGAAAGTTTTTTTCTATTTTTACATCTATTTTGTGCCTTTCACAGTTTCCAGAGTGGATCGTGTTGGGTAAGATATGGAGTAAACCCACCTGCGGTGTGTCAAGGGGGGCTCTGATAAGGACTGTAGGATACAATGTCCAAAGCAAACTTCTCCAACATAATCGTTAACCAATTGTGACCATTGATTGATTTCACCATTTGGGTTGACAACAAGAAAAGCCAAACATGGATTGTGAACCAACTTTTGACTTGCTGTTGATGGAGGAACTGGTAAAGAATTGCATATTTCCAAACACCGTAGCTTTGGCATGGACTTTACAATCTTGAGTTGATCCTCTTCTTTGAGATCTTTCAATCCATGGGTTACCAAGTGGGTTAATCCTGAACATAGCTGAAGACTGTTCAATACATCATTGATATCATATCCGATCCATCCAGAGATAGTTAACTTCCTCAAATTGTTCAGTAAACTGACGCTGTGCAATGATGCTAGATGTACAGTGTTTCAACTTCAGGCAAAGGGGTAGGTATTCAGTTAAGTCAATGTGATGGTTCATCTTCTTGCGACAGTCACACAACTGCAGGTCCAACCAGAATTGTCTCGACCATAGGGATTTGCTTTGAGCTATCAGTTTCCAATATTAGCAGACAAGGGCCACATCCTTAACAATCTCCAAAGGGGAGAGGTACTGGAAAATCTCAACCAAAACTTCTGAAGGCAGTAGTTTTCCAATATATGAGATTTTTCAGAGAAATAAAGCTTTGATGGTTGTTATGTTGTTTTCTATCAAACCTACAGTGTAAAATGTTAACATTGTGAAATAAAGGTTACTTGCAGAAATGACCTAAGTCATGAAAATTCATTTTCACTGTTTAACTTCAGTAAATACAATATCATATTTAACCGCTAAAGTTGAAATACTATCCATTGAAATATTACCCAGTTAGGATTCTCTTATATCAAGGTGTAGCCATATAAAATTGAAAATCATGATGAAAAGAACTTACATGCAGAAAAACCTAGGTCACAAAGATTTGTTTAAACCAATTTTCTCATATGAATGTTATTCCTACATCAAAAGTGGTTGGGTTTTGTTGAAACTCACCTCAAATTCACCAGAATATGGAGAAATCGGACATTCTTCAAGGCAGCACTGCATCCAAAAACATTTGGACAAACTCACTTTCATACCTCCTTCTGAAGAGTTGTGTAATCATTACAAGGCAAAAAGACCAAGTCAAATAAGTTCCTGCCAAAACAACCTAAGTCTGACTTAGGCCATTTTAACATAATTCAAGATATTTCATAGTCATATTTCAAAAAGTAATATTCATATGAAGACCACAGTTTGATCACAGGGTAGCTGCCATCTAAAGCAAACATTTTGACATAGGTGGTTTTGCTTTGCAACCCTCCATGTACTCAGATCAGCTAGTACATGTACTTGCATAAAGGTTTTAAATGTTTGTTGGTAAAAATCAAAGCATCAAACCGTTCCTTGCGAATATTCACAACAATTACCTTGGCCTCAGCACATCAGTCTGATTCACTTGCTAAAAGCAGCGATATGTGTCGACAAAGCTCGTTATCAAACTCAAGACGTAAAGGGTTCGATCAAATGCTGAAAACACCGGCAGGAATCCCGATTAAAGTCTGTATAATTATGTTCACCTTGGCTTTTCACAAATTCAAAATCATGTCTATTTAAACCTGGGTTTTAACACGACACTGACCAGGAGTCCAGTTACCTCACTGAGTGTCGGAAGAAAGCCCACATTGTGGCAGATGTTTACTATTTTGGTGAAAGCCACAATCACAGGTATGGTGAAGCCACAATCACAGGTATGGTGAAGCCACAATCACAGGTATGGTGAAGCCACAATCACAGGTATGGTGCTGACAAACCTAGAAACAGGATCGTGGCAAGTCGGGGTTCGAACCCACAAGAATGGAATTTTCAAGGGACGCAACTCTGCACAGCCAATTGCAGCGCCTTAGATCCCTCAAATGTTTATTATTCAGGGAGCCATAAAGGTCACTGTCGGATTGAAAGAGGTTTTGTAAAGCTATACAGTCGAGCACCGTTGTCTCGATATTCATGAGACCAAGAATAAATATTGGTTATCCGAACTTCGAGACATGCGACCAGGGCATATCATCATATATCATTTAGAAACAACTTAAGAATCACAGGCTAGTCACGTGATTACACAAAACCCTCATTGGATTCTATAATCCGTTATCAGTAGTGTTTAATTGTAACAGTGAGTACTTCCTAATTAATTCCGTCTTAATTAATCCTAATCAAATCACAAACAAGTGACACCTTCAACTAAATTAGCCCGCTTCCCTTTGATTCATGCCGCACCGTGTGTAAACGTGTGGAAAGAATCTCAGTTCAGCCTGATACTTGCTCATGAAAGGTAGGTGAATATCGAGTTTCTTTGCAAATATCGAGTTAAAGGGTAATTTTGCTTATTGGTACCATGAAATTATATCGAGATATCTGTATCGAGTTACAAGAGCTTGAATAATGATAAATTGAATAAACAAGGGACGCCTCGTGAGAGATAGCAAGAGTAAAGCCAATATGCTCCTGGACCAGATCCAGTCAGTCTTCACGAAAGAGAACAAACATGAAGATCACCCGCCCATAGAAAGGAAAGCCATGAAGATCACCCGCCCATAGAAAGGAAAGCCATGAAGATCACCCACCATAGAAAGGAAAGCCATGAAGAACACCAACCCCTAGAAAGGAAAGCCATGAAGATCACCCGCCCATAGAAAGGAAAGCCATGAAGAACACCCACGCATAGAGAGGAAAACCATGAAGATCACCCACCATAGAAAGGAGCCATGAAGAACACCCACCCATAGAAAGGAAAGCCATGAAGATCACCCGCCCATAGAAAGGAAAGCCATGAAGAACACCCACGCATAGAGAGGAAAACCATGAAGATCACCCACCACAGAAAGGAAAGCCATGAAGAACACCCACCCATAGATAGGAAAGCCATGAAGATCACCCGCCCATAGAGGGGAAAGCTATGACCACCCGCCCATAGAAAGGAAAGCCACGAAGATCACCCGCCCATAGAAAGGAAAGCCATGAAGATCACCCACCCATAGAAAGGAAAGCCAAGAAGATCATCCACCATAGGAAGGAAAGCCATGAAGATCACCCGCCATAGAAAGGAAAGCCATGAAGATCACCCACCCATAGAAAGGAAAGCCATGAAGATCACCCACCCATAGAAAGGAAAGCCATATTAACAAGGACAGTGGCCCAGAGCATATTCCGAATACCATCCTACAGAAATGTGCGAATAACATCTTACCAGGCCGCAGTAAAATATTCCAACTATCCATCGATCAAGGAGTACTCCCCAAGGACTGTCTGAACGCAAACATGTCAAGCGTCTTCAAGAAGGGAGACAAACACACACCAAGCAACTACAGACCAGTCTCACTTACATGCGTCTGCTGTAAACTACTGGAACATGTAATCTGTCGTCACCTGATGAAACATCTCGAAGATAACAACATCCTAACCAACCTAGACCACGGCCTTAGGAGCGGCTATTCATGTGATACGCAACTCTCCAAAATGTCCATGACTTTATGCAAGCTTACGACCAGAAAATCCACACATAAACAACATCATTAAGAAAGCCAAGTCCACCTTGGGCTTCCTAAGAAGAAACATCAGCACGTGCCCAAAATCCAGCAGAAAATGTGCCTACCAGTCACTAGTGCAACCGATCATCGAGTGCGGCGCTGTAATATGGGATCCCCACTTGAAAAGGGACATTATGAACATCGAAAGAGTCCAAGTATTAACAGGTCACCGTGATTGAACTGGGATATTGCAGCATAAAACAACAAAGGCAATATGCCTTTTACTATCATGAAACATTTCTAAAAATCACAAAACATTCCTGAATTTAATATATTGGGAAGGCAGAACATGATATGGTAAAGGACATTGATAGGGAGTATTCTGCGGATAACTGACGGAGAGATGTACTGGCATACACCCCTATCCCCAAAGCTCCACAACAGCTCATCTGAGTACCTGAGATTGGGGTGGTCCTGCACCACACAGAACTCATCGCCGACCTGTTTCAAACCATCCTGAGACAGTGATGTGAAGCCACTGTTGGTCACTAGCTGCTTCTTGGAGGGCTTGTGGCTGACCACACGGGTGGCCACACGTACCGCCACGTCATCAAGGGTACACGCCCCTATTCGTACGTTCTCGTAGTCTGAAACAATGGTCCATCCAACAATCGTCAAACATGCAACAATACATGACGCCTAATGGACGCTTCAATAATCATGACCCTCCTCGAACGCATATCCTTCCTCTTGAAAGAGTTCTGATTGCTTGACTTATTGTCATATTCAAATAGTCATATTGTCAAGGAAAGCTGTGTATTGTGTATTGTACAGTGAATACTAGTATTTCATATGCATACCTTGGTGCTTCATTTGTGTCCAGCAACGTACGCCGATAGTTGAGCTGGGCTTTAAGAAACACACCAAACAAACATACACTGGTGCCATGACATTGTCTGTTCGTAAATAATAATGTCAGGAATATATACTGGCCACATAAAGAAACTGTGCACACAGAAAATATAAATATAAGCACACAGCTTTTTTATGTGGCCAGTATATATTCCTGACATTATTATTTACGAACAGACAATGTCATGGCACCAAATTCAAATACAAGCAATTGGCCACCACTGCTGTATACTAATGTTTGTGCGAGGACTATAGTTCCTCACTGCTGTATACTAATGTTTGTGCGAGGACTATAGTTCCTCACTGCTGTATACTAATGTTTGTGCGAGGACTATAGTTCCTCACTGCTGTAGCACTGTCTCATAATGAGATTGTCAAAGTGTAAGTCCCTACCATAAAACACGTAGTTGCCCGGATGAATCTCTGTCAGGGTGGCCATGTTGTCTGCAGGTTTACTACAGGAAGGGGTGGAGCCTGTCCCCACCGTCTCACAGGCGATACCCGCCGCCTTCAGCCTGGAGGAAGTCAACATGCATGGGTTTCATGAAACTGTGTCCTATATGCAATTACCGTTAGAGCTTCATGTCAGCTGTCGTCAAGAAACCCTTGCCACGTGAGGGTCCTGTTACCAGTTAAGGGGCACTGGTCCAGAGAGATTAATGTTTCCAGCCAACAGCCTAATTACGAAACCTAGCTGCAAACTGGTCAGCCCCTGCTCCCTCGACCGTGACGGACACGGGGACTGGGCTACTGTCCATCTTGGCAGAATTTCTTCAACCTTATCAGTGGGACATAAAGAAGGGTGGATGCCCATCAGATGCCGTTATTTGAAAATATCCCCGGTACTTCTTGTCTGATTGTAATAAAGTATCCCAGCAGTGTAGGCTTTTTCAGATTTTCAAATGCTTAGATGGTATAGTGACTGATCCAAATTGATCCTATTCTGTGTTTTTTACCTAGATCGTGTAAAAATATGATATCTATTACCTATGCTATGAAAAACACACATTTGATATATTTGAATCCATAAACCAAACAACCCCACTTTGCCATTGCTATAAAAATCTAAAATTTTACTTAGGTACATAGGTATATACAGTTTTTAACTAAGTACACAGCAAATGCTCATATGTATTTCTTCTGCAACAATGAAGTTCCGTTAGCATCCTCAAAACAGTGTCTGCCCATAAGGGTATTTTTCAGGCAATCAAACTTGCATGCAATACAGCGATTACTACTCTCTTGCTGTAACCCTTGTTTGGTGGTAAACCTACACATGTTATTTGTCATCATTCACTTGATAGTCAGTTAATGAATTTATAACAGTATAATTAGTGATAACACCACTCCGACAAAGGTTCCCATTTGGAATTTCTTGTGTCTGGAGTAAATACTCATCATTATAAATTGAGGTCTGATGTGGCAAATGTATTACATCTTCTGTAATATGCGCATGGAAGTGCAGCAAGAGGAATTATCAGCTGAGTTACAAAACAAACATCGATCAAAGGATTAACCGATAACACGCTGATTGATTAATTGCTTTTATCCTGCACAGCGGATTTGTCAAAAGGTAGTGTTTATGTATGTAGATTTACTCATCTATACTGAATACACCCTGTCGTAAAGTCTCTTTGCAAAAACAACGTCCTTCCTTCAAAGGATTAACCACCAATACATTGATTGATTGATTGCTCATTATTGGCTAACTAAATTACTTATTTAAAGAATGGCGGACATCATGCAATTAGTTGCCAGGTGTGCTATCTTGGGTGACCACTGGGTGACCAATGGGACTATGCACCAATGTGAAAAACTTGAAACGATAGATCACTTATTCGCATATTAGACTGTTACAAGACACATGACATGGAACAGGATTCTTTGTCAGCTGCAGATGAATGGCATCTCATTCCTTTATGTGGATATGATGGGCACATTCCCCGGACAAGGTAATAGCCTGGTACTGTTGCTAGAACTTAGTCTGTTTTAATTTTAATATTTGTATTTTGTTTTTATTTATTTGTTATAGCATTCAATAGAATCATTTTTTTATTTGCCGTGAAGTGTAATGAGACAGACAACATACACTAGGTCGCACCTAGGGCGTGTGTGTGAAATATGATACACGTTGGCAATCTATAAGAAGTCTAGATATTACAGTCATGTTTTAAATTTACTAAGTATAAGCAGGTCGTGTGCATTTTATTAAGTTTCAAAATGCATACAAATATGACAATAAACTAATTAGGATTATAAGACAAAACAATAAAGACTCACATTGACTTCATTATTTCAGTCCTAGCATTTTTTCCACGGGCAGATGGTTAAACTTAAACTGTTTTCATTTGTTATCGAAGTAATGCCGATTCAGATTGACTAGTAGTGAACCCAAGCTCATTACTCTCCCCAAGACTCCCCATGTACTTAGCTAGCCTTACATTCAAAACAATGTTATTATATCAGGCTTCTCACCAAATTCAAGGACAAACTCTTTCTTAAATCAAATTCTACATCCATTTACGTACACATTTTTATGAAATTAAAATTTTACAACAAAATCAACATAAGATGGAAATATTATCGAGTAAAACAGATTTCATCTTTGTTGATCAGTCTATACTTATACAATCAATTGCGCATGATGGTGGCGCAGCAGAGGTAACGAACCAGTCATGAATTCTGGGATATCATCCGGGTACTCACGAGAGAAAAACAATAATAAAAGCAACAACCATTCCACGGAAATTGCTCCGGATCAGTGCCCCTTTAAAACATGAAACGCGTAAGTATTTCTTTCACCATATATAGTGTTAGATTACTAATACTGGAAGGCTACTTGAAGACACCTACTTGTCTCTCACTGTGATCAGTCTGTCTGTGTTGGTGGCGCCAAACTTTTTCAGTTCTTCCACCCCCGTGCAGTCGTAAGAACTCCCACAGTGGGTGTAGATGCCGAGGAACTTGACGTTGTCGGCATCAACTGCAGCTTTAGCGACGGTGATGACGTCATCGCTGTCCCACACCACGCCAGCTAAAACATTAGTGAGGTAACCTTTGTCATCCAAGAAAACTCCAAAAATAAACACGCTCCCCAAGAGTTCTCCGTGTTACAAGCTCTCTGTTACCCTCCGGTTTATACGCTTCGTTTCCTAGAGCTTATACATAGGTACACTATACACTACCTATCTTAGAGCTTATACATAGGTACACTATACACTACCTATCTTAGAGCTATACATAAGTCCACTATACACTACCTATCTTAGAGCTTATACATAGGTACACTATACACTACCTATCTTAGAGCTTATTCATAGGTCCACTATACACTCTCTATTTTAGAGCTATACATAGGTCCACTATACGCTCTCTAGTTTAGAGCTATACATAGGTCCACTATACGCTCTCTAGTTTAGAGCTATACATAGGTCCAACTATAGTTTGGTTGGATGGATTGTTTCTCAAGCTGTATAACCTCGGTATAAGAGGTAAAATCTGGAGACTGCTTCGAATGTCATACTTGTCCATGCAATCATGTGTTTCCTATGCTGGTTTCCTGTCAGATAGCTTTAAAATCAGTCAAGGTGTAGGACAGGGGCGAGTCATTTCCGCTTGGCTATTCAGCCTGTACATCAACGATCTAATGCAGAGTTTAGATAAGTCGGGTCTAGGTCTCAAGCTTCCATGGGGACACTGTCCAGGTATTCTTCTTGCTGATGATACTACTTTAACCTCCAGCAATCCACATAATTCTCAGACTCTTCTAGAAGCTGTGTACGATTATGGTTTGAAGTGGAAATTGAAGTATAACGTCAGTAAAAGTGCCTTGCTTGTATTCAATACAGACAGATATCTTACACCAGTTAGTCTGTATCTTGGTTCTGTGGCCATCCCTCTCATGCAATCTGTTACGTACGCTGGAGTTCAGTTGTCTTCATGTAATAAATCGTATGATAGAACAATGTCATCATGTGAAAAAGCACGTAAACTGGTTAATATGTATCATGATCTTGGCTTGTGCTATGGTTCACTCAATCCTATTTGTGCTTGTCGTATATGGAACAATGTCATTTTACCATGTGCTTTATATGGTTGTACTGTCTGGAGCAGCTTAACGTCAAAAGAATTGGACATGTTGGAGTTAACACAAAGGTATTTCTGTAGAAAGGTACAAGGTCTGCCTAAACGCACTGCTTCTCCTGTGGTTCTAGATACCCTGGGCCTACTGCCAATTCAAGGGTATATAGAAAAATCTTGTTTGCTTATGTTTGGTAGAATCTGCCGTCTAAATGATGCCTATGTTGTTAAACAATTATTTCTTCATCGTCTATTTGAATCCAGATGTATGACTACCATTGGTAAATCCCCATCACCTATCCTGTACATGGTTAAGCTCGTAAACAAGTATGGCTTGTTTGACGCTGTTAATACATACATCACAACAGGGTTATATATACTAAAGCAAAATGGAATGATATTGTTAAATCCAGAATCTGTGATGCTTACGAGAGTCTGTTGTGTCATCAGATAGCAGTGAGAGAGGATCTCTCCAGATATTGCCTTATCCGAGAGCCTTTTAATCCAAGTAGACTGTGGGAACTAGCCTTGATTAAAAAGCCTAAATTTTACAAACTCTCTCATATTATTCACATTGGCTGTAAAAAGATTGAATCCAGAGAGTGTATATGTGGAATAGTAGCTTCTGATATTGTTAAACATGTTATTATGTCCTGTACACATCTTAATGATTTGAGAAATGATATGTTTGAAAGGATTTGTGATATTATATCAATATCTGATTTTGTTGACTTTTGGGAAAATGATGACGATGTAATAATTGCTGATTTACTTGGTGGATCTTGTACAACACTTGGTAACTTAAATACGACAGAATGGGCGGAAGTTATGTTATTAGTGGCTGAGTTTATGTCAGTCTGTCATTCTAAAATATCTGCACAATTAACTGTCTACTGAGTCATTGTATATTCAACTTGACACTTTGTTGTAACATGAAACAATCTTCATATTTTTGGAGGAAATAAAGATAATCTATCTATCTATCTATCTATACGCTCTCTAGTTTAGAGCTATACATAGGTCCACTATATGCTCTCTATTTTAGAGCTATACATAGGTCCACTATACGCTCTCTATTTTAGAGCTATACATAGGTCCACTATACGCTCTCTATTTTAGAGCTTTACATAGGTCCACTCTACGCTCTCTAGTTTAGAGCTATACATAGGTCCACTATACACTCTCTAGTTTAGAGCTATACATAGGTCCACTATACGCTCTCTAGTTTAGAGCTCTACATAGGTCGACTATACGCTCTCTATTTTAGAGCTATACATAGGTCAACTCTACGCTCTCTATTTTAGAGCTATACATAGGTCCACTATACGCTCTCTAGTTTAGAGCTATACATAGGTCCACTATACGCTCTCTAGTTTAGAGATCTACATAGGTCCACTCTACGCTCTCTAGTTTAGAGCTATACATAGGTCCACTCTACGCTCTCTAGTTTAGAGCTTATACATAGGTACACTATACACTACCTATCTTAGAGCTATACATAAGTCCACTATACACTACCTATCTTAGAGCTTATACATAGGTACACTATACACTACCTATCTTAGAGCTTATTCATAGGTCCACTATACACTCTCTATTTTAGAGCTATACATAGGTCCACTATACGCTCTCTAGTTTAGAGCTATACATAGGTCCACTATACGCTCTCTAGTTTAGAGCTATACATAGGTCCACTATACACTCTCTAGTTTAGAGCTATACATAGGTCCACTATATGCTCTCTATTTTAGAGCTATACATAGGTCCACTATACACTCTCTATTTTAGAGCTATACATAGGTCCACTATACGCTCTCTATTTTAGAGAGCTATACATAGGTCCACTATTTAGAGCTATACATAGGTCCACTATTTTAGAGCTATACATAGGTCCACTATACATGCTCTCTATTTTAGAGCTATACATAGGTCCACTATACTCTCTCTATTTTAGAGCTATACATAGGTCCACTATACTTCTCTCTAGTTTAGAGCTATACATAGGTCCACTATACATGCCTCTCTCATTTTAGAGCTATACATAGGTCCACTATATTCTCTATTTTAGAGCTATACATAGGTCCACTATACTTCTCTATTTTAGAGCTATACATAGGTCCACTATACGCTCTCTATTTTAGAGCTATACATAGGTCCACTATACGCTCTCTATTTTAGAGCTATACATAGGTCCACTCTACGCTCTCTATTTTAGAGCTATACATAGGTCCACTATACATTCTCTAGTTTAGAGCTATACATAGGTCCACTATATGCTCTCTAGTTTAGAGCTATACATAGGTCCACTATACGCTCTCTATTTTAGAGCTATACATAGGTCCACTCTACGCTCTCTATTTTAGAGCTATACATAGGTCCACTATACGCTCTCTAGTTTAGAGCTATACATAGGTCCACTATACGCTCTCTAGTTTAGAGATCTACATAGGTCCACTCTACGCTCTCTATTTTAGAGCTATACATAGGTCCACTCTACGCTCTCTAGTTTAGAGCTATACATAGGTCCACTATACGCTCTCTATTTTAGAGCTATACATAGGTCCACTATACGCTCTCTAGTTTAGAGCTATACATAGGTCCACTCTACGCTCTCTATTTTAGAGCTATACATAGGTCCACTATACCCTCTCTAGTTTAGAGCTATACATAGGTCCACTATACGCTCTCTATTTTAGAGCCATACATAGGTCCACTGTACTTCTCTAATTTAGAGCTATACATAGGTCCACTATACTATACCCTCTCTAGTTTAGAGCTATACATAGGTCCACTCTACGCTCTCTAATTTAGAGCTATACATAGGTCCACTATACGGTCTCTATTTTAGAGCTATACATAGGTCCACTCTCACGCTCTCTATTTTAGAGCTATACATAGGTCCACTATACGCTCTCTCTATTTTAGAGCTTTACATAGGTCCACTCACTTCTCTATTTTAGAGCTATACATAGGTCCACTCTCCTACGCTCTCTATTTTAGAGCTATACATAGGTCCACTATACGCCTCTCTATTTTAGAGCTATACATAGGTCCACTATACGCTCTCTATTTTAGAGTCCTACATAGGTCCACTCTGCTCTCTAATTTAGAGCTATACACAGGTCCACTATAATCTCTATTTTAGAGCTATACATAGGTCCTCTATTTTAGAGCTATACATAGGTCCACTATACATACATAGGTCCACTATACATAGCTCACGCTCTCTATTTTAGCTCTCTATTTTAGCTATACATAGGTCCACTACCCTCTACTATCATCTCTCTCTATTTTAGAGCTATACATAGGTCCACTATACTCTCTATTTTAGAGCTAGACTATAATGCTCTCTACTATACATAGGTCCACTATACCCTCTCTATACATAGGTCCAGAGCTCTCTATTTTAGAGCTATACATAGGTCCACTATAATGCCTCTCTAGTTTAGAGCTGCTAGGTCTATTCACGCTACTATACATAGGTCTACTACTAATGCTCTCTAGTTTAGAGCTATACATAGGTCCACTATAATGCTCTCTAGTTTAGAGCTATACATAGGTCCACTATACCTCTCTAATTTAGAGCTATACATAGGTCCACTTTACCCTCTCTAGTTTAGAGATCTACATAGGTCTATTCTATTTCCTCTCTATTTTAGAGCTATACATAGGTCTACTATATATGCTCTCTAGTTTAGAGCTATACATAGGTCCACTATACTCTCTATTTTAGAGCTATACATAGGTCCACTATACTCCCTATTTTAGAGCTATACATAGGTCCACTATATATGCTCTCTATTTTAGAGCTACACATAGGTCCACTCTCACTCTCTATTTTAGAGCTATACATAGGTCCACTGTACTGCTCTCTATTTTAGAGCTATACATAGGTCCACTCTACAGCTCTCTATTTTAGAGCTATACATAGGTCCACTATACTTCTCTCTATTTTAGAGTTCTACATAGGTCCACTCTCTACGCCTCTAATTTAGAGCTATACATAGGTCCACTATACGCTCTCTATTTTAGAGCTATACATAGGTCCACTCTACATTCTCTCTATTTTAGAGCTATACATAGGTCCACTATAATGCCTCTCTATTTTAGAGCTTTACATAGGTCCACTCTCACTTCTATTTTAGAGCTATACATAGGTCCACTCTCTACGCTCTCTATTTTAGAGCTATACATAGGTCCACTATACGCTCTCTATTTTAGAGCTATACATAGGTCCACTATACGCTCTCTATTTTAGAGTCCTACATAGGTCCACTCTACGCTCTCTAATTTAGAGCTATACATAGGTCCACTATACGCTCTCTATTTTAGAGCTATACATAGGTCCACTATACGCTCCCTATTTTAGAGCTTTACATAGGTCCACTATACGCTCTCTAGTTTAGAGCTATACATAGGTCCACTCTACGCTCTCTAGTTTATAGCTATACATAGGTCCACTCTACGCTCTCTATTTTAGAGCTATACATAGGTCCACTATATGCTCTCTATTTTAGAGCTATACATAGGTCCACTATACGCTCTCTATTTTAGAGTTCTACATAGGTCCACTGTACGCTCTCTAATTTAGAGCTATACATAGGTCCACTATACCCTCTCTATTTTAGAGCTATACATAGGTCCATTCTACGCTCTCTATTTTAGAGCTATACATAGGTCCACTATACGCTCTCTAGTTTAGAGCTATACATAGGTCCACTATACGCTCTCTATTTTAGAGCTATACATAGGTCAACTCTACGCTCTCTATTTTAGAGCTATACAGAGGTCCACTATATGCTCTCTATTTTAGAGCTATACACAGGTCAACTCTACGCTCTCTATTTTAGAGCTATACATAGGTCCACTATACGCTCTCTAGTTTAGAGCTATACATAGGTCGACTATATGCTCTCTATTTTAGAGCTATACATAGGTCCACTATACACTACCTATTTTAGAGCTTATTCATTGGTCCACTATATGCTCTCTATTTTAGAGCTATACATAGGTCCACTATACGCTCTCTATTTTAGAGCTATACATAGGTCAACTCTACGCTCTCTAATTTAGAGCTATAGATAGGTCCACTATACGCTCTCTATTTTAGAGCTATACATAGGTCCACTATACGCTCCCTATTTTAGAGCTATACATAGGTCTACTATACGCTCTCTAGTTTAGAGCTATACATAGGTCTATTCTATGCTCTCTATTTTAGAGCTATACATAGGTCTACTCTACGCTCTCTATTTTAGAGCTATACATAGGTCTACTATACGCTCTCTAGTTTAGAGCTATACATAGGTCCACTATACGCTCTCTATTTTAGAGCTATACATAGGTCCACTATACCCTCTCTAGTTTAGAGCTATACATAGGTCTATTCTACGCTCTCTATTTTAGAGCTATACATAGGTCTACTATACGCTCTCTATTTTAGAGCTATACATAGGTCAACTCTACGCTCTCTAGTTTAGAGCTATACATAGGTCCACTATACGCTCTCTAGTTTAGAGCTATACATAGGTCCACTCTACGCTCTCTATTTTAGAGCTATACATAGGTCCACTCTACGCTCTCTATTTTAGAGCTATACATAGGTCCACTATACGCTCTCTATTTTAGAGCTATACATAGGTCCACTATACGCTCTCTATTTTAGAGTTCTACATAGGTCCACTATACGCTCTCTAATTTAGAGCTATACATAGGTCCACTATACCGTCTCTATTTTAGAGCTCGCCGTATTAACTCGAAGCTATTAACTCTCGCGATCTACCATGCTTATCTGTATCAAGCGTTCGTATTCACCTATTTAACATTGACATTTCCACCGTTGTAGCGACCTATCTGTGTACGTCCTGCCATGGCAGGGATTTTCTTTGACCAAAAAACATGAATTCACACAGACGCATATGGGTGAAATATTACTGACTGCGACGTAAAACTAAACTCACTCACTCACTCACGGACGCACACACCACACATCTATCAAGCGTTCATATTTAACCTACAGGTTGTGTGTTGTCCTTTAACGCTGATTAGATAGGTCGTTGAAATTGTCAATTGTGATGTGGCCCTTTCCATAACCAACAGGAAGACTTGTACTCCTATCGCTGGAAGCTATGTGTAAAGGTCACATGCAACCAAAAAATCAAACATAATTAAAGCACAATTATCACTTCTTCATGACATATAATATACATTGCTGATTATGAAAAAACAAATAAACAAAATTATAAGCGTATAATCGCAAATCAAAAGTGCAATATTTTGTACTTGGGTTTTACCTCCCTCGAAACGAAGCAGCCGGGATACCGAACCCAGTCAGAGCGGGTGGGTGTGCACTCAAGTGTAGCGGCTGGTTCATTTGCAGATGCCGCCTTCACGGCTCATTGTAAGTGTATATATAGAGATGTTGGGTTTTGTAAATACATGCTTATTTTTTGTGTATAACATTTTGCAATCAACAGACATCATAACATGTCATGTGTACAAGTATCACACCTGCCTCTCTGTGTAATTACATAATGTGACAGACACCGAACTCGGGCCATAAATCAATGCGTTTTGTTTATGGTGTATAGCCTGATTGGTGTTAAGTTCAAATTGCATGTGGTCAGTGATCGCAGTTGTGTGTTGAATATTGTCATTAGCAGACAGGCAGGCAGACACACTGGTGTCAATAAAACAAGACACTGAGTTTTGTCTGTGACAACGACATATCTTTATCACAGTTAGAAATTCTGTCAACGCTAAATAATGACATTGCTTTTAAGTATCGAACTGAGAAAGTGATTGGGTAAGAAGAACGTGTGGTGAAATAGACAAATGAAATTATATAAACAGTTTATTTACTGTCATAACATATAAAAAGCTCGCGCCTGTGAGATATCAACAAAACATTATGAAAATAGCTCACACCAAAGCCTTTACCGAGTATTCACCAGACAGCCCGCTTCCAAGTTGCGCGAACCTATTTCACTGCGCACATGCTATGAGCGCAGCCCAGCTGTTGAAACCCGTTTTCCCCAGAAATTTTCGGGGGAAAATTAGTGAATCGTTTGAACTCCGATTTCGCGCGTTTTTTTCATCGCGTTATTTTTTAACTTTATAACTTGAATTTGCATTTTTGATGACAAACAAACGGGACTTTGCGGTCTGAGCATCTGTCAGAATGTGCTATTTGGGATTTACATTTGCCTCATATCAAAACATTTACCTAAAATTCAGTTAATCGTGTTCGATCAACAACTCGCCTTAAGCTCCCTCGACAAAACCCTGTGACATGCTAGCTACTTGATCTGCACAGCAAGAACAACACACACCTCGACATTATGATATGATCACCTAGTTATTTCATGTACATGTACACAGCAGCTCGACACACCTCGACATTATGATATGATCACCTAGTTATTTCATGTACATGTACACAGCAACTCGACACACCTCGACATTATGATATGATCACCTAGTTATTTCATGTACATGTACACAGCAGCTCGACACACCTCGACATTATGATATGATCACCTAGTTATTTCATGTACATGTACACAGCAGCTCGACACACCTCGACATTATGATATGATCACCTAGTTATTTCATGTACATGTACACAGCAACTCGACACACCTCGACATTATGATATGATCACCTAGTTATTTCATGTACATGTACACAGCAACTCGACACACCTCGACATTATCCTGTGATAATTTAGTTATTCACAACATCACACACACCTCGACATTATCATATGATAACCTAGTTATTTCATATACAAAGCAACTAAACACACCTCGACATTATCATATGATAACCTAGTTAATTTCATATACACAACAACTAAACACACCTCGACATAATCCTGTGATAACCTAGTTATTTCATATACACAGCAACTCGACGCACCTCGACATTATCCCGTGATTACCTAGTTATTTCATATACATGTACATAGCAACTCGGCACACATCTCGACATTATCATATGATAACCTAGTTATTTCATATAGACAACAACTAAACACACCTCGACATAATCAGGTGATAACCTAGTTATTCCATGTACACAGCAACTAAACGCACCTCGACATTTTCCTGTGATAACCTGGTAATTTCATATACACATTAACTCGGCACACACTTAAGTGTTGGCTCGTGACACCGAAGGCCCGGGTTCGATTCCCCACATGAGTACATGTGTGAAGCTCATTTCTGGTGTCCCCCGCCGCGATATTGCTGGAATATTGCTAAAAGCGGCTCAAAACCATATTCACTCACTCACTCAGCACACACCTCGCCCATATCCCGTGTCAATCTTCAGAATCACTGACCACTTCTTGTCCGTGTTGAGCGGGGCGTCTTTGACCCACTGGAGGGCCTCCACGCTGTCATACATGATGTGGAACTCGGACAGCTGATTGGTCAGCTTCTGACACCTGTGGCCATAGAGACAGTAATATAGATATGATGGAGAAAGGTAATAGGTGAAATTAACATATAGAAAGCTGTGATGGGTCCAAACTAACAAGTGCTGGTCAGTTGGCCAGGGTGCAGGTTCAAAACAGGGCTTATGTTCAAAACAGGGTAAATGTTCAAAACAGGGTGGATGTTCAAAACAGGGTGCAGGTTCAAAAGAGGGTGCAGGTTCAAAAGAGGGTGCAGGTTCAAAAGAGGGTGCAGGTTCAAAATAGGCTGTAGGTTGAAAACAGGGTGTATGTTGAAAACAGGGTGAATGTTCAAAAACAGGGTGCAGGTTCAAAACAGGGTGTATGTTGAAAACAGGGTGTATGTTGAAAACAGGGTGAATGTTCAAAACAGGGTGCAGGTTCAAAACAGGGTGTATGTTCAAACCAGTGTGAATGTTCAAAACAGGGTGTATGTTCAAAACAGGGTGTAGGTTCAAAACAGGGTGCAGGTTCAAAACAGGGTGTATGTTCAAAGCATGGTGAATGTTCAAAACAGGATGTATGTTCAAAACAGGGTGCAGGTTCAAACAAGGTGCAGGTTCAAAACAGGGTGAATGTTCAAAACAGGGTACAGGTTCAAAAAAGGGTGTATTTTCAAAACAGGGTACAGGTTCGAAACAGGGTGTATGTTCAAAACAGGGTGCAGGTTCGAAAACGGGGTGAATGTTCAAAACAGGGTGCAGGTTCAAAACCGGGTGTGGGTTCAAAAGAGGGTGTGGGTTCAAAAGAGGGTGTAGGTTCAAAAGAGGGAACAGACTGAATTTAGTATTGTTTATAATATTTTAAGCATGCAAGAGTTGATTAAATATTTTGGGGAAAGTCTTTGATCATGCACTTAATTTGTTAGCAATAATACTGAATACATAATACTGTGTTTGCGCCGTGTTGAAGTTTTCCTGTACCAATTGTTAACTTCAAAATATAATATTCTCAAATTACCAGTTGCCATGGCTTGGATATATTTACGGTAAATATACAGCGAGACCCACGCTAATAAATCCAATCCTGGACGCTAGTATATGTTGCACACAAATGCTACGACGATTTATTGCTGTAAATATTTATTGAGGAAACCGGCAACAGCTGCCTGCAACACGTGTTCCATCCATCAGGAGTGTGGAATCACGATTTCTCACACACTAATCAATCTGGATTACAAAGAAACAAATCCAGTTGACCTTATTCCGAAAAGGAATTACTAAGAAATGTATTATGTGTTCTAAACAATTCTTGGACTCTATGTAAAACTTCTGTCAAGTCTGAAGCCTTAGTGACTCTCACCTCGGGACGTTTTCCTTTGATATCGGGAAGCCATACAGAATGTCATCGTAGCCATTTGCAGCGAAGAATTCCGCTTCATTCAGGGTGGAGACAACGATCTTCCTCCGGGTGCCGGCCGTGGCGATGTCCGCGCCCTCTCTGAAGGACAACACGGACGATTAGTTCTTGTATTGTTGTTAGCAGGACGGGTGTGATGTTACTTGTATGTAGCAGAATACTGTGAAGTAGTTAATGCCTACAAGTATCTGGGTGTTATGATGACACCTAAACTTGTTTGGACAAGAACTTGTACTATTTTAGCACAACAAGCGAACAAAGCATTATTTCCTATAAAAAGTCTCATTCGTAAATATGATATAAATATTTGTGATTCATTTAACATATTCGATAAGAAGACTGTACCAATTGTGATGTATGGGAGCGAAATATGGGGATATAGGGAAATGAATCAACTAGTAATCGTTCATCGATCATTTTATATTTTTTTCTTGAATGTCAGCAAATCCTTCCCGAATGTTGTTATGTATGGAGAATGTTGGAGATATCCCTTGTATGTCAACACATAGATACGAATTGTATCAGACATTGGTTCAGATTGATTGCCATGCCATCATATAGATACCCGTACCAATCTTATCTTATGGTGACACAAACGTGTCATAGAAAATATGCAAATTGGGCATCAAATGTTATGCAACTATTATTCACTTATGGTTTTGGTCATGTTTGGATACAGCAGGGTGTAGGTAATATTGATTTATTCATGAAGCTATTTAAGAAAAGATTAAATGATTGTGCCAAGCAAGACTGGCATGCACAACTTACAAACAAAACCACGTTACAGTTTTATTCTATTATTAAGACATCACTTACTACAGAATTGTACATCTTTGATGTTAATAATATTAAATATCTTAAAGCACTGCTTATCTTCAGAAGCTGTTACAACAGGCTAGGAATACAATGTACAGTATGTAATGTATTAGATAAGGTTTTTGTGATTATAAAAGGTCTAATTCTAAATGCGTTTTATGTAATGTAACGGAAGATGAAATACATATTTTATATAAATGTCCAATGTATCAAACTCTTCGTAGTGATGTACCTCTTATTTTCAAGCACAACAGAAATATCAATGGGTTAATATCTTTAATGAATTCCAATGATCATAAATTCATGTTAGCAAAATATCTTTACAATGTGTTTCGTATTCGAGAGAGGTCCTTTGATACGCATGCGTATATATTCACGTATATTTAAGGTACTGCATTATGGGTCAACTGGCCTTGAAACACGTTAAAACAACTGTTGTAGAGTGTGTCAAATTGTAAGAATCGTTCCAATGATTTCAGTCTTCAAAAAATGTTCTGCTGATTTGCATTAGTGAAAACAAGTAAAACGTGTCTTTGATATTGTGAAAAAGTGTTTAAGAACATCTAAAATGATATTTGTATCATTTTCGCTTGCAAAGTAACATTTTTCCGTTTTCTGTTTACACATAGCAATATCAGTCGCCAAAACGTAGCAACATGCAAGCAGTATTTGCATCAATGTCACGTGTAGAATGATTCTATAGGGTATAAAGAGAGACTAGAATGCGTGATATGATACACTAGTACGAGAAATAAGCCACGATTAACAGCTGAAGAGAGAGATAGAGCCACTGGGATGGGGTCGACATACAATGCTGTTGCCAACGCCCTCGGATGCCACCGTATCACGGTTATAATACTTATTCAGGGCTACAGACAGACTGGGGTTACCGTAGACAGACCAAGAAGTGAACTTCCACGCATCACAGCGCCAGCTGAAGGTACGTACCTCCGTCATTAAGGAAGAAGGGTGACGGGTTTTTTGTTTTTGTTTTTGTTTTGTCTTTGTTTTTGTTGTTTTATTTATATTTATTTTTTATTTTTATTTATTATTTTTATTTATTTTATTTATTTATTTATTTTTTTTTTTTTGGGGGATGGGGTGGGGTTAGTGTAGTTTTGATTTCAGGTCATATATCGATTACGGTCTGTGATTAGATCGCTGAAACTTTCCACACTAATTTGAGAGTTCAGGGCATCGTTTTCCCCTGACAGAAGGAGCATGCGACGCTTACTGTCACTATCCTTGTTAAATTGATACCGCAGATCCTGTCAATCTAATCAGAGACCATGGTCTCTGATCTAACCACCAAAAACTGCGATACTGACAAAATCACGTGACCGGTCTCCAGTAGCCTAGAGCCGTGATATGGCCACTCAGTCAACCACGTGATGTCTGGACGGCCTGACCCCATTGTCTCACAGGTTACTGAGGGGCCTGACAGTGGTAGTAGGTCGATACGGACTGCACAACTAACATGGCGATGATACCTACATGGACTTGTGGGTCTTGATATGCGGTCTCAGCTGCACGCCCATGTTCCTGGCTGTGTCAATCATTCTCTGACAGTTCCTCTTCACCTTGTCGATGTCCACCAGCAGACACGGGGTGGGGACGTCGGCAACGGTGGCGGGAAGTGCGTTGTCAGACATAGCGGAGATATCTGCTGTTGGCAAAGAGGAGTATTGTGAGAGAAATCAGCATAGAGTTACGTCCCCTCCAAAGTACACGCCCACCTCCAGACACGCCGCGCTGACAACACGAAACTCCACTGCCAGACACAACAGCCTGTAACTGACCTAACAGGGTGTTTGTTAGACTAAGGCTTAGTCTCTGAATATATATAATGTTGATAGTAACAAACAAGCCCGTTTAAATTGAAAAGGAGCCCTAGGGAGACCCGAGATTCAGACCCTGAACCTGGGGAAATTTAGAGTTGCTTCGTTTAGGGCTTTAGCACTACAGGGAAGGCTAGGCTGTAGGGGAAATAATGTGGTTCAGGGACTGTGAGACAGACTAGGTGTTTGTTACCACAGGGAAACGTTGGCCTCGTGTGTCTGAAGCCTGGCGCAGCTGGTGACAAGTTGTGATTACACCCACGCAATGCACTGCAACATTTAAAGGATATCTAGAAAGAAGAATGGCCTAAAACTCCACCCGGTCCGACTTTTCTTGGCCCGAGTTTTAGGCCATCCTGAGAAAGTATCGTTTTGTGTTTGAGAGTCGATTCTTATTATGGGGGAGATTTAGCGATCATCGTCAGTAATATGGCAAGTGTCTCGACACATACGCTTAGAAATACGAATATATTTGTTTACATGAGCTATTACGGAAGAGAGGCAATATAGTAAACACACACAACCAGTTTTCATGTTTCATGTTCAGTGTATTGAGCATATCTACCGGAGCAAGAGGCAATATATAAGACATACACACACATGTACTTGAGGTCATGATCGAGTGTCTTCCTCATTTTCTATGATTTAGTTAGTGATCACTTAGACGTATTTTAAAGGTGAAATATAGTGAGGTTTGGTTCAAATTATATTGCACTTTTACGCTTATATCTGTGTATCCTACGCTCACGTTCAGTAGCTTTAGAATTTGATGTATCACTAAGAATAGGGTATTAGATGCAGACTGCATTGTAGTGATGACTGCTACAGAAATCAGTGAGTGTTTGCTGTTCACAGATTTATCCAAGAAAATATGACCTTACACACCAATCCTATCCATTCTTGACAATTGCTTTACGTTCAATAAATGCATGGCTGAGTATTTAGGCCATGAGTCAGGAGCGGAAAATTCACATATTGGTACCACTCAGATATATTCGTTTATGTCTCTATATATCAAAAAAGTATGATGGACATCTCAATTTGGTAGCTCAGAGTCAGACGAGGCTAAATCCAAGATGGCCGCCAAAAAAACCCAACATTTGAAAAAATGTCAATTCCAAGCTTTTATCATGAGAAACGTTCAGCAAATAGGTTGGACATGTAAAAAAGGAGGTAAAATTGTGCTAATGTGATGAAAAGTATTTAATTAAAATCAAGTTGTGTTATTTGATACCTTTAAATCATATTTTTTCCTGATTTTAAGAGTCGAAATTGTAAGCACAAAGAACTCTTTCGAAAACTCATCATTTCATTTATTCTTAAGACAACTCGTTAACTTCAAATAGTGACAGCGCCTTCAATTTCCTTAAATTGGTTTGTGATAGTCACTGTTCCGCATCATATACGTCAGCTTCATCATCAGTGTAACTCTTCGGCATGTCATGGTCCTCCCATACCATGTTGTCACAAGTCTGGTTCCGACATGTCACAGTGCATTTCAGTCCATTGGTAAGGCATTGACAACTTGGCAGTTTACAGACCGTTGTGTACTTGCAAAAATGAACTCAAGAACTGCATCTGGAGCAAGAGGTCCTGTCATCCAGCAAATCTCCATGTGATCATTTTGTTCCACCCATCCATGACCATCTGTTGCCCGTGAAGTTGGATATTCACCTTCCAGACAGTTGTTCCACATTGCAGCTTGATAGTTTGCTCTCAGGATGTGCATAGATAGACAATCAAAGCAGGGTGCCAATTGTCCTGATTCAATTGCCGCTTTTCCCACCTCAAATAAGTGGTATCGCAATTGATTGACAGCCATTATTTAAGAGCTTGAGGCATACAGGTGGCATGTGAATGCTTGAAGTTAGTCAATCAAACCTAATGGCACAGTCCACTCATTCCCAAATTGTTGGAAAGCTTCTTGATATTCCTGTTGAAGAAGTTTGAATGCATTAACCTTCCCTCTGCCTACAAAAGAACTGACAGTATAACATACAGTATATATGCGTGTAGCCAGGAAGGGTCTTACAAACGCTTAGAACCAAAAGCTGTAGCAACTTTCTTGATATCAATGAATCTTAGGCTATTTTTTGTACCAGTTTTGATGTAAATATTGGTTGCAATGTGAGTGCTCTTTGCTAAGGACAAGACAAATACATCTGAGTCATCTGAGGAAATGACAACTGATGAGGAATCAAAAGATGCATGTTTAGCATGGAACAGCGTGTCGGCTTCTTCTTGCGTATTTGACAAAGATTCAGACTGAAACATGCACATCTGAAATAACATCGTGGATGACTGAAAGGAAACTAAAACTAAATGACGAAACAACTGAGGTATTGTTAGTGGGAAGACAGCAACACATCGACAAGGTGAATGTGGATCAAGTGAAGATTGCCTCTGCTTGTATCTCTACCTCAAGACAAGTCAAGGATCTAGGAGTGCAGCTGCAGTCTGATCTATCCTTGTCCTCACAAGCTGAACATCTGTTTAAGATCTGCTACCAACATCTTCGTACCATCGGCACAATCAGGAAGTACATCACCAAGCAGAGTGCACATATCCTTGTCAGCTGTCTAGTAATTTCCCGCCTTGACTATTGCAATAGCCTTCTCACCGGACTCTCTAAAGAACACATAAAAGGCTCCAGTTCAGAATACCGCAGCCAGAGTTATTTCTTTATCTTCTAAAGATGACCATATATCTCCTGTGCTAATATCTCTACACTGGCTTCCTGTCCAATACCGGATAGACTTCAAAGTTCTGTGCATCGTCTACAAGTGTATCAACAATCTTGCTCCTTCATATCTATCATCCCTGTTAACCCAGTATGTTCCATCCTGGACTCTTCGTTCTCAAGATCAGCATCTACTGGTAGTTCCCCCGGCTCGCCTCTCTTCCAACGGAAAGAAAAGTTTTCAACATGTTGCTCCACTCCTATGGAACTCTTTGCCACTCCACATAAAACTTTCTAAAACAACAAATTCTTTCAAGAAAATTCTTAGGACTCTTTTTTTCATTAAAGCCTTCCAGTGACTCTTCATTCTCCTTGTACAGCTTGTTCAGCTTGACCTAAGATACTCTACATATGCATGACCCGGGAGGTCAAATGGCACAAACGGCAGGTCGAGTTAACTTCATTAAGTAAGGGAGCAGAAAATGTTATTAATGTCACTGCTGCTGCTCAGTGCCTAAAACCGGGTTCGATTCCCCACATGGGTACAATGTGTGAAGCTCATTTCTGGTGTCCCCGCCGTGATATTGCTGGAATATTGCTAAAAGCGGCGCAAAACAAAACTCACTCACTCACTCACTCACTCAGTGCCTAAAAGCCCGAATCGGATACATTGAACCATCTGTAGCTTCTTTTTTAAAGAAAGTTAGGACATTGCTGACGATTTCTCGACACTGATATGTCAAACGGCGACCTTGTCTCGGCTTGTTCGGACATGGTGACAATCAACTTACAAATGTGCACCCCTTGACAATAATAGACTCAACCAGTTAATACATTAGTATTCACTTGATCAGGTCAAACTGAACAAGTTGTACATAGGTTCCCAGCGCCATGAGCATGCATTCGTGGGTGGACACTGGCGCTTTATATATATCCCTATTATTAATTTTTTTTCTGGTACGAGAGTTTTTATTTCAAATTCAGTCCATACCCCAAATTCACTATCGTATGTAAAACTGGTCCTATTAACCTTTGAATAATTTGAATGTCAATAAACCTGAGTGAAATGAAATTAAGTCCCTTTGTCTATCAACAGTCCAGTGATTCCCTTGCTTTCGTGGAGTGCCAGATACCACCATATTTGATTTCCTTAGAGTTGACTCTTAGGTTATTGACAATGCAGAATGTGCTGGTATTTGCTAGTTCTTGAAATTATTTATAAGTATGGGTAGCCGTTGATAGATATATTACAAAGCACGGGGGGTCAGCTACACCCTTGTTTGACTCAAGTTTTGACTGGCTGTGATATACCTTTTCTAGTTACTACGCTATGTGAATGAGTGAGTGAGTGAGTGAGTTTAGTTTTACGCCGCACTCAGCAATAGTCCAGCTATATGGCGGCGGTCTGTAAATAATCGAGTCTGGACCAGACAATCCAGTGATCAACAGCAGGAGCATCGATCTGCACAATTGGGAACCGATGACATGTGTCAACCAAGTCAGCGAGCCTGACCACCCGATCCCGTTAGTCGCCTCTTACGACAAGCATGGGTTACTGAAGATCAATATTCTAACCCGGATCTTCACGGGGCACATGTCAGAAAGAAAGTTGGGTGAAAAGCTATTTACTATGACAAGATGATGCGTTTATTTACATAATATAATAATTTCATTACAAACATGTACATTTTATACTGTTGTTCCTTCATTTATTCATAAAGTAATCAATCACGTTTAAAAAAATTAGAAGCGCTTTTCATACATTAAATAAAAGTTTGAACAATATTCATACATAACATACATTTATTTTAAGCACCTTACATATTTTCATCCCGGAGCGGTATTCATAGAACCTTATGCTTGTTTACAAATCCGGTTCCTTTCATTGGAAATAAATATGTTTTAATCTTATTTCTTACAGTTATTTTCAGCACTTTTCATGCATTTCAATTAATCAATCACATGTCATACATTTCATTTTATTCAAAGAGCAAACATGCAGCAACATCGTCCACAAACTACATTGTAGTGTCTGAAGTCTCTCCATGAGCGTCAAGAAGCGGGTGTCTAAGTTTCCATACTTCCTTTTCTTTTGTGGTCTCTTCCCTCCACTGATGTACTGGTGAAGGAGGGTTTCATTGTTTTTCTGCTCCCGTTTCAAGAACACAATAAATTGAAACAGGGATGGGTGAGCCTTTCTAATCGCCATCTTCAGGCGACCATGCTAAATGTCTAGATGATTAGGTCCGTCGGTTTCGTGAAGTACGATTTCCTGTCTGCTGCCGGGTAGTTTGGGGAAGGTCTCCTCCGTCCAGTCTCCGTCTTGAGGTTTGGTCACTTCCTCCCGATACATGGCTAGTAGAGGGCTGGTTTACCCGGTAGCAAGCAAGGTGGTCTCCATGGTCTCTCTCACCCGTTTAAAGGAATTGAAAATGTTTCATGTCTGATTAGTGTTATGCCCTAAAAATGTTATACCATAGCCAAAGAATTAAGACATGAAAACAAATATTAAAAAGATATACATTTTTAAAAGTTAAATACAACCTTTTACCATCTTACCTTTATATCAATTCAACGTCTACCCGTTGAATGGTTATGAAATGCTTCTTTCTTGGTCAAGATGTCGTTTACTGTTGACAGTCTTGCAGGGCATGTCTTCAACATAAATTCCCTCGATTGCCAGGAATGTCTCTTCTTATTGCTCTTAAACATGTAACCTTGATGCACTAACCGTCTTCCTCCACGATGGGACGGGAAAAAATTAAGATCTATCTGTACGTCAGCCATGATTGCAAATGCATGGTTTAGTAAATGTATCATTCCTTATACTTTGTGAAAAATGTTCACTACTTTCTAAAGCAGTTAATGGTAGCTAAATTCACTGAAATGGTGAGACGACCCCATGCTGTCAAAACAATAATAATTGGCGTTAATTACTTCAAAAGGACACCGGCCAGTCGGCCTGGCGCAACTCTCTGCACGTCTGGTTGGTACAAATGTTGGTCTCGCAGGACGCCCCACTCTCCCCATGCCGCTCATCTCCGACTGCCACAAACCGTCATACTACCAACACAACTCTTATAATGTCATGGCCTGAACTGGGCCCAGACCTTTCCCCCAGTGAACACGTCTAGAACATGACAGAGAGACCTGTGTTCTGATGGCACACCCCACCGACTACTTTGGGGAAGTTGGCCAGACGCTGCCAGAGGAGTGGGACATATTTCCTCATTCAGAATTATGAACCATCTTGCCATGCAGTAAGCGTCGGTGAGTGAATGAATGTCTGACAAATCTTCGCCGCATGGCCATGGCGTTATGTCCGAGTGTCCAGTGCTGGGCAATGTTCTCGTGTATAAAAGGTCGTGGAAGGTAAGCAAAGTAGCACAGTTCATTTTCACCCGTTTTCACGAGCATTTCAAACTTTGTACTGGAGGATCTCCCTGGTGAATTCTGCAGCCCAAATGGCCATTGTAATGTGGTACAACAGCTCTGTCTAGCATGTAGGTGATGTACCATTGTCAGACCAGCTTTAAATAAAAAAAATATGTTATTCATCATAGCATTCACAGGAAGGCGCCAGTCAGGGTTGGGCTCCTGGAGAATGCACGGCATAATCGTTGGTTCCAATCCAGGTTTGCTCAACATGAGCGACTGGACTCATAGGTTCTACCTGAAGCGGTCGCCTCATGTGGGCTTTCCTCCATCAAGGAGCTGACGCCATACAAGTACACCTCACTCACACACACTCACTCACTTACTCACAGATACAGCAAACACCCTGAAATCCCAATGTCTTGTTAGTGTTGATGGGGGATGCTATTTCTGCTGTTAGTTACGTGGACAAACAAGAAAACACACGAACTGATCACTGCAAATATTTAATGGTATCATTTCAGATATAGATCTATCACAGATATTACAGTATCACAGTCTTGTTCACATCAAGTCTGGGTGACCCCATGCTGATTCACTAGCAGAGGCAACTACAGGACAACTGAGGGAAGTAGATCACTGACAGTTACAGTGACCTATACATATATAGTTTGTACCAAGAATGTAGAGCTTATAAATACATACTGCCAGACGCGCATCTTTGTTGCCATGACGACATTGTTTGGACTACCAATACATAGTTTTCATTTCAAATCTAGATCAGAAATTATGTTAATATTGTATGTACAATTGACCTGAATCTGGATCTTAATTGAATTGGATTAAAAGAATTGATAAATGTTGGCATCCACGCTTGTACGAGTCAAATTATTAATAGTACTTTAGATCTGAAATGTTTAAATACAGGTGAAAATTCAATCCAGTTTATTGTATGGATGTATATGTGTTGAAGGCGACATTGTTTTCCATGAGTTACTGGATGCCAGGTCTCCACTGCCATGTCCTGGGAACCCTGAGATCAACATAAATATATGTATTGCACAATGTTGTGACTGGTAACTGAATATAATACTGATTACTCTTTACGTAATGTGAGGCATTATTGCAAACATTACCAAAGATAATATACTCAGAATATTTAATATAATGAACAAAATATAAGGTTGAAGTTCGGGCTTATACAAATAAATTGTTCTGATCGAGAATTAGCACATTCTTTGATTATAATTGTGAACACAATTTACATCATATCAAAATATCATCGCGAAACAGGCGAAATATGTGAATTTTGATATGACAAAAATGTCAACAATTTGATTTAGCCCTAGTTGTCATGAATAAATATTTCAAAACACAAAATTTCATTAACAAGGAAATTTTAAATTCTGGAATGATGCCAGAAAGTGGTCAAATGTAACATATGTTATATTTATTTCAAATGTAACAAATGTTAGGTGGTTGACGCTTTTGTTGCAGACAATTAGGTGCCAGACTCTGAGTGTATGTGTTCAAATCCCGGATTAGACTCAACCAAACGAAAGTACTAGAATTTGTACTTTACTGAGAAAGTGTAATCCCAAATATAACTTATGTTGTCTCAAATCATTGAGAAGTAATAATGATTTAATGAAAATCTTGTGAAATAATTAATGATTACTAATCTGAAACAAATGAGTTTTACAAAATTACAAAATTATGAAGATATATCTCAAATAGTTGTGAAGTAATCATACTTTTTCTTAAGATTTATACAAGAAAAGTAATCTAAAAACCTGGAGAATGAATAATAGATAGTTCCTTGTTTGAATTAGTCATATTTACAGCACTGAAATATCAGCATTAAATCACAGCCTAAGGCACTGGGACTGAATCTGAGTGAAGTCTGTTGTCTGGTGGATGCTCCAGCAGTAATACAGACCCACCAGAAGTCCTACATAGTAACCACAAGGTTCTCTTAATGATTATATCACACTTCATTTACATTGATTGAAAGGAATAGAAATTCGCATTTGCAAGAAAACATGTATCCAAGCAACACAAAATGGTAAACTAATCATAATAAATCTACAAACTCTAAAGACTTCAACAAGTGCATGTAAAACCTCTTTTTTAAACATTAGATGAAAGTAACAAATATATAAGAATTTTGAGTATGTAAAAAGATTCTGCCTGAGAAAATATTATATTGAAAAACATTATATTATACATGAAGGCAAGTGATACTTTTTCATTGACAATTAGGCTAGTCTGTAAAACAGGGGTTGTCAATAACACAAGCTGTAGTAATTCTGTAACAACACTGTAGTAGGCCTTCCACATAAACTGTAGTAGGTCTGCAGCAGACTAGGCATCCACTCTGATGCAATCCATGAGCATCCCCAGCTGTAGGGGTGGTAAAGTTGCATGACGGGTATATTTGGATTTGTTGAGACTGGGAAGGTGAAGGTCGTGAAGGCTGGATCTTTTAGCTTCATATGGGAATTGACTTGGAGACTTGCTCTGGAAGAGATAACCCAAAACATGATGCAGATGCTCAACACAAACCTAAAACACCATTCCCAAACACAGAATATTTAAAAACTTATTTATAAAAATTTCAAAATCAAGTCAATCATACTGTCAAGTGCATGTCTTTTGCTATCTGCTGTATGCTGATGACTATTGCGACACATCGTTAATACACTGGGGATGACATTTCTGGAAACAATTTACATCAACAATGTGATATTGGGTTAACCTGCTCTGGGTATGGTCTGCATAACATGGTGTTTATCATTAGAAACAACCAAACTAACTCACCCAGATGTTACATCCTCATTTGACTTCCAATTATGTGTTCAGGATCACAACTTGCACACCCTACCCTCGAACCCCATGTACCCTCCTTTATTACACCCTACCCTCCAAACCCCATGTACCCTCCTTTATTACACCCTACCCTCAAACCCCATGTACCCTCTTTTATTACACCCTACCCTCAAACCCCATGTACCCTCCTTTATTACACCCTACCCTCAAACCCCATGTACCCACCTTTATTACACCCTACCCTCCAACCCCATGTACCCTCTTTTATCACACCCTACCCTCAAACCCCATTTACCACCTTTATTACACCCTACCCTCAAACGACATGTACCCACCTTTATTACACCCTACCCTCAAACGACATGTACCCACCTTTATTACACCCTACCCTCAAACGACATGTACCCACCTTTATTACACCCTACCCTCCAACCCCCATGTACCCACCTTTATTACACCCTACCCTCCAACCCCATGTACCCTCTTTTTTTTACACCCTACCCTCAAACCCCATTTACCAACCTTTATTACACCCTACCCTCAAACGACATGTACCCACCTTTATTACACCCTACCCTCAAACGACATGTACCCACCTTTATTACACCCTACCCTCAAACGACATGTACCCACCTTTATTACACCCTACCGTCAAACCCCATGTACCCTCCTTTATTACACCCTACCCTCAAACGACATGTACCCACCTTTATTACACCCTACCCTCAAACGACATGTACCCACCTTTATTACACCCTACCATCAAACGACATGTACCCACCTTTATTACACCCTACCCTCAAACCCCATGTACCCTCCTTTATTACACCCTACCCTCAAACCCCATGTACCCTCTTTTATTACACCCTACCCTCGAACCCCATGTACCCTCCTTTATTACACCCTACCCTCAAACCCCATGTACCCACCTTTATTACACCCTACCCTCCAACCCCATGTACCCTCTTTTATCACACCCTACCCTCAAACCCCATTTACCAACCTTTATTACACCCTACCCTCAAACGACATGTACCCACCTTTATTACACCCTACCCTCAAACGACATGAAACCACCTTTATTACACCCTACCCTCAAACCCCATGTACCCACCTTTATTACACCCTACCCTCAAATGACATGTGCCCACCTTTATTACACCCTACCCTCAAACGACATGTACCCACCTTTATTACACCCTACCCTCCAATGACATGTACCCACCTTTATTACACCCTACCCTCAAACGACATGTACCCACCTTTATTACACCCTACCCTCAAACGACATGTACCCACCTTTATTACACCCTACCCTCACCCCATGACATGTACCCACCTTTATCACACCCCCACCTACCCTCCCACCCCATGTTCTTTAACTGTATCCGTCTGATGGCTTAGGTCAGTTTCTACACAAACCAGGCCAATACATCGTTTGGCACTGTATGCTAAATAACAGCCATAAGAATAGGATCTATTTTGAAAAGCAAAATGAACAACCTGTGGTAATTAATGAAATGAAAGGTACACCCATCAAGAAAAGGATAATACAAAAAGAGAAGCTATGCTGCTACTGAAAGTGTCATCACACAGGTTAATATGGCATGCAGGTGGTATGGGAGAGACAGGTGCCATCCTCATGGCAGACATACAGGACATGATTATTTAGAAAGGGTTCAAACGGGTCCAAATGGATAAACATGTATGTTAAATCAATATGGGTTGGGAGTTCCTTTAGAAATGTGTAATTTCAAAAGGAGGGGTGTGAGATGTGTGGGTGGTGGTAGGTGCTAACATCCCATGTCTCCATCACTTACAGCACCAACAACAGGAGTCATTCCAAACTACAGTACAAATAAACAGTGAGTAAGAGAAAACCGAAAGGCTACAAGAGACTACAACATCTGACCAGACAACACTCACATACAGCCATACCATTCCTATTCATGGTTGGTAGTATATTTTCAGCTAAGTCCACATTAGCTAAATACTTGGTTATCTTTAGGTAGGCATTAAAAAGAATCATTCATTAATGAAAACACATGTGAGTAATTGTTATGTTACATGTCACAATGATTCTCACTAGTTCACCCCATCATGTAGTAATACAGGAGGTCGGCCTGCAACACGGTGGAACAACACTTAGTCCTGGCAATAGTATTCCTGGTATTGCTGGAGAGTTAAGGTGTGAGACATAAACACACCAATGACTCAAGCTGGTCTGTGGATGTACCCGATATCTACCAGTATTCCCCTATATTAGTAACACTACACGTCTTTACTGTGTAGTAGTGGAATATGTGATAACAGGTGTTTATATGAGTGGAGGCAAGAAAAAATTGAAGAAACATTTGTCTACATGTTGAAGCATGAACTATTCTAAATCTACCTACAACATTTCAGTATACATCCTTTCTGAATAGTCACAAAAATCCTTCTTACTCAACTTTACTAAATACTGATTGTACATTTAAATCTTATTTTCTGTAAATATAAACACAATATTATTTTCTAAAATACTAGTACATCATGTATGAAAACCCTTGAGGTACAAAGTGTATAAATGTTGTAATCAATACAGAGTTACTCCCCATCATTACTTACAGATATGTAATGATGTAGTTTCTTCTTGGCTAGTTTGTAATGGCGACACATATGGTCATGTGCCATCTTGCGGACAGGGGAGATCACTGTGCGAGACTTGGTAATGGGTGGAGGTGGCAGGGGCTTCTCCCAGACATAGTCACTCTCCACCGCTGACTGAACCATCGGGAACCTGGTCTCGTCCATGTGGGGGATCCTGGAACCAAGGCCATCATTATTAGAAAACCACTGCGTTTAGTTGCTGAAACACCAGTCATCTCCAACATGAGATCACCTGTATCTATCAGCCATTATTCAACTCCTGGGCCCCAGGGGTCACTTCTCACCCACCATCCCCACAGGATGTCTATTGAGGAACTGTTGGCAGCTGCTGTGGAGGGAACTAAGTTGATCTGTGTGAATGGATGCAAGTGACAGCAGCACAGCCAGAATCTCATCAATGAGAAACAGCATGTGAACTGCTGGCCAAAACAAAGAATACCATTGAATCCTGGATTCAAACATTATCAAGATAAAAACAGTCACCGAAACAATGCAAACTTAAAGTCACAAATACAAACACAACACCTATGTAAACTACATGCCAATTGAACAACCATTTCTTGCATGTTTCACTTTTAGCCAGCATCAAACAGGGGTTTATATTGTATTTGCCCATCAGTTAAATATGCAAATCCTATGCACTTGACATATATTGAAGTTTAGTGGTGATTGGATAGAATGTGAAAATGTCTAACATACCCACAACTAAATCATCAGTGGATTAGATATTAGAAATCAACAAGGTCACCGTGTGAAACAAACCTGCTTCACAAATATTTTCATTGATCTCACACTTGCTTGTGAACAATTGATCCCCAAAAGCAGCCATACTTTCTAGGACATCTGTGCTGGAAGACTGCCTTCTCCACCTGTACGCTTCACCAATATCAACCCTAGGGCCACTTACTGGGGTTTATGTAGGATGTTCCCAGACTTGTCCAGTGGAGGCAGGGTAAGGTCAGGGTTGTACGACCTTGTCATGTGACTAGCCTTCTTCCTGCGTTGTCGAGCTCCGGACACAGGAACGACCGGAACATTGGTTGTCCACTGCATCTGGAGAACACCAAAATTACTTCTCCCAGAGTCTCTGGAACAGATGAACGAGTGGTCAACATCAGGTAGGTGTTACATCCATTACTGTGCTATTTCTCAGAGGATGCTTAACTTTCTTAATGTAGATACAAAGGCCAGGATTAAGACATATTGAATAAATAATTATATTTTCATCCCTGCTTATCTCACTATCAAACACTCTTTCTCACTACCTCACATTTTTAATGTCATGTACAGTTCCTTCCTTGGACCACCTCTTTCACTTACACATTCTGTGTGTGGACACTGAGACGACCCGGAACTGCCTCCACCTTGTGTTTCTCGGAGTCCGACTTGTCCTGAAAACAAACAAACTCATAGTTTTGAACAAGTTACTATCTACAGGACAGCATTTGTTCATGTTCTGCATCATACCAATCTTGAACGGTATTATGATTATTCTGAATCATACGAATGTGGAAGTTTGATATGCATTCCAGTTCTGTGGCTGACAGTCACCCACCTTCTCCGCCACCCTGACTGTGTGGAGGAGTCGGAGGCCAGCCTCCCCGGGGGATGTGGGGAGGTCAGAGCTGATGTAGGAGATAGGCGGTAGACTGGACATCTTCTTCATGTTGCCTTCCTCAAAGTCCTTCTTTACCATGCCCATCCTTCGTCTCTCTACGGCAGTTGGGGTCTCAAAGAATTCCTTCCAATCTTTCCCTATAACAGAACAATCAAATAGTTTTTTCCACTTTTTCCCTGCAATATGATCTCAAACAATGCTTTGTAATCTTTCCTTCAACATTGGAACTGTTTGTTTTCTTGCATCATTTGTAATTTCTTACATTCAGACTGGAACTGCTCCTTGCTATGTGGGGAATGGAGGGAACCTTATGAAGGGACCTTGAATCTCTGTGATGATTCATGCTAAGAATTATTATTTTTCTGTTCTAGCACACTTGCTACTTCTATTTCAGTTTCTAAAAGCTGCATCACAGCATGTGGACATCACAAAGCCTGTAAATGTGAATGGAATTCATGGAACAGAGGACACCCAAGACACAGTCCACAAACCACAAAGTCTGGTACATCCAGGATACTTCTACTGACTCTGACCTTTCTTAGGCGGGGGTGATGGCCCATTGGATGAAGACTTCACTGGTGACAGCTGCCGTTGGTTTACTTTCTTCTTGTACGATGCTACAGGGCCAACGCGGTTGCCCTGGGAGGAGGAGTCAGATATGTCCCTGCCGATGCCCGAGTCATAGAAGCTGAGCCCCTCCTGGGAGTGAACCTCCGTCTAGAACCACAGACACTCACATATAGATGGCTCCTATCAGGATATTCATGAACTAGACAGGATATGTATTTCGAAAACAAATATTAAAGATGAAGGATGGAGATGCTTGTGACATGTGATATCAAATATCAGTTGTGGCTGTTTTACAAGTTCAGGCAGTTATCCACACCAACATCATCCTTTCAGTTTTAGCCAATTGCTGTGAACAGCGATATATACTCTGAGAAGATGATGACTCACTTGTTGCGAGATCTCTGTCGGAATGACCAAATCTTGATGATCTGAGCCAGCAGACATTGACAGTGAATGAAGGTCTGAGTCTTTGTCTGAGCTCATCCTGGCGTACTCTATCAGGCGCTTACTGAGCACCTGCCCAGAATCCCGCTTCCCAGAATGGCCTTCACCTTTAAGAAAATAATAGTTTAAGTAGAATCAAAATTGTTGGAATGTCTGGTAAATCTATGACATCCTGTAATTAAGACATGAGTATGTGACTGGATGGGTGTCGGCTAACACTATCAGTTGTCCATGAAGCACCTGCTCTCTGGTCATAATGCTGTTCAAAAGTATCAACAGAGCGAGAACATTACACATCATTAAACAGAGGCTGCTGATCAGTTCATCTTCCCCTTTCACATTTGCATACAATTTCTACTGTTCTTTTTCATAAAAGTCTGCTATTGCAAGTCATGATGTCTCTTGATAGTGTTACTACAATCACAATGACTGATCTCAGTTCTGGAAAGTATCACGGTTTAACAAGATATGTAACAATCAGTTGATGAAACTTCATCTGTCAGATGAGTTGTCCCTTTCAAATAGATATCGCCGGACATAAGGTCTCCTTCATAACAGATCCATGGTTACTGTCACCACAGGGTGGTTATGTTTTGTTAGACTGTATCCAGGAAGGTGTATGAGATGGGCAGAAGGAAACGGCACAAATTACAATCATCATATGTTTTTCATATTGTTGTTGCCATTGTGTAGGAATGTGCATAAATTCAATCATCTTCTGTCAATTTTAAGTGATTTGATGAAAAAATACTTATATAAAACACTACAAATACACAAATGTGTGGCTCCTAAACCAGGTGAAGTCAGATAGAATATACAGGTGTGACATGTCTGTAAGCTGTGGGTACTGGTTAGTTCCTACACAGACCACAGGTGAGGAGTAGTTGTCATATACATTATCCATACCAAACATATATACAGGAAAACAGCATTCGCAGTACCTGGTGCCTGCTGATCTGATTGTCCCAAAGTACTCCCAAGACAGATCAGTCTGTGTTCCCTGTCTTCTATACTTGATGACATTCACCGTCCTACCATACATACATTCTCCATGTGAAAAACATTCGCCAACCAGAATTGTACAGCAAATGTTTGCTTAAAACATATACAAATCTAATTTTAATGTCTCCCCAAGAACTTTGATGAAAATTGATAACAAATATATTTTGGTCTCACCAAACTTTTCATCTCCAACAATATGATGAAGAATATCATAGGTACATGTTGAGTAGGCGAAACAACTGAATGGAATAAATATTTACTGCAAGCTATTCAACAGTGTGACCAATGTCAGCCTGAATATATATTGCCATTAATGAGTACCAATAAAGTCAACTCAGGTGCCAGAGAGCTGGGTCAAGTTGGTTGATTGTAACTAGCTACAAACAATTTTGTTTTCAGAACTATGCTAATTTCCTGCATCAAAATATATCTAATTAGTAAGTAATTACTGGAAATTACTTCTCAAATGTTCTAATTACTGGAAGGCAAATAAAAAAACAACAACAAATAAAGTATCCAATTATGCTGTTTTGTTAATGATTCAGTGTCTATTTGACAGGGTCAGCTGTATATGCTGGAGGTGCATGTCAATATGTGTAGTGCTCAGGTGTAGGTGACAGGGATAGTGTGTATGTTATATACCAAGAACATTGCCACTTTAATACTGATGTACATACTGATATATACAAGTAATTTATCACAATGTGTTACCTCTAAACATGTTAAATGAGACATTATCCAAACTACCAATCTCAACCATAACTTAATAGCACTAAATGACACCAGCCAGAGACCACAACACGATGTATGTTTCTGTCAGAAATATCAAACCTGTCTAATTCAGTCAATGTAGTTCAAACAATCAAAGATGAAAATACACAATCTAAACTAATAAGAATGATTCCTTAATGATATTAGTAATGTCCTTATAAGATAATTCACTTCTTATGACTTTTTAGAAAATCAGAAAATATTTATATCTGTATTATTATTTATCAAGTAAAAAAAGAACAAATTATATTTTACTCCGGATATGTTTTCAATGTAGTTTTGAGATACTAGTATTATCTCAGTCTTGACCAAGTGGTAAGGTGATGTTCTGTGACTGTAGCAGTTCACTACATTTAACAGATTGGGACACCTACCACTGTAGCATGGTACACATGACCCACTACAGTATCTACAACATCACTAACAGGTAAGTATATAGACATCACTTAAAAAACAACCTACCTGCTTGTAATGGTGACGCTGTGAATAACTAACAACTCTACTTGCCATTTAATTAAAACGGTCACTGTTTTCACGACTGAGAAGTCACAGAGGGCAAATGCCCCTATGAGCCCAGTTATCAACAAATCAGAGACCTGCTCTTTGATGAGCAGTCGGGCAGTAGTGTGTTAGTGTACCTTGAAACTGCTGCCAGGCACGGCAGGCTCACATAACAATGGCTGCATGTTTAACCCTGGGTGACGATTTGGGAATGAAGATCTGTATTCTGAAATCTGAGTCAGAGGGCAGAACAGAGGGTGGTTGTGTGTGACTGCTTCACACCCGACAGATATCAGGGTAACACAGGGCGAGTCTGGGGTGGCAGGGGCTAATGGGGACAGTCCACACGCAGGTGGTCACACGCCAGCTACTCACCTCATAAATAACACACAGGCCTGGCTTATTACAGACATTTATATACCTAGTAAATGAACACCTCTCAATCTGAGAAACGTCAGTCTATTCAACTATCTAAATTACAAATTTAACCTGTCTATGTACATGCATATTAGTGTTTGTATGTAATTTAACACAATGACAAATATTTTATGTTCATTCCAAGTAAGTTATCTCAGGTAACATTACAACTAATGTTTAAATAATTCAATAAGAGCAGTCAGTTTTCACTTTTTTCTGTTAAAATCAAATCCAGAAAAATACACACACTAATCATTCATGACAGCAATATTTCATTATAATGAAAATCAATAAAGAGGCCAATATTTAATACCCCATTCATACATGTGTATACACAATCTACACACGGTGCTCAATAAACTCAATTTGTACTCATAACACTCACTGGGCCCTCCCAGGCAACCATAAGGGGGACCCCGATTCCCCCCACCCCTCACCATACAGTTTGGAAGAAGGGGTATTAGCCTACTGTTGAGCTCTGAGATAACAGTGATCCCACATCCCAGCTACTTAGCCTGTATACTATGATACCTGTCTGACAACAAAGATATATATGTTCTGCCCTCCCAGCCGTCGCACAATATCAGCCGAGGGTCTGGATCTCGATATATAGCAAGGAGTTTACGATAGACACTCCAGGATTAATGTGGATTAACTTAATCCTTCTGACCAAGAAAGGATCACCTGATTGATCGTGTTACTGGGCTAGATGGAGCGTGTCTGTAATATTCCACTAACAACATGGCAATTAGTCAAGCTCACTTGGTGGACGCAAGTACCGTGACATAGGTCTGTGATTAGATTGATCATTGTGACAAGTTTGCTTTAGTTATTGTACTGAGCTGGTGTGATATCAGGTATTGGTGTAAGGTCATTACAGCAGCAACTGCTAAGTCTGAAACATTGCTACTTAGGGTTTATCCATTAGGGAAGATTCGACAATAGACATTCAGGGCACATCTGTATATGAGCAGTCTTTTCTTGGCAGTTTTTTAAACACAGGTCTTTAACGTCTTTATATCTCTCACGGTCATTAAGTGCCCCTGTGATGTAGCTCACCTGTATTGTGCTTCAACCATACAAACCACCTGAGCGATATGGTCTTAAACATGTTTTTGAAGTTGAATACAATCATGAATAACTTTGATATTTAAAAAAACAATTAATTAAATGAGACTTTTTGAGCATAATATATTTGAATACTTAACTGAAAATTTGAACGCCCATCCTGTTTTAAGTGAGTGCCTAAACCATGGCCAATATCTATGGTGCTTCATTGGGATATCTGGAATAGGATCTTGACATGATAAATTTATCATCCAAAACTGTGTTCCACAGGAGATATCGCTTGTGTGAGATCAAACGATATCTCCTAGGAGATATCGTTTTGACAGTAGATTTAGTACAATGCCCTGACAATGCTATGACGTCATGTACTTGATGACGCCACAATGCTATGACATCGCTGCACTGCAAGTCTCATGGCAGTACCATGTTCAGAGATGTACATTTTTTCATTGAAAATTAATGAAGAGTGATTTTGGATGATAAATAGAATCTCACCCTCCTGTCTTCTGATATCAAATATATCAACACTCATTGATAAAAGTAAAAATATCCTTGGCAAGCCTCGGATATTTGTAACTTTATCAACTCGTGTTGATATAATTGATATCAGAAGACACTTGGGTGAGATTCTCTATATATTGGTCAGGGGAACTTATTTTTATGTCAAATTTATTTACTTACCTACAGACCAATATTTAAAGGACTTGTTACCAAAATCACAACTCAGTTTTATAACTGGGAAGACAAAACAGGAATCAGGAAATAAAATGAATGGTCATGTGCCCATAGTAACAATCGGCAAGGTTATGTAGCTGACACTTACCTCTGTGTGTGGATCTTCCACTGTCAGCGGGGTCACGACTCCGGCCTGACCCTTCAGTATGGGGCTCCGGGTAGCAGTGCCCAGAACCTCCCTTGGGGCGGAACCTGATGGGATACAGACACATAAGTTATAGATACCTTCCTTGGTAGTCTATGTCCAAATAAGAGATGAGAGGACCTCTAGAGACAGAGGGGAGGGGTGAGACAGGGGTAGGGTGAGATAGAATGGAGAGGTGAGTCAAGGGTGGGGTGAGACATTTGGGAGACAGAAATAGAGCCAGGGACTCTAGGTGAAGTCACAAAGAGGGGTGAGAGAGAGAGGGTATGGTGAGAGATAGGGGTAGGGGTGAGACAGGGGTGGGTGAGATAGAGGGAGGGGTGAGACAGAGGTAGGATGAGATAGAGAGGAGGGGGGTGAGACAGGGGAGGGGTGTGAGTTAGATTGCAGGTGTGATTGACCGGCAGGGTGAGACGGGAGTAGTGAGAGATAGAGTGGAGGGTTGTGAGACAGTGGTAGGGGTGTGAGGCAGGAGTTGTGAGAGATAGAGGGGAGGGGTGAGACAGTGGTAGGGGTGAGGCAGGAGTTGTGAGAGATAGAGGGAGGGGTGAGAGAGACAGTGAAAGGGTGAGGCAGGAGTTGTAAGAGATAGAGGGAGGGTGAGACAGTGATAGGGGGTGAGGCAGGAGTTGTAAGAGATAGAGGGAGGGGTGAGACAGTGGTAGGGGTGAGGCAGGAGTTGTGAGATAGAGGGAGGAGGTGAGACAGTGATAGGGGTGAGGCAGGAGTTGTAAGAGAGAGAGGGGGGGGTGAGACAGTGGTAGGGATGAGGCAGGAGTCCGAGTGAGAGATAGAGGAGGGGTGAGACAGTGGTAGGGGTGCTGAGACAGGGTTGGGTCGAGATAGAGAGGAAGGGTGAGACAATGGTAGGGGGTGAGACAGGGGGTAGGGTGAGACAGGAGTAGGGGTTAGAACAGGGGTAGTGAGAAAGTAGAGGGAGGAGTTGAGACACAAGGGTGGGGTGAGAAAGTCACTGGGTAGAAGAGACATGGGGATTCTCTATATATTGGTCAGGGGAACTTATTTTTATGTCAAATTTATTTACTTACCTACAGACCAATATTTAAAGGACTTGTTACCAAAATCACAACTCAGTTTTATAACTGGGAAGACAAAACAGGAATCAGGAAATAAAATGAATGGTCATGTGCCCATAGTAACAATCGGCAAGGTTATGTAGCTGACACTTACCTCTGTGCGTGGATCTACCACTGTCAGCGGGGTCACGACTCCCGGCCTGACCTTTCAGTATGGGGCTCCGGGTAGGAGTGCCCAGAACCTCCCTTGGGGCGGAACCTGATGGGATACAGACACATAAGTTATAGATACCTTCATTGGTAGTCTATGTCCAAATAAGAGATGAGAGGAACTCTAGAGACAGAGGGGAGGGGTGAGACAGGGGTAGGGTGAGATAGAATGGAGAGGTGAGACAAGGGTGGGGTGAGACATTTGGGAGACAGAAAAAGAGCCAGGGACTCAGGTGAGGTGAAGTCACAAGGGGTGAGAGAGAGAAGGTATGGTGAGATAGGGGGTAGGGCTGAGACGGGTGGGGTGAGATAGAGGGGAGGGGTGAGACAGAGGTAGGATGAGATAGAGAGGAGGGGTGACACAGGGGAGGGGTGAGTTAGATTGCAGGTGTGATTGACTGGCAGGGTGAGATGGGAGTAGTGAGAGATAGAGGGGAGGGGTGAGACAGTGGTAGGGGTGATGCAGGAGTCGTGAGAGATAGAGGGGAGGGGTGAGACAGTGGTAGGGGTGAGACAGGGTTGGGTCGAGATAGAGAGGAAGGGTGAGACAATGGTAGGGGTGAGACAGGGGTAGGGTGAGACAGGAGTAGGGTTAGACAGGGGTAGTGTGAAATAGAGGGGAGGGTTGAGACAAGGGTGGGGTGAGACAGTCACCAGGTAGAAGTGAGACATGGGTAGGGTGAGATAGATTGGAGGGGTGAGACAGTGGTAGGGGTGAGACAGGGGTAGTCCGAGATAGAGGGTGAAAACTGAAACTACTCTGGCTGGCAAGTGCTAGAAATAGATTCTAAAGCATGTGACTGTGCATTGAACTGCTTGAATGATTAGTTGTGGAAGAGTATCCATCATATGAAGTACATAGCAGCATTCATTCTAGAACATTTTGTTAGCCTCTATATAAATTAGACAATTTTTGATTGGTTAATAATCCATCTTAAACTACCTTACCCTGTTCCTATTGGTAGTATGAACAGCCTTGACAGTTTGGGACCGTTGCCATTGAAATCCAACTACTTGGAGAATTCAACCATTATTATCAATTTTTTTTTAGAATATGCTAGTTTGTATGCGTGAAAAGAAATAAATTGAACCTAAAGATACATCTTAATATGTGGTATTATTTGAAATAGCAATTCTCTTAATCGATAATGTTTATCTGAGACAACAATCATGGTGAAACATTTTGCATCCCACAGAAGAGAAACAGATGAAACAATTCTGGAAAACACACACAAAAAAAACACACTAAAAAATCTAAATGGCAATAAATTCATTACACTGCTATTTGCCAGACCAACGGCCGAAGGAAATATATATTCAAAGGGGCTGTACCACCCACAAGTACCTAGGACAAAGTCATGTGACTAATAATCTGCCTCCTGGGGATGATCTGTGTACAATTATTGAAATAGTATTTGTTTGAAGTGAGTGCCTAAACCATGGCCATAATCTATAATGCTTCACTGAGAATAGGATCTTGACATGATAAATATATTGGTCAGGGGAACTGTTGCTTCTGTCTAGAAATTATAGCCTTAACCAAACACAGTGGTTACTATGGCAACACAGAAATGCATTGAACACACACCTTGACTCCACCCGAAGGAGGACAGCGGTCTCTGATGTCCAGCTTCCTCTGAAATATCACAGGAGAGAGAGAGAGAGAGTGAGAAAGTGAGTGAGTGAGTTTAATTTTACGCCACTTTAGCAACATTTCAGAATATCACGGCAGGGGACACCAAAATGGGTGTAACACATTGTACCCATATGGGGAATTGAGCATGGGTTGCTTTAACCACTAGGCTACCCCAATGCCCCTGAGAGAAAGAAAGAGTGTGTGTGATGTTGTGACATGGTAAATGATGTTCTCTTGCACAGTAAATGGGGTGATATACAATGATGGCAACCAAACAAAAACAGCTGACAGGATAGTTCATCTGAGAGACAGCAGAAACATGATGAATGATAAGGGAAATAACTCTGTCAGAACTACACATCTAATCATGAAATGTTTCTTGCAGCCCTCCTTCGTGCATGCAATACCAACCGTGGTTTCTGGTCGTGACTGAAGGCCTCGGGTTCCGGGGTGTTACGGATGAAGGACTGGGGGGAGCAAGCACGGTGTGGTCCTCTTCCTCCTGACAGCTGATCTGATACTTTGGTGGGTTGTCTCTCTTGACGCGACTTGTGCACGGTCTGTGTGGGTTCCTCTGTTACTTCAGGCTTCTTTTCCTCCACCACAGAGGAAGTCTTGCCCCCAGCTGGAGAGGAACAAAGCTAACATTCAATATGGACTTCAAACAAAGCTTTTGTCTGCTGAATATTACACCTATACAGCAAGCACCTGTCTATGAGTGATCAGTCCTTGATCCCGTTCTTAATGACATTAGCTTTTGGAAATGCAAATTTATTTAAATCTATGACTGTTTCCAATCAAATTCAAATCACATAAATTTTTTTAGAGAGTTGCTTTCTAAGATGTCCTTTCAGTTATCCACTAACAACTCACGTTTCACAGATCTGCTTGGATGCCTTTTAGAGAAAGATTTCCTCCGTTGTGAAGATGTGCTATTCCTTCTCTTCCTCTCAAGAGAACTGTCTCGCCCCTCACTATCAGGGGAAACAATCTTCACTCTCTTGGCTGTGCCTGCTTCCTCTTCCCCTGCCTGTACAGACAACAAATATCAGTAACTCAGCTCCCCATGCAAATTAGAAGTTGTCCTCCGTTAGACAGTGCTGAAGAGAATAACATGGTCAGATGGTCAAACTCAATGATTTCACTCCATTATTTACGGACAGCTGTCATATAGCTGGAGTATTGCTGAATGGTTTGTTACAGTCTCTACTCCAAGCATTTAATTGAAAACACTGAGAGAGATTACATACGAAAAACTCACCCTGTGTTTTAAATGAATCCCATGGTTGTATGAAGACCCCCAATGCCTAATCAGTGTTTAACTGAGGACGTTTATGGGGTAATGTTGTGGCAGTTGAACACTGAATTTTTGTAATCAAACATGGAATCAAATGTCGAATCTGTAAACCAAATAAACCAAAACCAAGGTTATATCTAACACAGCCAGGTGGACCTCTACTTACCATTACAGGTATGTATTCCTCTCCTTCAAACACACCGGGGATGGAACTGGACACCCAGTCACTCACCCAGTCGTGGAAACTTTCTATCACAGTGACACTCTGCTGCTTGGTCAGGCCAATCTTGTCCCTCAGAATCTTCAGGGCATTGTCCTGAGGAACAAAGGTACTGCATTTCATATCAAAGAGTGTATTCAGTTATTACTTTATAGAGGTAAGTGACATTAAATTACTTCTGTCCTTGTTATATAGTGTGGGCATTATCATGTGTATTACCTCATCCTCTGATGACAACAGGGGCCGTGTGACCCCCAACTTGTTGAGGAGGTCAGCCAGACTTTCCTTGTCCTTCACATTGGTCAGTTCTACCAGGGCAAGCACTGCCTCTTGTCGGACATCACGCTGGACAAACAATGGTGATTAGGTGACCACAACTAAAATAAATTCACATGGAATATTGCCCATGTGTAATGAAGCAGTACTGTCTACACGTATGTCAACTGTTATTTTAAACAGTTCCAACAGAGGGTCTTTAGGAACCAAATTGTACATGTAACTAGTCAGTACTACAACTTTGGAAGTATCGTTCTTTAACCTCTCTTGTTAACATACAACTGTGGAAGTATTGTTCTCTACACTTCTGTTAACATACAACTGTGGAAGTACTGTTCTCTACACTTCTGTTAACATACAACTGTGGAAGTATTGTTCTCTACACTTCTGTTAACATACAACTGTGGAAGTATTGTTCTCTACACTTCTGTTAACATACAACTGTGGAAGTATTGTTCTCTACACTTCTGTTAACATACAACTGTGGAAGTACTGTTCTCTACACTTCTGTTAACATACAACTGTTAACATACAACTGTGGAAGTTCTCTACACTGTTCTCTACACTTCTGTTAACATACAACTGTGGAAGTACTGTTCTCTACACTTCTGTTAACATACAACTGTGGAAGTATCGTTCTTTAACCTCTCTGTTAACATACAGCTGTGGAAGTATTGTTCTCTACACTTCTGTTAACATACAACTGTGGAAGTACTGTTCTCTACACTTCTGTTAACATACAACTGTGGAAGTACTGTTCTCTACACTTCTGTTAACATACAACTGTGGAAGTATCGTTCTTTAACCTCTCTTGTTAACATACAGCTGTGGAAGTATTGTCCTCTACACTTCTGTTAACATACAACTGTGGAAGTACTGTTAACATACAACTGTGGAAGTACTGTTCTCTACACTTCTGTTAACATACAACTGTGGAAGTACTGTTCTCTACACTTCTGTTAACATACAACTGTGGAAGTATTGTTCTCTACACTTCTGTTAACATACAACTGTGGAAGTATTGTTCTCTACACTTCTGTTAACATACAACTGTGGAAGTACTGTTCTCTCCACTTCCGTTAACTTCTCCTGTTAACTGTCCTTTACTTTCAGCTCAGAGAAACCTAACAGAGGACTTTTGTATGACTGTTGGCACTGACGGGGAAAATATTCTGTCTCAAACAAAATACCAGACACCCCACTCCCATCCTTCCACAGACACCCACACCATAGTCCCTCTCCTCCACCAAACACCTGCCCCTAAACCCCAGGCCCCCTCTACATTAGCCAGCTGGTCCAGTGTGTGCTGTAGACAGTGGTCAGCTCCACCAAACACCTGCCCCCACCCCCCTCTACATTAGCCAGCTGGTCCAGTGTGTGCTGTAGACACAGTGGTCAGCTCCACCAAACACCTGCCCCCACACCCCAGCCCCCCTCAACATTAGCCAGCTGGTCCAGTGTGTGCTGTAGACACAGTGGTCAGCTCCACCAAACACCTGCCCCCACACCCCTCTACATTAGCCAGCTGGTCCAGAGTGTGCTGTAGACACAGTGGTCAGCTTCACCAAACACCTGCCCCCACACCCCTCTACATTAGCCAGCTGGTCCAGTGTGTGCTGTAGACACAGTGGTCAGCTCCACCAAACACCTGCCCCCACACCCCTCTACATTAGCCAGCTGGTCCAGTGTGTGCTGTAGACTCAGTGGTCAGCTCCACCAAACACCTGCCCCACACCCCACACCCGCTCTACATTAGCCAGCTGGCCCAGTGTGTGCTATAGACTCAATGGTCAGCTCCACCAAACACCTGCCCCACACCCCACACCCCATTCTACATTAGCCAGCTGGTCCAGTGTGTGCTGTAGACTCAGTGGTCAGCTCCAGCATGGCTGTCTACTTACTGAAGGATCCACAAGTTTCGGGAGGATGGCGGTGATAATGTCGCTGGAGTCCATACCTAGACCCCGGAGAGTGCGGACACAGTTGGAGCGGATCTCATTCATCTCACATGTCAGCTGGTCCAGAAGACACTCTTGGAACCTTTCTACTGTTGGCTTTATCATACCAGTTTGTCTGTGGTAGATAACAGAAGGTTAGTGAGAGACTAGATTAGGGGTAGGGATACAGTAGCTGGGGTGGGGGGAAATGGGGATTGTTGCTGGGTGTGTGAGAGGTGGGGATATATTGGTAGGGGTGGGGATGTGGAGAGGGGTGCATGTGGGTGGTGAGGGGGGAATGATTGAGGCGTGGAAACTGGGTATGTAGAGAAGTGTGCTAACATTGGAGTCATGGGGTTAGTGAGTGGCAGATTTATGGGAAATTTAGTAGCTGGGGTTTCAACAAAGGCACTAAGTCCCTCTATCACTTTGTCTACTTTACATCTCACTAGCCATGCTATTGTCAGGCTATGTATATGATGTGTCAGACCATCTGGAAGCTACTACTGTAGAGGTAGTGTGAAGAATGTTTTGAAGTTACAGTTGAAGTCATTCTGGATAAAAAGAAACACCAAAAACCAAATGGGTATGACTTTCATTAGAAATTATAAACACCAAAAATGTTTAGGGTGAAGTGTTGAGACCACAGCATCATCTCACAGATGGCAAATGACATAAAACTGATGCAATTCCTTGAGGGTCATGTGGGTGCAGTATATACAGTACTTCATAAGAACCATTGTATTCTTACTCCTGTAGACTGATGATGTAGTCACAGATCTTGTGATGGACGGCCGGTGTCTTCCCGAATGATGACAGCAGCTCCAGAAGTTTTTGGACAGCGGAACTGGCCTCCAGTGGGGTGTCACTTGGAAACCAGTCTTCAGCCAGGAGGTGCTGCAGCAGGTCCATATCAACCCCTGCTGTTGACTTCCGTTTGGGTGTGTCCTCCTTCTTGTCTGTGTCTCCAGGCTGCCACACAAACAGATAACAGAACAAGTCTTTATGTTATCATTCACCCTTGGGATGAACAACCAAGTCAGGAAACTGACATGAGTTGATAAACTTGATACGCAATCTGTCAGTGACAAAACCTTTGGACAAAGATCCTTAGCATGAGGTCCTTCACTGTGGAACTTTCTTCCAGCGGAAGTTAAGAACTCACCTTCTTCCAGAGGTCAAGTCTTGCTTAAAACAAAATACTATTTCTGACTTTATCTATTCATCATGAGCGCTTTGAGCAGGCCGTTGATGAAGTTTCCAAGATGATGGAGCATAGGGCAGAAGATGCACACTTGTCATTAGTATCATTTGTGTTTTTTGGGTGTTTTTCGAAAATTTTCAAAACCTGGATCAAATCTTTTTTTAATCGAAAGCAACTAATAGATATAATTCTGCAGAAAACACTGTTTCAGGTGGCAGTTTGGGCACCATTCAGCACAGCAGAGTTGTATTCTGCCAGCAGTCGATCTGTACATGACAACATGGGAGAGTATCATTCACAGTGTTGATATACTGCTGGGTTTTGTAATCATGTATGTGATGATATACTGCTGGGTTTTGTAATCATGTAAGTGTTGATATACTGCTGGGTTTTGTAATCATGTAAGTGTTGATATACTGCTGGGTTTTGTAATCTGCTGGGTTTTGTAATCATGTAAGTGTTGATATACTGCTGGGTTTTGTAATCATGTAAGTGTTGATATACTGGGTTTTGTAATCATGTAAGTGTTGATATACTGCTGGGTTTTGTAATCATGTAAGTGTTGATATACTGTGAAAGTATAACCCATTATACACAAATAACTGTCATGTCATATTCCAAGTAAAGGCTGTAGACAGAAGAGACAAACACACAAACATTACAGCCACTTTTGTGTTGTTTGAGTATTTGACGTCATCATTTGTTGATATCAAGCTTGTCTCCATCTTGGAGTAGACAGAGTAATATAAGCCTTTCACCTGGATCTTTTCCACTTGTGAAACCTGTCTGCGGAATGTCTTCTGTTTGACGACTTCTGGTGCTGCCAAGACTTTGGTTGATGGTTTTTCTGACTTCTCTTTTCCCTGACTTTTGTCGAAGTTCCAGTCCACCTTGGTGATGCCATGGCTTGTGGGTTTGTCTGGGATAAAACACACACAAACTTAACAGACCGATTGAAGGAGGCACTGAACAGAATAAATATCAGATATAAGAAAATCTCTTTAATTTCAGCTCTGTTACCACAGTTGTGCTATCTCTTTCTCTGAAGAGCCACTTGAGGTAAGGTCAGGTGAACCTTGAGCAGACTGTGACTGACCAAATCTAAATGCAGGATACATTAGTTCCTGGACAATCTGCTTTCTGTCATGATGTGATTTGTTTTTTACCACCTCAATTCAGACAAAAAAATTGTACAAAAGAAAATCTTAATAGGACACAAGCTTCACAAAGAGAGGTATCAGACTGGATTACAATATGTGTGTGTGTGTGCGCATGTGTGTGCGTGTGCGCACGCGTGTGTGAGAGAGTGTAAATGTGTGTCTGTGTCTGTGCATGCATGTGTGTGCACCTATGTGCATGTGTGTGAAAAATCTCTTTTCGTAGCAGTATATCACGTGACAGGGAGGTGAAATGAGGGTTGAAATAGCATTCAGAATTATTGCCCTCAAACAGAGTGAAGTAGATGCCTGTGTGTGTGTGTGCATGTGTACATTCTTGTATTTGACATACTTCTCCATAAAAATCATCATTACCCCCTAGCCATAAATTATGAACGATCCCTAACCCTGGTTTAATTTGGCTCTCCCACTGTGATACCATGTCACAGTTTCAAATGGATAGCTCCCTCTAATACAGTACACTGACAATGAGCCAACTAGTTCTTGTTGTATCCCCTTAAAGACGAGAGCTGGGCAGAGTATCAACAAGTACCATATTGTAATGCAATAGGCTGGGCATCGAACCACCAACCCTTGCCTGTCTGTATGTCCACTGCCTCTCTCTATGTCCACTACTAAGCCCACAGGGGTGTTCCGGGTATGTCAGTCAGTGAATTGGTTGTTGTCAGTATCATGTTAGTCATATTACAGATAGTAGCTATACATTACTTTCACATACAGGACACAGACTCAATGTTTACAGGACATAGTTGAAGGTGTTCTTTAGAAGTTGTGTAAAAAAAGAAAACGTTTAGTTGTAACTGCACATTTAAGATAACTACACATAAGGATCTGGGGAAATGGTCTGGTGGTGATTGAAGAGCTGGAAGAAGGTTTCACCTTGTCACCACAGATTGAAGACAAGACACTTGAATAAAGAATGACAGCTTAACCAGCTTTTCATTGCACAACTAAATTGGAAATGGGAAATATAGAAATCTACAGTAATTAGTTAAAGAATGCTGACAAAAGAGACATGAATTTGTTAAGTAAAGATGTCGTTAACTACCTTCCACACGAGGCAGGTACAATACAATCTTCATCACACAATCAGTTGCTGCCCTCGGGGGAAACTCCGGGGCATCAATAAGGTATGTCATCATAGCATGTCTTACTCTAACTCCAACTTTCATTGAAAGTGCACTTGATATAGGATCACATGACAAATTGCAGTGTCCCCGTAAACACTCTAGATGGCTGTTGGGTGTTTTGTAAAAATAAATACATCACTTGGGTCATGGATTCCAAATGTACATTTACACATCTAGTTTTTAATTACTTAATGAATTTCACCAGGTGGGAGAAGAAACAAAATAAATGAAAAACACACACACACACATGCACACTCAAACACACACATATATAGAAATATAAACACACACAGAGTTTATTGTTTATTTATGAATGAAATGATCCAGATTTACACGTCATATGCTAGTCTGTCTCACAGACACAGTTATGTATGCAACACATCCCTTGGAAGTCTATAATAGTTGACAAGTCGAGGTCACTGCAGTTATAAGCAGAGAATCTCTGGCCCTGTTATTTTATTCTAGTAAGATGATTTAACAACTGGTTTTTTTGTTTTTCTTCGAAAAATATTTCTGTTTTAAAGATAAGGTGCTCATCTTGTCACATCCTTACATTGTCTTCAGTTTCATTTTAGTTGTTAATGATATTTACCTCTGGCGTTTGGCTCATTTAATCTTTACTATTTACAAATAGTGACACCAAATGCAAAGTAAGAGAAACAAAAAGTCTGAAATTATTATTTTTTGCAGAATTTAGTCCGACTGCATTAGTCATTCTTAGGACATAATCCAGCATTATGACGGCTGAATATTTAGAATGTTTACAGCCTTCTGTCACACCCTCTGAACATATAACATGGCTGGCGACGCTGATTTGATCATATCTCTGGTGTGTCATAATTTCCATGACTTAATCAATACCAGGTGTGATTGACAACTAGATGATTGTATGGCTGAAAGGTCCATCACAGACTCCATACAATCAGCACTGGGGCAGGGTGTCTACCCGCATGTATATTTCAATAGACATGTGATATGCTGTGCAGAGGGTCATGAGTGATAAAGGACTGATTGAACTGACTGGCACTGACTTTCATAAACCTGAATAAACCTGAAGATTAATGAGATGTTATGATGTTAAAGGTGTAGTTCATATACTTTAGTAGTTCAAATTGTAAACCATACCCTTTAGCTGGTGGTATTCTGGGTGCTAGCCCTATACATTAGCTGGTGGTATTCTGGGTGTTAGCCCTATACATTAGCTGGTGGTATAGCTTGAAATGTTACTGATGAATGCATCTTGATCCTGTGAAGTTTAGCCTTATCTATGACCCAGAGCAGCATGCCTACTTCTATTCATGCTTTACGCCAAGCAGCGTTCTGCTTTTACTCATCAGTCACTGCGTCCAGGGAAAAGAGTTGTTCGTGGCCCCTCCAGAACACCAGTTGTGACCTTCAGTGGGGCATGACCCAGTTGCTACAAGACTTTCTCTCTGATGCTTTTAGGGAAGTAGCTTTAATAACAGTTTATCAACATTTCTTCTATTTTTTTTTTTTTTCGAAACCAATGAAAGATCAGCATAAGGATGAAAATCTGATAGACATTTACATAAAATATATAATACTATAAATTAGAAAAACATAAAAATATATTTGTTTCAAAAGAAGTAATACTAACAAATATATATTGTCCTGTTAAAAGCATGGTACATTGTTAGACATTTTGCCTTGAGTCACTATTTTGGATCTGGTGATTTTCACTGAGAGGTGACACACTTCACTTAATTAGCTGGTACAGGGTGTAGAGGTAAGCCAGTGGTTCATCTCACACCTGTATCAGGTGACAAGCAGGAGAAATAACCAGCTGTGAAATCCAACTAATCAATACCTGTTATAGCCCAGTGGTTAGAGTGTTCTCTCATGAAACTGGGTTTGTTTCCCATGTGGTTACAGTGTGTGGTGGGTGTCTTCCTGCATGGTATCTTGGGAACATGGTTACAGTGTGTAGTGGGTGTCTTCCTGCATGATATCCTGGGAACATGGTTACAGTGTGTGGTGGGTGTCTTCCTGCATGATATCCAGGGAACATGGTTACAGTGTGTGGTGGGTGTCTTCCTGCATGGTATCCTGGGAACATGGTTACAGTGTGTAGTGGGTGTCTTCCTGCATGATATCCTGGGAACATGGTTACAGTGTGTGGTGGGTGTCTTCCTGCATGATATCCTGGGAACATGGTTACAGTGTGTGGTGGTTGTCTTCCTGCATGATATCCAGGGAACATGGTTACAGTGTGTGGTGGGTGTCTTCCTGCATGGTATCCTGGGAACATGGTTACAGTGTGTGGTGGGTGTCTTCCTGCATGGTATCCTGGAACATGGTTACAGTGTGTGGTGGGTGTCTTCCTGCATGGTATCCTGGGAACATGGTTACAGTGTGTGGTGGGTGTCTTCCTGCATGGTATCCTGGAACATGGTTACAGTGTGTGGTGGGTGTCTTCCTGCATGATATCCTGGGAACATGGTTACAGTGTGTGGTGGGTGTCTTCCTGCATGGTATCCTGGGAACATGGTTACAGTGTGTGGTGGGTGTCTTCCTGCATGATATCCTGGGAACATGGTTACAGTGTGTGGTGGGTGTATTCCTGCATGGTATCCTGGAACATGGTTACAGTGTGTGGTGGGTGTCTTCCTGCATGATATCCTGGGAACATGGTTACAGTGTGTGGTGGGTGTCTTCCTGCATGATATCCTGGGACATGGTTACAGTGTGTGGTGGGTGTCTTCCTGCATGATATCCTGGGAACATGGTTACAGTGTGTAGTGGGTGTCTTCCTGCATGATATCCTGGGAACATGGTTACAGTGTGTAGTGGGTGTCTTCCTGCATGATATCCTGGGAACATGGTTACAGTGTGTGGTGGGTGTCTTCCTGCATGATATCCAGGAACATGGTTACAGTGTGTGGTGGGTGTCTTCCTGCATGATATCCTGGGAACATGGTTACAGTGTGTGGTGGGTGTCTTCCTGCATGATATCCTGGGAACATGGTTACAGTGTGTGGTGGGTGTCTTCCTGCATGATATCCTGGGAACATGGTTACAGTGTGTGGTGGTGTCTTCCTGCATGATATCCTGGGAACATGGTTACAGTGTGTGGTGGGTGTCTTCCTGCATGATATCCTGGGAACATGGTTACAGTGTGTGGTGGGTGTCTTCCTGCATGATATCCTGGGAACATGGTTACAGTGTGTGGTGGGTGTCTTCTTGCATGATATCCTGGGAACATGGTTACAGTGTGTGGTGGGTGTCTTCTTGCATGATATCCTGGGAACATGGTTACAGTGTGTGGTGGGTGTCTTCCTGCATGATATCCTGGGAACATGGTTACAGTGTGTGGTGGGTGTCTTCCTGCATGATATCCTGGGAACATGGTTACAGTGTATGGTGGGTGTCTTCCTGCATGATATCCTGGGAACATGGTTACAGTGTGTGGTGGGTGTCTTCCTGCATGATATCCTGGGAACATGGTTACAGTGTGTGTTGGGTGTCTTCTTGCATGATATCCTGGGAACATGGTTACAGTGTATGGTGGGTGTCTTCCTGCATGATATCCTGGAACATGGCTACTGGGTGTGGTGGGTGTCTTCCTGTAGATATCCTGAGAACATGGTTAAAGGTGGAGTTGTGTACTCACATGTGTGTTTATAACTGTCTGCTGCTGCCGGCTTGGTGTGGAGCTTGGTGGCATAGCTGGTGAGGGAGGGGACAGGGGAGCTGGTGTACGTCGGGGACGGCGAGGATTTCGACTCCTCTTCCTCATCCTCATCGTCAGCCCACAGGAACGGCTTCCCTGACTGCAACATAACTACAGCATTTAAACACATGGTCATATCATGCCTGTGTTTACTATACACCAACCTTTGCCCCTTGCAAACTGTGTCACTATCCCCTGACATCAACACATCCCTAACACAATCTATTTCATCAACTTCTCATAATACCCACCTCACCTCACCTTCCTACCCTATTCATCACCTGGATATGGTACCGTACTCATCACATGGACATGGTACCCTACTCATCACCTGGACATGGTACCCTACACATCACCTGGACATGGTACCTTACACATCACCTGGACATGGTACCCTACACATCACCTGGGCAAGGTACCCTACTCATCACCTGGACAAGGTACCCTACTCATCACCTGGACATGGTACCCTACTCATCACCTGGACAAGGTACCCTACTCATCAGCTCACCTTCCTACCCTATTCATCACCTGGATATGCTACCGTACTCATCACCTGGACATGGTACCCTACTCATCACCTGGACATGGTACCCTACTCATCACCTGGACAAGGTACCCTACTCATCAGCTCACCTTCCTACCCTATTCATCATCTGGATATGGTACCGTACTCATCACCTGGATGTGGTACCCTACTCATCACCTGGACATGGTACCCTATTCATCACCTGGACATGGTACCTTACACATCACCTGGGCATGGTACCCTACACATCACCTGGGCAAGGTACCCTACTCATCACCTGGACATGGTACCCTACTCATCACCTGGGCAAGGTACCCTACTCATCACCTGGACAAGGTACCCTACTCATCAGCTCACCTTCCTACCCCACTCATCACCTGGACATAGCATCCTAGTCATCACCTAACCTTCTACCCAACTCATCACCTCACCATGGTACCACTTAGATATGATACCCCACTCATCACCTAGATATGATACCCCACTCATCACCTCACCATGATACCCCACTCATTACCTAGATATGATACCCCACTCATCACCTCACCATGATACCCCACTCATCACCTAGATATGATAACCCACTCATCACCTCACCATGATACCCCACTCATCACCTCACCATGATACCCCACTCATTACCTCACCATGATACCCCACTCATTACCTCACCATGATACCCCACTCATCACCTCACCATGATACCCCACTCATCACCTCACTATGATACCCCACTCATCACCTAGATATGATACCCCACTCATCACCTCACCATGATACCCCTCTCATTACCTCACCATGATACCCCATTCATTACCTCACCATGATACCCCACTCATCACGATACTCCTCTCATTACCTCACCATGATACCCCACTCACGACTCACGATACTCCTCTCATTACCTCACCATGATACCCCACTCATCACCTAGACATGATACCCCACTCATCCCCTAGACATGATAAGCCACTCATCACCTCATAACAGTACCCCACTCATCACTGTGCCACCCTACTCATAATCGTGTTACCCGTTCCTCTCACTGTGTCTACCACAATCAATAGTGTTGAGGCAAGAAGCAATACCTATCAGTCACACATGCATTAAAAATGTAACCATGTAAACGTCCTGAGACATCATTAACCGAGACTATTGATGAGACTACACATGACTGAAGTCAGTTGTATATGTATGTCAGGAGGAGCTGTATCATCCTGGAACTGTATTCAGTGTATCTTGTGGACATGGAAACTTTTAGAATTCCACACCTGACAGCATCAGTAATGGTGTAATGCATAGTTAATGACTGCTAATCCAAAATAACATATTCCAAGCTTTAATACTCGAGTCAATTGGGAATCAATAATTAATCCTCACTTGTAACGATTTTCAACCTGGGACTCCATAATGCTACACAGAGGTAAACACATTACTGGATCCAGTCAACCCTTGCAGACTTTGAATATTCCATCATGAATACTTGAAGCAAATGACGAACCTGACATGGATTTAGAAAACATTTCTCTCTGATGTCACATTCTGAAGGCATTCTACTGCTTCTGCTCTTTATCACAGCTGGAAGGCTAGCATAGATTTGTTTGTTACATGTGAGGTCTGAGTTTGATTCTCTGATTGATCCAGTTTCTGATGGCTAGTGACATTGTGTGTGTCATAAATACAATATGGCAACATACACTGGAGAATAAATAAAATAAGCAAATCAAATGTGTAGTGTGGTTAATGAATGACATGAGTGTAATGTCATGCAGACAGCAGGTCATGGGCACAGCAAGGTCATGCACAGAGCAAGGTCATGTGCACAGCAAGGTCATGCAGAGAGCAGGGTCATGGGCACAGCAAGGTTATAAGAGGAGGTTGAATGAAAAGGAAGCAAGATCACTTAAATATAGAGAGCAAAGTCATGTGTTTGGAGAACAATGTCAAGTATGGTGAACAAAGTCAAGTGTTTGGAGAGCAAGGTCAGGTATGCAGAGCAAAGTCACAGTGTTTGGAGAGCAAAATTATACTACAAACAAAAAATATGGGAACACCCTAACATTTGATAGTCATATACCGTATAAACTGAAACGTGGTGAGGTCATTTATACTCTAAGGTAAATGCAACTTTTTGTGTGCTTAATGGGCACTTTAAACGACATGTTGGAACATGCAGTGAAGCAACTGATTCAATATTTGTTGAGTTTGAGTGAAATGAAACATTGTTAAAACACACCAGCACCATGTTTGATTCAAACGCCCAAACACAACAGCCTAGTGCATGTGGAAGACAGACTTCCCATGCAGCTTGTGGCAACGTTTCCTTTAAAAGAAGCTACAGACAGTATTGTAGCCTCACATTTTCTTCACCATGCCACAGCGCAAACCGTTAAGCGCCCTCAACAGAAGCAGGACCATTGCATGGTTACAGGATGGTGAATCCATAAGAAGTGTTGCTCTCCGTCTTCAGGTGTCTCCCTCTGTCATTTACAGACTGAGGGACAGGTTCCTGGCCACTGGTAGAGTAAAGGACAGACCTCTGGAATACCCAGGAAAGCATCAAGGGCAGATGACCGATATGTTATGGTCCAAGCCCTTCGGAACCGATTCACAACTGCCTGTGCCCAGTTGCCACAAGCTGCATGGAAAGTCTGTCTTCCACATGCACTAGGCTGTTGTGTTTGGGCGTTTGAATCAAACATGGTGCTGGTGTGTTTCAGCACCCTTGTTTTTCGCTGTTTTAACAATGTTTCATTTCACTCAAACTCAACAAATATTGAATCAGTTGCTTCACTGCATGTTCCAACATGTCGTTTAAAGTGCCCATTAAGCACACAAAAAAGTTGCATTTACCTTAGAGTATAAATGACCTCACCACGTTTCAGTTTATATATGATTATCAAATTTTAGGGTGTTCCCTTATTTTTTGTTTGTAGTATATTTGTTTGGAGAGCAGGGTTGAATATAGAGAGCATGCTGACCTCGACTGACGACACAGATCCCTGGTTGTCTTCCTCCATCTCCTCCTCATAAGCGCGGAGTCTCTCCTCCCAACCTGGGGGAAGGTGGCGGGGATCCGCTCGTGGTACCTGCAGCAACAACGAGGACATCATCACATCAGTGTCACATCATTGTGACATCATTGGAAACTCAATTATCCAAGCAGTGGGAAACTTTTCCTGCCACCAAATCAGATGAACTTTTGAGTTCATCTGACAAAATCCAAGAACCCTAAGGAAAAGATGTTCAACAATGTGGAATACAACTAGGGGTCGTAGTAACCAGTAACCATAAAGATCTGACATGGTGCAAAACCTATCTAACTTTGCACAAGTCTTAACACAGAACTCTTTTGTTCAAGAATAACTTACTGGTCTTGGCTTCCATGGTGATGGAGTTCGTTGTTGAATGGCACGACCTTGTCCCAGAATTTTTCGTATCACAGAATTAGGGATGTAACCTGTTAATAGACACAAACTGGTTCTCACATATAAACCATGAGCCACCTATTTGTACAAAATGCCTGTCAGTTTTGTCATCCTTCCAAACATACATCATTCAAACTATGCACCACCAGACCAAGACCTCCATTTACTTTACAGTCCTTCATATGTCTCTTGTGTCAATATCGTGTGCAGTTAAGGGGAAAGGTTTTTGTTTTGTTAAAACAGGAAGAGGGCAATACCTGACCCTGTAAGTCACAATTCGTCTTGTACTGACTCACCATCAGGGGCAATGATAGGCTTCCGTTTCAGCAGTTCTCTCTCCAGTGCTGTCAAGCCAAGGAATGGGTCATACACCTGGATCACTGTGAACAGTCCAGTAACAAAATGTCAAAAGTACATCAAACCGTCAAAAGTCAAAAGATATATATTTATCTCATGACTGTACTGTTCAATTAAATAGTACATCCCCTCCAAGAAATTATCCTTCCTATTTCTCTACCCCAAGATCTCCTCACACCTTCCCTTCCAGAATAGTCTTTTAATTTCTCTTACCCTTGACTCAAAGCTCCTCTCCATCATCCCATCCTACTTTTTTTACCCCAGAGTCTCTCTTTCCCCAAGACACACCTACAACCTACAGATGGAAGTTTCTCTTCCAAGGCACTATTTACCTCCAGCCCCAAGTGCCACCTACCTCCAGCCCCAAGCACCACCTCCCTCCAGCCCCAAGCGCCACTTACCTCCAGCCCCAAGACTTATTTCCCCAAGTCCAATCTAGCTCCTTCTACAAGGCTACTTAACTCACCTGCCTTCAACCTCTAATCTTTCCTTCTCAATTTTTACTTATCTCCAACCAAAAGTCCCCCTCCTCAAGCCCCACTTCCCTCTAGCCCTAAGTCTCTCCTCCTTAAGCCAGGCCTCCCTCAAGCCCAAAGACTCTTATCCTCCAGCCCCACCTCCGTCTAGCCCTAAGTCTCTCCACCTCCAGCACCAAGTCTCTTCAACCCGACCTACCTCCAGCCCCAAATCTCTCCTTTCCATGCCACACTTCCCCCTTGTCCTGTCTCACCACCTCAAGCCCCACCTACCTCCAGTCCCAAGTCTCTCCTTCCCAAGCCCCACCTACCTCCAGACCCAAGTTTCTCCTTCCCAAGCCCCACCTACCTCCAGCCCTAAGCCTCTCCTTCCCAAGCCCCAACTACCTCCATCCCCAAATCTCTCCTTTCCAAGCCACACTTCCCTCTTGTCCTGCCTCTCCACATCGAGCCCCACGTATCTCCAGCCCTAAGTATCTCCTTCTCAAGGCCCACCTACCTTTAGCCTCCTCCTCCAGTTCCTCCCCAATGCCTTCATCCTCTTCTTCCACATCCATCACCTCTCCTATCCTGATCAGCCTGTTCCTCCTTGCATCCATGACAGCAACTGCAAAGACTGCTAGTGCCCCTGGACGGCACCTTGAAGTATGCACCACCTGAGACTGACGTCGGAGGATGATTTCTGATGACACAAATAAAATTTGTTGTTTGCTAGAAATATATTGTACTCAATCTCTTTTCAAGGTGTTGGTTAACACATTCTATTTTGTGTTGAAAAATCTATTTCAATAGCATAGACAGTCTGCTTCAAAAGTTAGTCAGCTTTCACTACATTTAAATGCTACAACATATAATATATATAAAGTTTCTGACAACAGAAAGCATTTCATCTTGCAAATCTTCGAAATCACGAAGATGTCTAGTACATGTTCACCGTACAAACATCCACTGTTGAACCCCACAGACAGGGGGCCTTCATCATCATCTTGTATTTCTGAGGAAATGGGCGTTTAAGAGGTCATACTATGTATGGGGTACAAGATCTCTCAGGGTTTTTCAAAATGTTCTAGTTTCCACTGGCAATGTTAACCTTTCTCTATCTGCGAAAAGATCCGGGGTAGAATAGGTCTTCAGTTGCTCCATTATCTTGTCGTATCTGGGTGGTCTTTTTGGTTGACACATGTCATGGTTCCCATTATCGATGCTCATGCTGTTGATCACTGGATTGTCTGGTCCAGACTCGATTATTTACAGACCGCCGCCATATAGCTGGAATATTGCTGAGTCCGGCGTAAAACTAAACTCACTCACTCACTCTTGATCTGCTTTTTCAAATGTTATTATCAGTACCAATTAAGCAAGGTAATAACGTTTCAGTTTCACATATGGTATTAATTACAAAGTTCAGAACTAGGCACAACAACTGATCTCAAAATCTCTCTTTAAAAGGATTCTTCCATGAGTTCAGTCATAGACACTGAGCATGGTGTGGCCCTGTGACTACAGCTTGGATTATCAAGCTGAAGGATCTGTTTTTATCCCTAACATGGGTCCAACATGTGAACCCTGTCACTAGTGTTCTAACACAGGACATTGCTTTCCCAGAGAATGATAGGTTATCATCCTCAATCAGCAACCTCCTCCATAGTGTGCGTCCCATTACTACAACAGCATGGAAACATAACAGTACATGGAGGTGCCATTTATCACTGCTGTTTACTTAATCCATCTTCCCAGCTACTGTTTCCATAGCCATCCATTATGTACCTGTTTGTCAAGAGACTTGAATGAGGTCAGTCATTATTATAACTAATCAATACATGCATGGTTAGCTCTGTCGTCAAGTTGACATGGTAGATGCCAGATGCTGAGAATGTTACAGAACTTGAAATATAGACTACACAGGGACAACACACCACAGGCACACTGACAGACACACTGCAGACATATCACTGATATTACAGACACACTGCAGACATATCACAGATACACCACAGACACACTGCAGACACACTACAGACATATCACTGATATTACAGACACACTGCAGACATATCACTGATATTACAGACACACTGCAGACATATCACTGATATTACAGACACACTGCAGACACACTGCAGACATATCACAGATACACCACAGACACACTGCAGACATATCACAGACACACCCCAGACACACTGCAGACATATCACAGATACACAGACATTACAGGCATACAACAATACAGTCCAGAGTCACACCGCAGGCACACTGAAGACATACCACTGACACACCACCCATACATCTTATATTCACCAAGAGCACTCTGCAGTCACAGGCACTCTGCAGTCACAGCCACACTACCTTGCACTCTGCAGTATTCAACAAAACACACCACAGACACACTGCAGACATGCCAGACATAACACAGACACACTGAAGACATGCCAGACACATGGCAGACATACCACAGACACACTGAAGACATGGCAGACATACCACAGACACACTGAAGACATGCTGAAGACACATGGCAGACATACCACAGACACACTGAAGACATGCCAGACACATGGCAGACATACCACAGACACACTGAAGACACGCCAGACACATGGCAGACATACCACAGACACACTGAAGACATGCAAGACACATGGCAGACATACCACAGACACACTGAAGACATGCCAGACATACCACAGACACACTGAAGACATGCCAGACACATGGCAGACATACCACAGACACACTGAAGACAAGCCAGACACATGGCAGACATACCACAGACACACTGAAGACATGCCAGACACATGGCAGACATACCACAGACACACTGAAGACATGCCAGACACATGGCAGACATACCACAGACACACTGAAAACATGCCAGACACATGGCAGACATACCACAGACACACTGAAGACATGCCAGACACATGGCAGACATACCACAGACACACTGAAGACATGCCAGACATACCATGGACACACTGAAGACATGCCAGACACATGGCAGACATACCACAGACACACTGAAGACATGCCAGACACATGGCAGACATACCACAGACACACTGAAGACATGCCAGACATACCACAGACACACTGAAGACATGCCAGACACATGGCAGACATACCACAGACACACAACACACAAAGACACAAAGTCAATCATTGCAGCTTGACTTCAAGTAGTTCCAACAAGACACTATTTCCCAGCACAGACATAACTTAGATTGAGATGGTGGACGTTGCATGACAAGCAGCATCTGGGAGTTGGGGATTTAATTACTGTGCTGTGTTGTGTGTTCTTAATCACTCAAGTCCATATTAGTCTTAGAAGTTAAGTGGGGCCAACACGACACTGCCTTCGAAAGCAACTTCTGTAGTTTCAATGTGTGATTTTTTTTAAATGGGTGTGATTTGATGTAAAAGTCACTTGAATTAGGAGCTCAACAACACGTTAAGTACAGAGAACTACACTTGACCATCTCAGCTCACCTGTAGCAGCAGTTGTATCTTGCTAAATTGTGAAATGGTGAATTTTGATGCACGCTGAATGTTGAAATGGTAAATTTTGAAATGTTTAATGTTGTTACAAGGGGAAAATATACATTGTTAATGTTGAAATGTTATTTTATGGAATGTTCTTTGTATTCTAATATCAGACAGGAAATGTTTCAAAATATTGGCAGAATTTGTAACATTAGAGCACCAACAAACCTAGACGTACTATTAAATGGCAGTGCAGATCTTCCGTACAGTGACAACATTCAAATTTTAAAGAAGTTCAAAAATATATATCAAACTCCAAAAGGTTCAGTAATTGGATATAATGTTTATGATCTAAATAATTCATGTATTCATTGTATTGTATATATTATTATATCCTTTTGTATATATCTTTCTATCCCTGTACTTATAGTTTGTTTCACTTTTCCATGTAAGCACTGTACATAGGAAAGGGTTTCACTAAGTTGGCATATGTTGTACCCAATCCATTCTCTTGAATAAATATGTTTAAATCAAATCAAATGTTGCAAGTAGTAGGAAGAAAAGCTACAGGAACATTATTGATATCCATATTGTTATATCATTGATAACTATTGTTATATCATTGATATCTATTGGTATATTACTGATATCTATTGGTATATTTGATATCTATTGGTATATCATTAATATCTATTGGTATATTACGGATATATATTGGTATATTTGAAATCAAGTGATATATTACTGATATCTATTGGTATATTTGATATCTAGTGATATATTACAGATATCTATTGGTATATTACAGATATCTATTTGTATATTACTGATATCTATTGGGATATTACAGATATCTATTGGTATATTATTGATATCTATTGGCATATTACTGATATCTATTGGTATTATACAGATATCTATTGGTATATTACAGATATCTATTGGTATATTACTGATATCTATTGGTATATTACTGATATCTATTGGTATATTACAGATATATCTATTGGTATACTACATATATCTATTGGTATATTACTGACATCTATTGGTATATTACAGATATCTATTGGTATACTACAGATATCTATTGGTATATTACAGATATCTATTGGTATATTACAGATATCTATTGGTATATTATTGATATCTATTGGTATATTATTGATATCTATTGGTATATTACAGATATCTATTGGTATATTACAGATATATGTATTGGTATACTACAGATATCTATTGGTATATTACTGACATCTATTGGTATATTACTGATATCTATTTGTATATTACAGATATCTATTGGTATATTATTGATATCTATTGGTATATTACTGACATCTATTGGTATATTACTGATATCTATTGGTATATTATTGATATCTATTGGTATATTACAGATATCTATTGGTATATTATTGATATCTATTGGTATATTATTGATATCTATTGGTATATTATTTAAGAAATACACTTCGCTCTACCACCATGTATAGTGCAATAAAACACACTTTCGCCCTGAACTATTATAGTTAAAGCATGAGGGGCGGCTTAGCGTCCGAGTGCTTTAACGTTATAATAGTTCAGAGCGAAAAAGATGTGTTTATTGCACTATACATGGTAGTAACGAAGAATATATTCTTCTAAGATGCCAAATTTAATACTTTCTAAAGATAATTACGATTAATTTAAGGCAGAAAACAAGCGGCGATTGTCGGTGACCTAAATTAAGAATCCTGCGCACAGGGTTAACTGGTGGCTGTTCTATTGATGTGTCTGCCCCTCGTTAAGGCGGACGTTACCAGAAAAAAACAAATGATAACAGTTTGATGATGGTTTACGTTCGGATTAAATATCTTCTCTGAATTATTTTAATTACATCTGTCATTAACGTAAACCATATGGGGCAATATGAGCGTTGCATTTCTACTACCAAGCGTAAGTTTAGATCAGTACATCCAGAGGAAGTTGAGTAGTCAGCGACATTCCACAATTGCATTGTGGGAATGTAAACATTACGATCGTTACCATGTCGCTGAAAACTTGTGAGTCGAAATGACACATTTTAACCGTCGTAAAACATAAACGTATTGTTTCCACCAGTGATGTTAGCTGCGTGAAGCAACAGCAAACCAAGAAACTGGATGCAACGGTGTAGTTTACTGTAGGAGGCCGTACTAGGCGATGACAACTGACATGCATCGTGACGTCGCCTACATTGTGACGTAATGTAAAATGGTTCGATTACGAGGGGCACACTAGAATGGCGCAGTGACGGGAAAACGTCATTCAATTGTTACGTCATCAAAAAACTATACCTTTATTGTCTGATAATGTATTTTTTTTTCGATTGTTCTAACCGCTAGGCATCTTAGAATGATATCTATTGGTATATTACCGATATCTATTGATATATTATCAATATCTATTGGTATATTATCGATACCTGTGGGTATATTATTGATATCTAATGGTATATTATTGATATCTTATGGTATATTATCAATATCTTATGGCATATTATTTCAAATCTGTAGGAATATCAGCACTATATTGACAGGATTAAAATGTTAAAAAGACATGAAACAGTAACATCAGCTATCAGTACAACATATTCTAAATCTTAAGACACTATTTTCATCTCATTAATATGTATTGTAGGGAAGTTGATCGTGTTTATGCCAGTATCATTAACTAGAAAGGTGTACAAGTAGCACATACAGAATTCAAGAGAAGTTTGTAGGTAACTTTGGCAATAATGAAGTATCAAATCAAACTGATCATATCAACTTCCAATAAGAACTAGAAGTCATATTTTCATATTAACCCAGTTAGAGTTGTAACCAACAGAAACATCTCTGGTATGGCAAATACGGAGGCACAAAAACAGGTTTCATTATCTTTTGAATTTTTCTATGAATTCATCCACTTTAAGAAAACCTTCATTGCATAAATTTTGCATGAGGCCTACACATGTGAATATGTCAGAAAAACAAAAATTAATCATATTTATACGACATTCATCTTATAACCCATTGTCACTATCTGATAAAGGATCTAATGTCACTAAACCTACTTGCCCACTCTAAAAGAAACATAAACAATTTAAATATAACATTCAATGCTTCTGTTTAAGGGTTTGAAGTATTGTTGGGGGAGCACTGACAAGCATGTTATCATATCAACCACGATGTTTTGTCATCCATTCAATAGAAACATGTTTGAAGCTGAAAAATAACAGAATGTCCATAGTACAACATAAACCCTATTGACACTAAAGACTTGACAATACTAAGAAGGACTGTGATCTGCTAACATGTTAAAGAACAAAATGTACAAGAACAAATCACAGTAACATTGTATAAATACCTGGTTGTATCAGAAATCCACACTGGGGAGAGTCAGATCGTCAACTCCACAGTACCATTGTCTGGGTATCAGTATTCCATCTACATAGGTAGCTACCTTGTAAGTAACCTACCACTTGACGATACTAACATCATCCTTATCAACAGCTGCTACAACATCAGCACCACCACCAACAGTCTCAATCAATAACTCCTATCACACGTCGCACAGAATTCTTCAACAATCCACCATGTTTACTTTTTAATTATTTAGGAAATAAGTGTTTGTGATCACTAGGGTAACCGGTGACGCAGGCGCAGCGATGAGCCGCTGAAGACAGTAATCAATAGCAACAATTACTTCTCTATGTCTCAGGTGGTCATTATGAGATATGACATACAGGTTGAGATACTGACGACAGGGTTGATAGTGGTGATTACAACATTTGCTGTACAGCTTACACATTTTACAGACCTATATGTTTGAATTGCTACAAATGGCAACAGTTTAATCAATACAAATCTATACAAGCATCACAGCACATGACGCTAAGCCATAATTATCACACGGGCCACTGAAGCTGGGCTATACTTGGAGAAGTTGAGATTCCACATGATTTGTCTCTTGGAGTTGATGTGTAGCAGGCCTTCTGGATTCACCTTGTAGCATTAATTTGAAACCATTTTGGTAAAATGGTTTGAATTCATCTTTAAAGACACATATTCCCAAACTTTATGTCACAGGGACATTTTAGCAATATTCCAGCAATATCACGCCAGAAATAGGCTTCACACATTGTACCCATTCGGGGAATCGAACCGGGTCTTCGGCATGACAAGCGAAAGCTTTAACCACTGGGCTAACACAACCCCCTTTATGAAGATAAAGATGAAGAAGAACTCAAAAGGGATGAAAAGCAAACGAAAGTGAATATGGTTTTAGCAATAGTTGAGCAGTCATAGCAGACACCAAGAAAAGGCTGATCATGCTGAAATAGGGTTGGGAAACAAACCCATGTCTCCAGAATGACGCTTTAGCGCAAACTAGACCAGTTCCTGAGTTGTGATTGTCTATGACTGAAACTGTACTCACTTTTTGTGATTTCTTCAGCCAACTTTGAATCTTCTGTAACCACAATCCTCATGGCACCATCGACCATCTGGAACCTTCCCCCTTCACCCAGGACAATCTGCGCAACCTGATCCACTGTCCCGCTCTCTGCTGATCCGTCCGCTGTCCGAGCTTGTTGACCATACATTAATCTCTTTTCCAGCTGCAGATAGTCTCGTGCCATTGACCTTGGATCAAACCTATGGGGGAGGTGGATGCCGAATACATAAAGTGGACATAATTCTGTGGCATTTTATTGGCTGACCAACAAACATATAAACCATTGATAACTTATTTCACTGGCATTTAGAAGTTGATAAACAATGGAGACAGTAAATGTGAAAATGGATTTACATAATATGCAGACAGTTTTTCACCTTTATGAACATACAGAAGTCAAGTCTCAGGTATTTCAGTTCTATCACCGTATGTCAGCTTGGTCTTAGAGAAACCAGTAGTGGAGAAATGCCAGGTGAGAGGAATGGAGGAGGAATGCTCAAGGTGTATGCTAGTCACACACTCAGTACTTTGGGTTTTGAACTGAAGGTATGGGCAAGGTCACTCTAATGCTTCTATTACGACTGTAACTTAAATGTAAACCTCTGTAATAGAAGGATATTCTCTACCTGCATCTCACTAACCTGGATCTCACCAACTTTGATCTCACCACCTTGATCTCACCAACTTTGATCTCACCAACTTTGATCTCACTAACCTTGGCCTTACCTCCCAGGACCTCACCTTCAAGGATCTCACTAACCTAGGTCTCACCAACCTGATATCTCATTAACCTGGATCTCACCAGCTTGGATCACTGAAACCTGGACCTGGATCTCACCTTCTGGGATATCACTAACCAGGATCTCACCATTCTGTATCTCACTAACCTTGGCCTCACCTTCTAGCATTTCAGCTTCCAGGATCTGACCAATTTGGATCTCCCCAAACTGGATCTCATTTACCTGGATCTCACCTATTTTAATCTCACAAACTTCGATAATCTCCAAACTGGATCTCACAACCTAATCACACACCTTGATCTCACCATCTTGGGTCTCACCATCTTGGATCTCACCTATTGAATGTATTGTGTGACTGACCACCTACCTGGCATCCACAGAACACAGAATACCCTCTGAATGCTGAGGCACTTACACACACAAATGTGCTGCTAGTTAACACTGTGATTGTTTGCACCAAGTAGTTTAAACTTTGGCTAAATCATAAACAGTACAGTTCAGGTCTTATCTGGGGACATAAACAAAACTTAGTGAATAACCCAGTGTAAGTGAGGAGCCTTATGTGCTTACTGGTCACTAAGTCACCACAAACAGTGGAAACAGCTACCGGCTTGGAGAACTATTGTAAGTCTGGTGAAAAAATAATCTATTCAGGGAACAAGTAGCTTCTTCTTCTTAATCATATCTCATCCTGACAGACAAACACAAGACAACTCCATTATTCTAATCATAAAAACATTCACTTAAAGTTTGGAGGTGGGATCACTTGACGACCCTTTAGGCTGTCTGCGACACATTATGTCATAATTCATGACAGAGTACACCTACTTGAAGCTATCTACTGACCTAGACAGGAACAAGGTTATGTGACAGTGTCAAGCTCATGCTGGATGTACTTTGACTGAGTGAGTGAGTATATGGTTTTTACACAGCTTTCTGCAATATTCCAGCAATATCACAGCAAGGGACACCAGAAATGAGCTTCACCCATTGTACACATGTGGGGAATTTAACTCTGGTCTTCAGCGTGAAGACTGAACACTTTACCCACTTGGGTCCCCTAACCACCACACAAGAAGTAGAGATATCAGCACCAATAACAAAATTCCTGCAAAAATACTTATAAAGTAAGAAATGCTCATTTCATTCATGCTCAGGTCTTTGAAGGCTGGATTGTTTTAAATATTACATGGTATAGAATCTATGATGACATCCTTTTCCCAAATGTGTACAACACCTAGCCCAGCTTCCTCACCAGGGTTTGGCCAGATGGTTGTAGTTCAGGGGCGATTCTCTCTTGTCATCCTGGAACACCAACAGATGGAGTTACACTCCTTCGCAAAATTATTTCACAATTTATGTTTCCAAACTTTGCCCAACTTGTAAAATGTCTCAGCTATGACCACATTAGACACTGATTTTTAGTAAGTTATTTCTGCTTGCAGTATGATATTATTTTGCCCGGTAGGTTCTCCTGATTTCTGATGTGTAATTCTGACTCAATAGCCACTTGACAAGGATGATGCCACATTTGTATATACATTCACTGTAAGAACTGATTAATCTTTGATGTTTACATCTTTATCCTCATATTAGCCAAATGGTTTTATTAATTAGTTTTATCCTGCAAAGAAAGCTGCCCATCATATGATAAAATATGAAATTTGTTTGTAATAATACAAAATACATAAGCTTTACTTATGTGCCTTCAGTGCAGTAAACTAAAGTTAGTTGGTATATTACTCAAAAGATGTTAAACAACACATGATTCTTCTTATCTCTATGTTGAAACTGTCATGGCATCATAGTAATATGAAAGAATTGGGTTTTATTTCAAGAAAATTGCCATTGTTCCTAACACTTCTTTGCTGGGCAGGGTTAGGGTTGTGATTAACCTAACCCTGATTTAATTCACAGCTAATTTACTTTCATATTGCTTTTAGATATATGATTTTTTTCATTGATAATAACAGATCACTTTATTAATTTAGTGGCTGGAACGATAAGAAGTCATACCATTTCTTAACTTCTTTTGAGCAGTATCTTTAGTCTGACCCACCTGAAACATCAGGCCAGCAACATGTTCCAGTTTGTCCAAGGGGAGATAATTCAGTATGGAGACTGACCTGTAAAAAGGCATAGATATACAACCCAAAATAATTGTTTTAATTAAAACAGTACATATATTTTTGTTTTCAAATATTGAACTATTAAGTATAAGGAATTTAAAACATTAATAAGAGAAAGATGCTAGACATATAAGATACATACACCACGTGGTTCTCAAAACCAATGAGAATGTCTCCTCTCCTGTTGGCGAAACAGATGCCACTCAGTGGCTTTCCAAAGCCAAGTTCCCGGATCAGATTATTTTCAAAGTCCCAAATCTGAAGATAACACATCATTTACATACAATGGTAAAGTGAAATAAAGTTTGTTCCCATTACACATTTGAAACTTATAAGGTGAAACTTTCAGCAAACAAAAACATCTCTGCAACAGCAAAAGCAGCTAGGCACTGTAGCTTACCTTCAGGTATATCTTGGGATCGGATGGTCAGGCTCGCTGACTTGGTTGACACATGTCATCGGTTCCCAATTGTGCAGATCGATACTCATGCTGTTGATAACTGGATTGTCTGGTCCAGACTCGATTATTTACAGACCGCCGCCACATGGCTGGAATATTGCTGAGTGCGGTGTAAAACTAAACTCACTCACTCACTCAGGTGTATATACCAGAATAAAACATCAGAAGAAACAGACACCCCAACCAAGTGATTTCATGTAATTAGTTGGATTTGTTCATAGTGCCAATTATTCTGCTTCTTTGGTCGGAGGATGGTTGACAGCAACTGTCAATGACTGTTTACATTATATGGATTACTTTGGTCTTACTTGATACCTCTCCCTGACAAATTCAGGTCTAATGAACTTTGGGTGAACTTTGACAGCCTAACGGATGAGGTGTAAGTGAGCTGAATGTCAGCCCTGTGACTCGATGTAAGCTCTCGTTCAGCTGGATCTCTTTGATACTTTTTGCCCCAGTTCCAGTCACAGCTTCACATTTACATTCAGTGTCTATTAACACCTGATTGACGTGTATTTTTGTATCAGAATGTAGAAGTTTCCACACTTATAGCAAAGTTCACCTGATTTGACCTCAATCAAACACTGGAAGATTTTGACATAGTGGGGTATTAACGCACAGTCATAGATGTGATTCTAAGGAGAGTGAACATCCAATCAAAGCGTCTGACCTTCACTGAGCCATCAGAGCTGGCGGTGGCAAATATATGCACAGCTGGACACTGGTCAATGGTTGAAATCTCTGCTGTATGGTCATAGTCTGATGAATGGTACTTTGGCACCAAGTGGAGTGATGTGTTCATTTGTTGCCGACTGACACACTTCTTGATCTGGTACATCCGCAGTGAACTGCAACATTATCCATCATGTACCACAACACAGCAGATTGCTTCAGTCTTGTGGTCAATACAGGGTGAGAATCAGGTATCTATCTGACACCTCTATAGCATCAAACAAAAACTGTGCATACAAATACACTGATATAATATCCACAACCAACATGTAACAAAAGCTGCCAATAATCCCTCAGAACGGCAGACATTCGATATCTGAACAATGTCATATGTTTTCAATGACAGTGTCCTTGACCTCAATACTGACTGTTTCATTAAGAAGAACCAAGACTTAATCAACTAAAGGCAGGGTTCAAAATCAAATCAGAAGGTATCAAATATCCAGTAATACCACTGGAATATTGCCAGAATCAGCTGAACTCACTCACTCACTCAGTTAGGTCCAACAAAATCCAGTACAGTGTTTGTACACAAACATGGAACATTCAGACCTCTATTAATCTTCCACACTGATTGTCAGTATTAACTCTTTCCATACAACGTAAATTTTTCACAGATGCACATATATCCTAAGGACGTGATATCACGTCCAGGCATCTACAACCCTTGCATATGACCAGATTTTTCCATCCCTAGCCTCTGAATTCAATGGACGAGATATTACGTCCGATTTTTTACAATGTTTCCATATGAGGCACGTGATAACTGGTCTACTCATACTAAACATATTTCACAGTTTTCTAGTCATGTATCCTCGTCCTTCGAATGCAATTTGTGTACTTTGTGACAGTGCATTATTAAGGATTTACTTGATTATCTTGAATAAACTGTGGTTGTTTTTCCACCGTAGTGTAGTCACAGGATTGAAAAAAATTGTCATAATTATCACACTGCTGTGTAAGTTCAATTATGTTTCTCCTTTTAGAAAAAACTCCATTTCCAATGTTTCTGAGCTAAAGACGACCGACTATTTTCTCTTTTAGTCTGGAATATGTTAATAAAAGTGAATAAAGATGTTTTGAAAAAATCAGTTCTTATGGAGTTATATGTAATGTTCCTCTTGAATGGTCCAGGGCAACCGTTGCAGCCATGGAGATGTGTGTAAGTGTCATGTTGCTAAAAATAGTCTCGTATTGAAAGGTTGTGACCCCTCAGACGTGATATCTAATACTTCAAATGGAAAGAGTTAAACTAGTCCATATTGAGGTCTTAATTGGAAGTGATTTGTAAACACTGGCTAAATGATTTAATTTTTATATTTCGTCATGCACACAATAAGAATGTAAGGATTACATGTAACAAATGAAGCAGAGTAATCTATTCATTAAACAAAGTCTTGATCATGATTCCATACATGAGCAAAACGTTTAAACCTGATTTCTGATGGCCACCTCACTCATACTATATCTGAGCACTGATTTTGAGAAACACAACAGGACTGAGAAAACATCATTCTTCACTTCAGTTATCCACACTCTTACTGCATGATTCCTGTCAAAACAATATGGAACCTCCAGAGAGACACAGAATTTGTCAGCATCTCAGACAGAGGGTTGGTGTTGGGGGCTCATTCCCACTTACCCAACATGCTGGGGGGATTGAAAGAGATTAACTAACTGACTGACTGACTGACTGACTGAGTTTGGTTTTACGCCGCTTTTAGCAATATTCCAGCAATATCACGGCGGGGGACACCAGAAATGGGATTCACTCATTGTACCCATGTGGGGATTCGAACCCGGGTCTTCGGCGTGACGAGCCAACGCTTTAACCACTAGACTACCCCACCGCCCCTAAAGAGATTAACAGTTACGGGTCAGTGATTGTGCAGGGTGAATTTGTTACCCCTGCTTTGGCTGTGACACAAGTTCACCCAGTACTCCAATCATGGCCAAACGGAATAATCTCATGACCACCGGTGAACATATTTCACATGATAAACTAAGTGAACTATATTCATATCATTTGTTATAAACTGAATTAGTAGTAGTATTTTATCCCATTTGGTCCTGGATACTATTTCACAGGGAACAAAATAAGGGATTAAAGGGGATTATCACACCCCAGTGATTTCTTCTACTGAAACAATAGGAGTTGGGTAAGTGGGAAGACCCCGTGTGGGACAATCTAAACTCCTGTCACTCATTGTGGTTCCACCCAATACTACTGGTGTTTCTGTGTGTCCAGGAATCACAACATACTTGAATATGGCATTGTATTTGGACATTTAACATTCAAGTATGTTATTTCCATGTTGCTGTCTGATGTTGGTGTACCTGGGATTGGTGGTGAAGGTGGCACACAGTCGGTCCAGGGACAGGACAAGTTTGGTCGGGCTGCTACTGAACTCAAACTACAACAAACGTAAGACATACATTGCCTTTGATTAATGACAACTTCCCAGATTCTGTTTTTCATAAACTTTAAGACTAATTTAAGTACCATACTATCCTAGGTTATGGACAAATTTGTTGTTATGCATGGAAACTACCCTGATGAAGACTAACGTTAACTATTGTCCAAGGAAGCACAGTGCCCCATGCTACACTCACCTGATGTAGAAGGTAACATGGTGCCCTATGCTACACTCACCTGATGTAGAAGAAAACATGGTGCCCTATGCTACACTCACCTGATGCAAGGAAACACAGTGCCCCATGCTACACTCACCTGATGTACAAGGAAACACAGTGCCCCATGCTACACTCATCTGATGTACAAGGAAACACAGTGCCCCATGCTACACTCACCTGATGTACAAGGAAACACAGTGCCCCATGCTACACTCATCTGATGTACAAGGAAACACAGTGCCCCATGCTACACTCACCTGATGTACAAGGAAACACAGTGCCCCATGCTACACTCACCTGATGTACAAGGTAACACAGTGCCCCATGCTACACTCATCTGATGTACACAAGGTAACACAGTGCCCCATGCTACACTCACCTGATGTACAAGGTAACACAGTGCCCCATGCTACACTCACCTGATGTACAAGGAAACACAGTGCCCCATGCTACACTCACCTGATGTACAAGGAAACACAGTGCCCCATGCTACACTCACTGATGATGATGTACAAAATGAAACACAGTGCCCCATGCTACACTCACCTGATGTACAAGGAAACACAGTGCCCCATGCTACACTCACCTGATGATGTACAAGGAAACACAGTGCCCCATGCTACACTCACCTGATGTACAAGGTAACACAGTGCCCCATGCTACACTCACCTGATGTACAAGGAAACACAGTGCCCCATGCTACACTCACCTGATGTACAAGGAAACACAGTGCCCCATGCTACACTCATCTGATGTACAAGGAAACACAGTGCCCCATGCTACACTCACCTGATGTACAAGGTAACACAGTGCCCCATGCTACACTCATCTGATGTAGAAGAAAACATGGTGCCCAATGCTACACTCATCTGATGCACAAGGAAACACAGTGCCCCATGCTACACTCACCTGATGTACAAGGAAACACAGTGCCCCATGCTACACTCACCTGATGTACAAGGTAACACAGTGCCCCATGCTACACTCATCTGATGCACAAGGAAACACAGTGCCCCATGCTACACTCACCTGATGTACAAGGTAACACAGTGCCCCATGCTACACTCATCTGATGTACAAGGAAACACGGTGCCCATGCTACACTCATCTGATGCACAAGGAAACACAGTGCCCCATGCTACACTCACCTGATGTACAAGGGAAACACAGTGCCCCATGCTACACTCATCTGATGTACAAGGAAACACATGTCCCACTGCCCCATGCTACACTCATCTCTGATGCCCACATGCTACAACACAAGGTAACACAGTGCCCATGCCACTACACTCACCTGATGTACAAGGAAACACAGTGCCACATGCTCACACTCACCTGATGTACAAGGAAACACAGTGCCCCATGCTACACTCACCTGATGTACACAGTGCCCCATGCTACACTCAACTGATGACAAGGTAACACAGTGCACCATGCTACCATCACAGTGATGCACATGTACAAGGAAACACAGTGCCCCATGCTACACTCACCTGATGTACAAGGAAACACAGTGCCCCATGCTACACTCACCTGATGTACAAGGAAACACAGTGCCCCATGCTACACTCACCTGATGTACAAGGTAACACAGTGCCCCATGCTACACTCACCTGATGTACAAGGTAACACAGTGCCCCATGCTACACTCACCTGATGTACAAGGAAACACAGTGCCCCATGCTACCCTCACCTGATGTACAAGGTAACACAGTGCCCCATGCTACCCTCACCTGATGTACAAGGTAACATAGTGCCCCATGCTACACTCACCTGATGTACCATGCTGAGGCGGATGATGTCAGCTTGACGGTCGAAGATGTTCACCATCCACAGACGGACAAGGTAGTCTGTCCCCCCAGACAGCACGTATGCGTGGTTCCTTTCCAGCCCCAGGTCATTGTGGGCTATGTTTGGACATGCCTCCAGACACAGTATGCGGCCGTGGTGAGCCTGAGTTGACATCGGCATGTGATAGTGTCTGGCATCAAGCAGACAGATCTGGTGCCACAAAATCATTATGTTATTAGTGTTTATAAGCATGAGAAACAATAAACACATGTCTGATGAGTAAGACAGTGACTTGGTTTATTACAGCTTTCATTAGTTCTTCAGTGATATGGTGTGTCATATGGAGTGAGTGAGTGAGTAACAGTTATATCACAGCGCCTCATCTTAAAGATGGTTAAATCTTTGGTGAATTAAGATTCAAGCAATAATAGGTTTTTGGTGTGCCCAGTGGATGCTGGTGCTTTCATCACTGTGGTTAAACCCATACACGTCACAAACCACTGATCATCAAAGGGGAATTGGGGATTAAACCTTCAGCCACAGATTCCTGATAATTCCCAACAGATGCAACTGACTGCACACTGACTTTCAAGCCTGACATGAACCTAACATATCTGCTGAAATCCCTGGGAACCTATATCATTACTCAGAATCCCTTCAGGAGTTAGATTTCCTTCCAGGCAGAATGGGGGCGGTGGGGTAGCCTAGAGGGTAAAGTGTTCGGTCTTCACGTTGAAGACCTGGGTTCGATTACCCACATGGGTACAATGTGTGAAGCCCATTTTCCGGTGTCCCCAGCTGTGATATTGCTGGAATATTGCTAAAAGTGGCGTTAAACTAAACTTATTCAATCACTCGAGGCAGAAATGGTTCATTTTCAGTTAGGCTGTTATATGACAAAGTTCATTGTAATATATATGATGTGCATTGAAAAGTGTGATTATTAATATCAACTATACTTGCTTCATAGCCATGATTATGAATATTATTGTCAATATGATTACACTGACAAGTATTTATAGAACCAACCTGTCCGTTTCTAAGACCTCCAAACACAAGCGCCTCCACTATACCACAGATTGTCTGAAAAGGTAAAGGAAATCTTTCACATATTACTCAGCAATGTAAACTTCAAGTCATTAGAATTAACTACAACATAATAACTGTTTGACTAGTATTCGAGAAAGTGGAAAGTAAATTTGTACCTGTGGTCTATTGTATTCAGAGCATTAGAAACCAGATTGTTGCTTCATGCAATGCACCAGAAGTTGCTATCCATAAAGTTTATATTTTCTTTGCAACACAGTAAACAAGTGAAAGATGTAGGTATCAGCCATGTTGGGTACCTAAAGGACACAACATGGATTTCCCTCAGTGGTGCAGCCACGTTGGTCATAATGTCTTGAGCTCTCATTTACACAAGATCTTTCATGCCACATAATTTATCACATTGGAGAGAAAGTTCTGATTTTAATAATGATTCAAATTGCTAAAGAGCAACTAAAAGATGGTGTAATATTTAGAACACACAACATAAATACAAAAAAAAGTTAAATATCATTTTTTGTCCCTATTCAAACTACTGGTGTTGTGATAAAGAAGAGTGTACTGACCACATTGACCAGGGCCAGGTCCAGCACTTCACTGGGCTCCGCCTCCGGGCTGAGGATCCGCACAGCTCGACATGGGTTGCTAGAACACCCCAGCACCAGCACTGTGTACAAATGGAACGTGATCTGAATATCAATTCAAACTCCATTTTTCTGTTTGTCACTCATTCTCTCATATTTTCTGTTTGTGAATCACTGATTCTCTCTTATTTTCTGTTTCTCGGTCAGTGATTCTCTCATATTTTCTGTTTCTTAATCACTGATTCGCTCATGTTTTCTATCCCTCTCTCTCACTGATTCTCTCATGTGTTGTTTTACTCTCTGATTGTCTCAATTTTGTGTTCTGTTTCTCACTCACTGATTGTCTCATGTTTTCTATCTCTCTCTCACTCACCTTCCCCTCCTAACAGCAGTGTGTACAGAAGGTCGTCCATCACATTGTACACAAAATTCCTCAAAACCTGCAGGATACAAACTTTGTAATTATAAAGGTGTTAGTTAACATCATTACATGTCCTGAAAGAATGAAGTAACATGAAAAGGTAAGAATGGTGACTGAATGATTAAGGGAGATAACTCACACCTTCACTTCCTATACCCTTGATGGTACCCGTGAATATTGATCTTCAGTAACCCATGCTTGACGTAAGAATCGACTAACGGGATCAGGTGGTCAGGCTCGTTGACTTGGTTGACACATATCATCGGTTCCCAATTGTGCAGATCGATGCTCCTACTGTTGATCACTAGATTGTCTGACCATATGACCACCGCCATATAGCAGGAATATTGCTGAGTGCAGTGTAAAACCAAACTCACTCACTCACTCACCCACTATACCCTTGATGGCACAACTACCTGGTCAGAGGAGATAGCTCACATTTTCACTTCCCATACCCTTGATGGCACAACTACCTGGTCAGGGGAGATAGCTCACATCTTCACTTCCCATACCTTTGCTGGCACAACTACCTGGTCAGGGGAGATAACTCACATCTTCACTTCCCATACACTTAATGGCACAACTACCTTTTTTTTTCTTTTTTCTTTTTTTTATTGGTTACCAAGATTACAATATTGCAGATGTACCAAGCCGTGATATGTACGGCTTAAAGTAATATGGCTACATGATGTACAGGTGAGATATTTTTGTATTGATATATTTATAAACATGCATAATTCATTAAATAGATAATGTACAGATAATGTCAGGTAGAAGTCAATACAGTTTGAGTCATCTAAGTACTGGGGAAGGCTCCAAATTTGTAGGTTTATCCAAAATGTTTGAGTCTCCTGACATTCCCAGTACACATGACACACACTCTCATTTACATCTTTGCAAAAACAACACAAACTGTTGTCAATTTTTTTCATTTTGACCAATTCCTTTTTTGTGTAAATAATACCTTGTAGAAATCTATAATGAAAGTCTATAAGCTTTGTATCTTGCAATCCCTTTCTATATACTGTAAATATATTTTTTCCAATCAAAGTCAGTTTCAGGAAATAAAAGCTGCCATATATTACAAATAAGTTTATCATAAAAAGTTCTGAAGCCTTTGGATGCTTTTACTAAATGTATCTGGCATTGGTTAACATTCAAATTACTGACTGGAATAGAGAGACAGTGCTTTAAAGTATATTTCCAAGATTCAGGTAATATGTTCAGTAAATATCTGAAATCTAAAAAAGTGCCTTTGATATGATAATTTTGTTTTAAAGATTCTATTGATAGTAATCCATTCTCATCACATATATCCCTAATATTCATGATCCCTTTCTCTGCCCAATTCTTTATAAAATATGTAGAGTTTTTGAAGTTGTGATTGAACCATAGTGGTTGGGATAGAATTTCATTAATGTTATTTGGGTCAACATAATGTTGTTTGTGAAATAGTTTCCATGCTTTTAGCACATCGTGCCAAAAAGGGTTTTCAATCTCAATAAAAGTTTCAGAATTAGCTCCAAAGTTAAATATGTCTTTGAAAGGTATATTGCATGGATTTTTATTTTCACATTTTTTTAAATATAATCTTAAGGTTGATAATTTCAGAGCATCAATAAATCTACTTGTATCAATCATTCTCAATCCTCCATCTTCATATCTACTTTTTATTACACTCCTCTTTATTTTATCATTTTTATCATTCCAAATGAATTTAAAAAATAATTTTTCAAGCGAAGTAATAAATTCTGCTGGAGGGTTGGGAAAGGAATTGAAAATATGAACTAGTTTGGAGATTGCTAGGGTTTTTATTACTGTTATTTTACCAATAAGTGTTAAATGTCTTTTTCTCCAAGATGCTAAGAGTCTATTAATTTCTTCCAGTCTCTTTCTGGTGTTGATTACCCATAAGTTTTCAAGATCTGGACTAAATTAATACCTAATACATCAAATTCACCCGTTACCCATTCAATTTTCAGGTCATTACATATTTTATCAGTAGATTTAGATTTTGATACAATCTAGATTGCTTTTGATTTATCTAAATATATTTTCAAACCTGACATTTTATAAAATGCATTAATTGTGTCGATAGCACGATATAAACTCTCCTCCGTTCCATCAAGAAATAGTTCGGTATCATCAGCGTATTGATCCAGTTTATATCCCTTATCATTGATGCCAATACCTTTAATGTTTTCATTGTTTCTTATCATACAACCAAGAATCTCAGCTACAAAAAGAAAATTGTAAGGGGAAAGTGGGTCTCCCTGTCTACATCCTCGTTCATTAGCAAAGAATTCAGAGATTACCATGTTGGAGGACACAAGATGTTGTTTCAAAAGTCAATATATTTATCCATCTTATCATTTCAGGGCCAAATCCAAATTTATGTAAAACTAGGTTGATAAAAGTTTTAGAAACAGTGTCAAATGCTTTTTCAAAATCAATCAGAATTAGCAAGCCAGGAATGTTTTGTTTCTTTGTTTCGAACATTATGTCATATAGCAGTCTTGTAAATGGCACAACTACTTGGTCAGAGGAGATAGCTCACATTTTCACTTCCCATACCCTTGATGGCATAACTACCTGGTCGGGGGAGATAACTCACATTTTCACTTCCTATGTACCCTTGATGGCACAACTACCTGGTCAGGGGAGATAACTCACATCTTCACTTCCATTACACTGGATGTCCCAACTTCATGAGGGGAGATAACTCACATCTTTGCATCTCTTACACAAGATGGAGTGTTTACAAATGCCGTGCTATTTCAAATTACCTTAGACTGCGCACGGAAAATAGCCCATCTTTTCCTGTATATTCTCACTGAATTAATTACATGAACTGTGATATAAACTGAAATTCTGGTTGACAAACAAGAAAAACAAGAAAGTGTTTTTACTCGTAAAAACAGATGTCTCCCCCGTACCCAATTCAAAGTTGAGACCTCAAACAATTCATTTGATTCCTTCAATTTCAAAATCTGTTAGTATGAAAATACATATTATACATGTTTTATAGTAGTACATGTACACTCTCTCAAAAAGGAAACGCAACCCCTGTTTTTTTTGGTAATGTTTATATCAATTTTAACTGGTTATTACATTTGTATTTTTAAAGATAATGCCATGAAATTTGACATGGTGAACCTTAGGTCAGCACGGTATAAGGTAACAGTTAATGCAGGTCAGTATCGAACTCTCAATTTACGCTAGGGGGCGTTGTCTTCAGTATCTCGTTGTAGAGCCACGAGCTCTAATCACAGCAGTGCACCTCCTCGGAACAGAACGAATCAGACGGCGGATGTTTTCCTGGGGATTGCTCTCCACTCTTCCTGGAGTGCTGCGGCCAGTTCAACCAGCGTGTGCGGTTGTGGTGACAGATGTTGATAGGATTGATGTCTGGCGCGATCTGGAGGGCCCGCGGCATCGTTGGCGTTTGAATTCTGTAGGAATGCCACTGTTGCCTGCGAGCTGTATGAGGCGGGCATTGTCATGTTGAAACAACTCCCTCTGTTGGTCGGATTATGGGCGAAGATGTGTGGCTGTAAGGCGTCATCAATGTACCCGTTGTGCCGTCAAATTGCCACGAATGATGACCAAGTCTGACCGTTGGTTGTAAGACATGGCTCCCCATACCATGATGCTTCCTCCTCCAAATCTGTGCGACCGACCTGTGAGCGCGGAGTTCGGTGCAAAAGCGTTCATTTGCTTTCGTCTATAGAACCGCGTTGTCTACCGTCCGCGTCGTTGAAGAAAGCGAGACTTCGTCACTAAACCAGACTCTTCTCCAGTTTCTTAGGGTCCATCTCCTTACGTTAGTACACCACCTGAGGCGTTGGGCGTCGATGTTGGCGTTCAAAGGCGGGCCCAACAACTGGTCTTCTTACCGCGTAAATTTGCCTCATATAAGCGGTTCCTGATGGTTTGGGCGATACTCTCCTCAAACCTGGCACCTGTGTTGCAGTGATGGTGGGTGTGGCATGCCGATTCACGTAGGTGGCTGATCGAATAAAAGCGATCCTGAGCGGTGTGTGTGATCCTAGGTCTACCGCTCCTGGGGCGATCTTCAATTGCATGGAACTGTGTGTAGCGATTCCAAAGTCGTGAGATTGTTGTTTTGTGTAATGCGTTTAGATGACGGGCAACTGTTCCAAAGCTTTCCCGGCCTCAATGCGACCAATGGCAATATTTCGATTTGCTGTACTCAAAGCGGGCATTTTCGAACTTGATTTGCAGAGCAAATTATGAGAGAAAAATTACAAACTCTGGCGTGCTTTTAAAACCCTCTACATGAACTGTGTTTTCAACGATTTGCACGTGCAACAGGCTTTTAGCATTTTGTACATGACAATTTCGCACTTTCTCAAATAACACGGATACAAAGGTCATCATGTGTGAAAATGGTTCCGTTTGGGAGCTTATACTGATCAGATGGGAACGTATTAACAGTATTTTGAAGAAAATTCTAATTTACATTCACCATCTTTATTCTAGAAATGATGTCAGATATTTAGATAGGGGTTGCGTTTCTTTTTTGAGAGAGTGTATATGGTTGATGCTTCTAAGCTTACTAATAATTGGTATTGGTATTAAGTATACAAAATTCGGTGAAGATGGGTGAAGTGGTTTTAGAGTTAAGCTCCAAACACAAACCCTACCCTTCAAAAAGACAAAGTCCAAATTTGTTGTCATTGAAACAGCAAAAAATAAAATTGTAAGAAAAGTTCAAACCCTCAAAAGGCACATCTACATGGTATGTAGAGGTAGTATACCAAATTTGGTGAAGATGGGTCAAATAATTTCAGAATTTTGCTCTGGAAACGAACTTTACCCTTCAAAAAGACAAAGTCCAAATTGTCGCCACGGAAACAGAAAGAAATAAAATTGAAAAAAAACCCCTCAAACCCCCAAAAGGCACATCTACGTGATATGGAGAGGCAGTTTACCAAATTTGGTGATGGGTCAAATAGTTTCAGGATTTTGCTCTGGAAACGAACTTTACCCTTCAAAAAGACAAAGTCCAAATTGTTGCCATGGAAACAGAAAAATAAAATTGAAAACACCTCAAACCCCCAAAAGGCACATCTACATGATATGGGGAGGCAGTATACCAAATTTGGTGAAGATGGGTAAAATATTTTCAGAATTTTGCTCCGGAAACAAACTTTACCCTTCAAGAAGACAAAGTCCAAATTGTCGCCATGGAAACAGAAAAAAATTAAATTGAAAAACAACTCAAATCCCCAAAAGGCACATTTACATGATATGGAGAGGCATATATACCAAATTTGGTGAAGATTGTTCAAGTAGTTTTAGAGTTATGTTCCAGAAACAATGGGAACGCAAACACCAATGCCGACGCCGACGGAAACTCAACCAAAAACAATGTCTCCTGACCCTTCGAGGGGAGACATAATAATTTAAGTTATAGAAGACTGGCTTGTCTGTAAGCAACGGTCAGCCACTGGCCAGTTCAAATTCATTCATGGTAACAGGCCTCCTCATACAGTGGGGAGCTGTGACTGGTGGCAGCTGCCTTGTGAATGGGTTCATATAGTTTGTAACCTGTGAGGATCTAGGTTAGAATAGGTCTTCAGCAACCAGTGTTTGTCACGGGAAGCAAGACTTGATTATTTACAGACAACCGCCATATGATTGCCCCCTCCAGACTTGATTATTTACAGACCGCCGCCATATAGCTTGAATACTGCTGTCTGCAGTTACCACACTACACTTCACTACTTGTACGGTGCGACTTGAGGACACAGTTTTCACTTAACTGATGCCTACAAAGAGGACAGAATATGGATACTCAAGTCCTTCATTTATAGCAGTAAGAGTTCTCTTTAGAATGAGTGAGTTATATTTTACACTACTCTCAGTAATATTCCTGCAATATCAGGTGGGGAACCAAACCAGGGTCTCAGGCATGACAAACAGATGCTTTCACTACCAGGCTACTGCCTCTCTACAATATAATCTATCGCTTACCTGGAAGGTTGGCATGGGGTAGACGATGGTTATAGTGAGGCCATTAACAGGAGAGAAGAACCGCACACTGCCATCCTACAAGACAACATTCAACAATGGAAGATGGAATGTCACAACACCCTGGCTTAGCTGATCAAGTTGACTGAAGGTTATGATTGTAAATGACTGATGCGGAGACTTATAGTAACCCTCCCTTTACTATGAGAAGCTGTGGAAACATCCATAATAATAATAATATCATTAAGGAAATAATAAGAAGAATTGGTCACGTTTGAAGCACTTCAGGAAATATCATGGACAGATCCATTCAATTTCACCTGGTTTTGAGGACTAAGGATTCTAAATATTACAAAACTCGAAAGGCATTATTTTTACAAGGATATTGTGAAAAGTTTAGGAATTTTGCTCTAGGAAAGACCATGACAGTCCAAACTTGGATTTTATTATTAAGGCTTGGTCATTACTACCAAACAAACTTGAGACACATCTTGAGCTGACAAATGACCACCTTGATCTAAAGTACCTGCAGTAGGACAGAGCTGTGACTGCCTGTACTAGGTTCCTGTAATGTCCATTATACATGTTATTTAGTGGAATTGGATTCTTTCATTTCATGAAGTGTCCAAATGGCAAAACCGTAGTGTCCACCATGGTGTTTCTTAAGCCTCACAGTTGAGGGTAGAGCTCTAATGTGAGAGTGCAGGAACATACTACACTAAACATCCAAAGAAATGTTACCCTCCTACCTTTATGAATTACTTGAAAACTATCAAAGATATGTTAGATGGTATTACTTTACAAGAAAGCTTAACAACACAGCTTTATTCAAATCATGATAAGAAATTATCAAATGCATTCATATAAAATTTATAGTCTGTTTGCAGTGAAAACGTACCGATGAATTTCACTTTAAACAAAAGAGTAAATCAAATAAAGTGAAATTAACATTGTGAATCCTCATAAATTTACCTTGCCAACTGAACATTAAATATCAGAATTTTATTCAACTTAGGATATAAGTTGTTTAACAACCTATCATAGATTCAAATCGCTATTATCGGTCTGTATTACAAGGGGGTAAGCGCAGTAGATGGAACAGTGAAACAAATGTACGTAACTCAGACCGACCCTACTTGTTCTCGATGTTTCATTTAATGTGCAAACCCCATTTAATGTGCAAACCATTAATAACGATTTGAATCTATGATTGTTTGTTAAACAACTTTTATCCTAAGTTGAATAAAATTCTGAGATTTAAATGTTCAATTGGCAAGGTAAAATTATGAGGATCCCAGATCTTAATTTCACTTTATTCGACTTACTTTTTGTTTAAAGTGAAATTCATGGGTATGTTTTCACTGCAAACAGACTATAGGTGAAATGCAAATTTTTCACAATAGTTAAATTGTCCTATTTCTGACCATGCCGAAATAAACCAAGAACAGTGGTTTAGATGTCCAAAAGAATGGTTGAAATAAAATTCTGCTTTGAGACAAAGATAAACCATTTAAAGTTACCATTTTTCAACTATTGGAACAAGAAACAACTGTTGTAGAGTGTGTAAAATTGTAAAAGAATCATTCCTAAGATTTCAATCTTTTAAAACATTTTCTGCTGATTTGCATTAGTGAAAACAGGTAAAACGTGTCTTTGATATTGTGAAAAAGTGTTATATAAAGTGGAATATCTTAGTTAACATTTTTGCTTGCAAAGTAACATTTTTCCGTTTTCGGTTTACATATAGCAATATCAATCGCCAAAACGTAGCAATATTCAAGCAGTATTCGAATCATGTGTAGAATGATTCTATAGGGTATGAAGAGAGACTAGAATGCATGATATGATACACAAGTATGAGAAATATGCCACGATTAACAGCTGAAGAGAGAGAAAGAGCCATTGGGATGGTGCAGATGGGGTCGACATACAACGCTGTTGCCAATGCCCTCAGATGCCACCATACCACGGTTATAAGACTTATTCAGTGCGACAGACAGCCTGGGGTCAACGTAGACAGATCAAGAAGTGGACGTCCACGCATCACGACGCCAGCTGAAGATAGATACCTCCGTCATTAAGGAAGGAGGGTAACATTTCTTTTGGCCTTTAGTGTATATATCTGCCTCTGAAGTTAAACAGCAACTACTTGGCCGAAGTGAGAAGAAGGAAACAAAACAAATTGTGTTGATATTGTCCTTCAACACAGAATGTATCACTGATCCAGATAATTAAGGTGGCCTTACCTGGCATGATGCCAAGATTCGCGAGGGTTTCCCTCGGAGTCCTGGGATGCACTGTAGGAAGTGAACTGTGGACTCCACCGGTGCAAACAGACTGAAGAACTGATCAAGGTTCAAAATGTACAGCTTTGGCAAGTTCCAATACTAACTACATAGTTACACAGGTTACTCATTATGTGAGGCAGTGACAGTGCCATATACCTGATCCAACAACATACACCTACAAGTGGAGGGGTAGGTCACCAGACCAATGTAATACACATCTGTCTTTAGCTGATGGAGGTGGTGATGTCTACATCTTACTGTTGGGGTGGGCTCTGTTCCCCCCTCCATCATATCAACATGTCTGGTTATCATGTAGCAGGAGAATCTTGACTCCACACCAATGTCCTGCCTTATTAAACAAAAGTAACATCATATTCATTAGGAATCTCTGCTGAAAGTGGAGCCCATTATTATCAGTATGATTATGAATCAAATAGTGGTGACTCTATTTCTTACAATTATAAAAAGTGATGTACCTGATGTCTTTCACTCACCTGGTTCAAATTGTACAGCTTCATTTCTGTTTCAAGCTGACAGAACAAACGGGTCTCTCCCAGAAGTTTCATGGTGAAGATCGGCTCACCCAGGTCAAGTCTCAGGAACTGTAACAGGACACATGTAACAGATAGAGATCCAGCCCTCAAAGGTCAAGTCTCATGAACAGTAACAGGACACATGTAACAGAGAGCTGGCTCTCCCAGGTCAAGTCTCATGAACTGTAACAGGACACATGTAACAGAGAGCTGGCTCTCCCAGGTCAAGTCTCATGAACTGTAACAGGACACATGTAACAGAGAGCTGACTCTCCCAGGTCAAGTCTCATGAACTGTAACAGGACACATGTAACAGAGAGCTGACTCTCCCAGGTCAAGTCTCATGAACAGTAACAGGACACATGTAACAGAGAGCTGACTCTCCCAGGTCAAGTCTCATGAACTGTAACAGGACACATGTAACAGAGAGCTGACTCTCCCAGGTCAAGTCTCATGAACTGTAACAGGACACATGTAACAGAGAGCTGACTCTCCCAGGTCAAGTCTCATGAACAGTAACAGGACACATGTAACAGAGAGCTGACACAGGTCAAGTCTCATGAACTGTAACAGGAGAACAGCTGACTCTCCCAGGTCAAGTCTCATGTAACAGAGAGCTGACTCTCCCCAGGTCAACAACTGTAACAGGACACATGTAACAGAGAGCTGACTCCCAGGTCAAGTCTCAGGAACTGTAACAGGACACATGTAACAGAGAGCTGACTCTCCCAGGTCAAGTCTCATGAACAGTAACAGGACACATGTAACAGAGAGCTGACTCTCCCAGGTCAAGTCTCATGAACTGTAACAGGACACATGTAACAGAGAGCTGACTCTCCCAGGTCAAGTCTCAGGAACTGTAACAGGACAAATGTAACAGAGAGCTGACTCTCCCAGGTCAAGTCTCATGAACAGTAACAGGACACATGTAACAGAGAGCTGACTCTCCCAGGTCAAGTCTCATGAACTGTAACAGGACACATGTAACAGAGAGCTGACTCTCCCAGGTCAAGTCTCATGAACTGTAACAGGACACATGTAACAGAGAGCTGACTCTCCCAGGTCAAGTCTCATGAACTGTAACAGGACACATGTAACAGAGAGCTGACTCTCCCAGGTCAAGTCTCATGAACAGTAACAGGACACATGTAACAGAGAGCTGACTCTCCCAGGTCAAGTCTCAGGAACTGTAACAGGACAAATGTAACAGAGAGCTGACTCTCCCAGGTCAAGTCTCATGAACAGTAACAGGACACATGTAACAGATAGAGATCCAGCCCTCAAAGGTCAAGTCTCATGAGTCATGACAAGTGTTTTCACCAGACAGAACTAATGGTAGCCTGTTATATAAAGGTAAAGTAGCCAAAACAAAGAACTGTTGAGCTCATTTACATTTAGTGGCTCATCTGCTTACGTTTTATTTAATCTAAATATATCTACTGTGTGATATTTAGTGTAACTAGTTTGTATTAGGGCATCAAACTTTTTCTTTTCTTTTGCCATTTGCAACACCACCTCAATAGGTTTTTCCTTGGGTCATGTTTGCCCTAAATCCAATTACTGCTGTTATTACAACTACAGAAAGGGGAAAGAACTCTTGTCCCCACAATAAGAAAGGGTGAAAACTTGTTTATAAATACCCACACTAAGAAGGAGTGAAAACTCTTGTACTTGCTACATAAACATTGGCCAACAACTCTGGTCTCATATCATAAACAGGACAGACAATTTGTGTATCACCCCATAAGGCCAGACAACTCATATTTCCTTGACTAAGCAGGGAGGAGAAATTATCCACTTACTCTCTGGAAGTTGTCCATCCTCCAGATTTGCACAGAGCCATCCATTGAGCTGGAGAACAGCAGGGGGTCGATTCTGTGAGGCTGCAAGGCTGAAATGTAAACAGTTTCATTTCCAAGGGCTAGATTTCCAAGTTCGGGAAATGCAACCACTACATGTCTCTACCATAGCCCCCAGCAACAAAACATGAGACATTACTCCAGTTAGGTGATTCACTGTCTGTATCCTTAAACAACAAAACTAATAAGAGGAAATCAAGGTAATATTACAGGTGACTATGCTTGATGTGTTTAAATGAGTGAGTGAGTGAGATTAGTTTTACGCCACACCAGCTATATGGCGGTGGTCTGTAAATAATCGAATCTGGACCAGACAATCCTGGGATCAACAGCATGAACATCGATCTATGCAATTGGGATACGATGACATGTATCAACCCATTCAGCAAGCCTGAATACCCGATCCCGTTAGTCGCCTCCTACGACAAGCATGGGTTACTGAAGATCAATTCTTACCTTGACCTTCACAGGTATTGATGTGTTATTTAAAGAAATAACAGATGCACTTTAAACTGCTTAGAAACGGAGTTCCAGTTCGCTGTCACAATACATCATAATGAAGAGTGTGAAGTACTCACCTGTGATGGCGCCTCGGTGTCCGGTGAATGCATGTACCTGTGTGAACACCACTGCATTCCACACCTGGAACATGGTGACATTATCACATATAGGCTCAGAACATGGTGATGTCATCACATATAGACTCAGAACATGGTGATGTTATCACATATTGACTCAGAACATGGTGATGTTATCACATATAGACTCAGAACATGGTGATGTCATCACATATAGACTCAGAACATGGTGATGTTATCACATATTGACTCAGAACATGGTGATGTTATCACATATAGACTCAGAACATGGTGATGTTATCACATATAGACTCAGAACATGGTGATGTCATCACATATAGACTCAGAACATGGTGATGTTATCACATATAGGCTCATCATCATATTGACTCAGAACATGGTGATGTCATCACATATTGACTCAGAACATGGTGATGTTATCACATATAGACTTCAGAACATGACTCAGAACATGGTGATGTTATCACATATAGACTCAGAAGAACATGGTGATGTTATCATGGTGTGATGTTATCACATATAGACTCATGATGTCATCACATATAGACTCAGAACATGGTGATGTCATCACATATTGACAGAACCTATGTTATCAGACTCAGAACATGGTGATGTTATCACATATAGACTCAGAACATGGTGATGTTATCACATATAGACTCAGAACATGGTGATGTTATCACATATAGACTCAGAACATGGTGATGTTATCACATATTGACTCAGAACATGGTGATGTTATCACATATAGACTCAGAACATGGTGATGTTATCACATATAGACAACATGGTGATGTCATCATATTGACTCAGAACATGGTGATGTCATCACATATAGACTCAGAACATGGTGATGTTATCACATATAGACTCAGAACATGGTGATGTCATCACATATAGACTCAGAACATGGTGATGTTATCACATATTGACTCAGAACATGGTGATGTTATCACATATAGACTCAGAACATGGTGATGTTATCACATATAGACTCAGAACATGGTGATGTTATCACATATAGACTCAGAACATGGTGATGTTATCACATATAGACTCAGAACATGGTGATGTCATCACATGGTGATGTTATAGACTCAGAAAATGGTGATGTTATCACATATAGACTCAGAACATGGTGATGTTATCACATATAGACTCAGAACATGGTGATGTCATCACATATAGACTCAGAACATGGTGATGTCATCACATATAGACTCAGAACATGGTGATGTCATCACATATATAGACTCGGAACATGGTGATGTCATCACATATAGACTCAGAACATTGTGACAAATTCAGCAAATGTCAATGTATTTAAAGCAGTTAAACCCTGAAGAGTATGTAACAGAGAAATACCTTACCTTTATGCTGCCATCCAGACTCCCTGTAATCAGATACTCCCCTTGGTTGTATACACAGCAGCTGATGGTGGAAACAGGGGGAGTGTTCAATATAAAGGTAGGTACAGGTGGACAGGTAAATAATAAACTTCAGGTACACACAGGTGTATTGCTGAAAATTACAGGTAGGTAAAGGTATACAGTTAAATATACACTTACACTGTATGTATTCTTTATATTTGCTCTATGTTGTATTATGGGCCAATGGCCTACATTACTGAAATAAAATGTCTGTCTGTCTGTCTGTCTAAATATACACTTTATGTAGATACAGGTGCAGTATTACATACAGAACTTCAAGTGGATACATGTATTCCTCAGTAGACATCTCTCTCCAAGCTTTAGGCACATTAGAATTATGTTTGTTAATATAGTACTGAATAATACTGGAGTAAGTGTTTACTATAAAATGTAGGTTATCTACACAAATATGGGTACTATGATAATACAATGGTCGCTTTATGTCATCAGAATAATGAGAAACTATGAAATATATACACACAAAAAACTCCTCTGAAAAAAAATAATTTCAGTATTAATTTTTCGATTTTTTTAGACAGACATATCAGGCAATGTGTAGTTTGTAAAAAAGTAGGAATATGTCATACTTTTTTCTGTCATAGAAAAATCTGATATTAAACAAGATGATTTTCAAACATTATGTTACTGGGCAAATTATAAATTATTGGTATTCAGATGCAGTTTGATGAACCTTTCATGCAAATTCTTACCATTTCATGGATCCACTGTGTTTGTTGGACATGTAATGTGTCTGTTGATTTTTCTGAAATCAGATTTAGAAATTATTGACTGCAATGACATTCACCTTTAGATATAGCTGGGAAGGATGTAATCCCATCATACCACACAGTATAGAACTACACACTTCAATCACCATATTGATAGGGGAAACACCTATTCTATGAATTTACCTTGAAGTATGTATGCTGCTAAATAATTGTTCCAGTAAATTGGAATTTCTTAAAAAATATTATGATAATTGAGAATTAAATCGTAAATCAATGTTACTTGAACTCATTTAGTAACAGGGGCACTGGGGTATTTTATGAGCGCTTCTCTCACCTCATAGTTGAGCACCATGAGGGCCGTCTCGCACACAACAAGCAGCTGTTTGTTCTTCGTGTCCACTTGAATGTCCAGCACCCACTGTTAAACATGGACGTATTATGCATACACCCATTGTCAAACATGGACCCAATAAGTATAGTATCCCCAGAAATTATTGAGAAATTAGTTTCGGCAAATATCTAATACATGTATATAAACTATAGAAGTTGTACTTAATGAATATGTTAAGATCTATTTCAGTCCAAGCGGCAAGTGTCTTTGCAGTACTTTGTGAGACCTCCTTGCCCAGCAATACACGACTGAATGCGCCCAGGTACACTACCCATCAAAGTTTGTACGAAATCGTGTGACAGCATATCCCAATATTCGACCACTTCTTTCTTCATATCCTCAATATTTCTAAGTCCTTTTGGGGTTTATTCTGTCCTTCATTAGTCCCAACATATTCTCAATAGTGTTAAGATCTTGGCTGTTGCTGGGCCAGTCTAACAACCCACAACCACTGTTTTATGTAGCCTGCAGAGTGTTTTGGGTCGTTATCATGCTGGAAAATCCAATTTTCTTCATACAGTTTTCGGGCTGTTGGAAGGAAGTGACCATTTAAGATGTCACCATGATATCGTTCCTTCGTCAAATTTCCAGTGGAAATACACAACGGCGTCACTCCACGTGATGATATCCCACCCCACGTGAAATTTCCGGGCTGTGTTTTGGGCGTTGGTAGATCTGGTTTTATGGTATCTTTTGTCCAAATTTTCACACAGTTCGGAAAAAGCCAGACAGAACTTTCATCAGAAAGCAAAACATTATCCCAATCTTGATTTTCGTGAGCCCAACACCAGTTTTTAAAAACGTACGTCTTTCTTTTTGGGCATTTTCCATTAATGGTGAGGGAATTCCACGCTTTTTCACGCAGTAAGTCTTTGTAATTCTTGTGTAAGGATTTTATTAGATACCTGAGGACTTCCTCTATTAATCATCTCATTTCTGATATTCTCAAAGCTTTTCAATTTTCCCCTACTCACAATGAATCTGACCAAGTCGCTGGCGATCCGTAGTGCTGAACTTCCTTGGCCTCCCTGCCCCTGTCTTGTGCTCAATCCCAATTCCTTCTCTAAAGTTCTATATACTATACACAGAGGAATGTCATGTCTACCAGCTAACTCTTTTGCATTAGTCACACCCCTTTCAAAATTATCTAGAACCAGCTTTCTTTTCTCTTCTGATCTGCCATGTCAACAAAGGAAGCCGCCTGCTACACGGGGAGATAACTCTTGGTGTAGTAAGGTTCATTCTTACGCCTACAAGAGTTGCCTCCCATACTGAATACCTTAATTAAGTTACAGAATGTAATACACCTATTTTAAAATTCTATTATCAGTATTAGGAAACAAAGGTTTTCTCATTAATTTCTGGGAAAACTGTAAACACCCATTGTCAAACACGGTTTGAAGCATGGGGTTGCATTCACTATTTAGCTTCTTTGAGTGGCAATTTAGAAACTGGGACACACGTACAATACTGTCAAACTTTATGATATCAGCTTCTTTTATTCCGTGAGTGCGACGTTTCTATACAGATTCTTGTACCGTTGTCAAGCCAGTGAGTGAAGGAGAGCCAGTGCTAAATGTACTCACATCGTCCTTGGCAAGAGACAGGGCAAACCTCCGCTCCTTCGTCATTACCGCGGCATGCTGAAACAGGATGCAGAACGTAGCAGAGGAAATCTCTACAGAAATTAGTAGGTCAGTTAAAATGATGCAAAAATTAAGTTTGATAATCTGAATAAGACCAAACGGATTTTGTGATTTGGTGCACCTTGGTTATATTCTAAATATGCGATATGATTACACTTTTACAACCAAACATTAACATAATAAAACATACATAAATTGTATTTAAGACTATAAAGGATCATAAACTGTACATACATACAAAATGGCTGCAAATATTTAACCAGAAAATGTGGTCTATGTGTGTAGTGTGGCAAGCTAGGATATTTCCTTGAGTAACACAGAGCAGAGTCTCACACAGCTGGGATATTGTGGAGTAAACAACAAGACAGGTCATGCAGGAACATCTCCCTGGCTCCCTGATTTGAACAATCATTAGTGGTATGGTACATGTACGCCTTGTCATTGTCTAAAGAAACAATTTATATGTACATCTATGCTGACCTCTGACCCCTTGAGTGCCCACGCCTCCACTGCCCCAATACAGCCTGTGATCACTTCATTCGTGTCCCGGTTGAAGGCCAGACTGCAAGAGCAACAATCGTAACTGTACAAAGATAGTGGTCACTATAGGTGCATGGTCACAGTGAGGACCGTGTGTTGTTTGGGTGTGTAATGTGAAGATACTATTTCATCTATACTCTGTATTGATTGTTTACATTTAGATTGTAAACAGTTGCCATGGTAACCATGTTTATACATATTTTCACATGTCATCAATGCTGGAGAGCTTGAAATCAACAGTCACAATTATTTATCCAAATCTATATTTTGCAACGTTGTAATCCCTTTCCCTGCTCTTTGTTAATAACATTAGAAGAAAACGTATCTAATTATCTAAAGACGTTTCTCTTGTCTCATAGATCCTGCTAATGCCATACAACGAATATCTCAGTGACACTGGTAATCTGCCTACCATAGAACGGTAGTGGCACTGATGCCGTGCGAGACTTCCTGGCACCCATTCTTGGACTTGGTGAACACGCGCAGCTTCATGTCCGGGCTGAACCCTACGAACACTCGATACTTCGGGACGAACATCAGACGGCACATTGTATAACACACCTCGGACCTGGGGACACAGAGGTTTTGAGAGACTCAGGCCTCTAACCGGGGCACGCAGTAATATATAGAGAAAAACACGGGTCTTGAACTGTGGACACAGAAATATAGAGAGACACGGGCCTTGAAACTGTAGATACAGAAATGTAGTACACACAGGACCTGAGATTGAGGACACAGAAATATAGAGAGAGGCACAGATCCTCGAAGCTATGACACACAAAGTAATACACAGTAGACACGGACGTAGAAACTAGGGGTAGAGATAATTATAAAGAAAAAAACACACCAAAGTATCTTTAGAAAAGAAATGTTGCTGACATGGGTATGTATAGAGACACAACCTTTAAGTCTGGAAACAAAGACATGGGAGAAGAGGCACAGTACAACTGCGGGGCAATGAAAGTCCTGATTCAAAAGACCGCGCATATAAATGTGGGGAGCTTTAATGAATGAGAGATCAATCTTAACATTTCAAGCCAATCGGTAACCATAAGACTAACATCTAGTCTCTGAAATGAACATATTTTACAGAAAAAAAAGTTCATAAGAAATAATCATAACATATATTGAAAAGGAACCCAGAGACTATTTTCCTTTTCAAATCTTGCCACATATTCTAGACTAGCATGGATATATTTGTTTCAGAGTGTGCATCATGTACAGTATAGCTTACTTATCCTGTATACATGCAGCGTCAGGGTCGGAGGAGTTGAGTGTCCACGCACACACGTAGCTGACGGTGCCGCGGCTGTAGTGAGAGAAAAACATTTCCCCCGCCTTCGTCTTGAAGTGGGTGGAGCAGCGGATGTTGCAGCAGTGACGCATTGTCTGGAACAGCTGTCGGGGACAGACGTCAACATTACAGTGAGTGAGTGAGTTAATATTTAACGTCACATCGGCAGTATATCAGCCATATCGTGACGAGAACAACCTATCCAAAATAAATCTATACTTCATAAACCTGTCGTCGAAGGACAGTAAAAATACAAGAATATCACAGCTTTGATGTCTTTCAGTGGCATTTAGAAGTTGTACATTGATGTCCAAGATATTTTTATGGATTAAACTGATAAACATAATGCCAACTGTCAGTTCACCTGATGAAGGGACCTGGAATGGTCTCGAAACGTCGTGAGGGAAATTATAAAGAAGTTTAATCCATAAAAATATCTTGGACATCACAGCTTTGGTTTAAAACTAGTACGTTGTAATAAAATATATTACTTCAACATCAGACAATGTTTACAAAGTCGCGGACTAATTCCTGCCATCAATATTCCTAAAACAGTCTTGTGTCGCCTATGGACATTTGCAAGATCGTAAAGTGTTAAATAAAATGACTATTTAAAATGTGTGTTAATATTCATAATCTAAAACAAGTGTCATTTCACTTGGAAAGTGTACTTTTCAGAAAGCAAAGTCAAATAACAACTATATGAGTCACGAGGACTGATGTGACAGTGACCGACAAGTGACCTAGCTATATGTTCTTACCTGTGGTCCATGTTCCAATGTGATACTGTGACCTACCTGTGGTCCATGTTCCAGTGAGATGCTGTGACCTACCTGTGGTCCATGTTCTACTGTGATACTGTGACCTACCTGTGGTCCATGTTCCAGTGACCTACCAGTGGTCCATCTTCTACTGTGATACTGTGACCTACCTGTGGTCCATGTTCCAGTGACCTACCAGTGGTCCATGTTCCAGTGACCTACCTGTGGTCCATGTTCCAGTGACCTACCTGTGGTCCATGTTCTACTGTGATACTGTGACCTACCTGTGGTCCATGTTCCAGTGACCTACCAGTGGTCCATGTTCCAGTGACCTACCTGTGGTCCATGTTCTACTGTGATACTGTGACCTACCTGTGGTCCATGTTCCAGTGACCTACCAGTGGTCCATGTTCCACTGTGATACTGTGACCTACCTGTGGTCCATGTTCCAGTGACCTACCAGTGGTCCATGTTCCACTGTGATACTGTGACCTACCTGTGGTCCATGTTCCAGTGACCTACCAGTGGTCCATGTTCCACTGTGATACTGTGACCTACCTGTGGTCCATGTTCCACTGTGATACTGTGACCTACCTGTGGTCCATGTTCCAGTGACCAACCAGTGGCCCATGTTCCACTGTGATGCTGTGACCTACCAGTGGTCCATGTTCCAGTGACCAACCTGTGGTCCATGTTCCACTGTGATGCTGTGACCTACCAGTGGTCCATGTTCCACTGTGATACTGTGACCTACCTGTGGTCCATGTTCTAGTGACCAACCTGTGGTCCATGTTCCACTGTGATGCTGTGACCTACCAGTGGTCCATGTTCCACTGTGATACTGTGACCTACCTGTGGTCCATGTTCTAGTGTGATACTGTGACCTACCAGTGGTCCATGTTCCAGTGAGATGCTGTGACCTACCTGTGGTCCATGTTCTAGTGTGATACTGTGACCTACCTGTGGTCCATGTTCCAGTGAGATGCTGTGACCTACCAGTGGTCCATGTCCCAGTGTGATGCTGTGACCTACCTGTGGCCCATGTCCCAGAGTGATGCTGTGACCTACCTATGGCCCATGTCCTAGTGTGATGCTGTGGCCTACCTGTGGCCCATGTCCCAGAGTGATGCTGTGACCTACCTGTGGCCCATGTCCCAGAGTGATGCTGTGACCTACCTGTGGCCCATGTCCCAGAGTGATGCTGTGACCTACCTGTGGTCCATGTCCCAGTGTGATACTGTGACCTACCTGTGGTCCATGTTCCAGTGTGATGCTGTGACCTATCTGTGGTCCATGTTCCACTGTGATGCTGTGACCTACCTGTGGCCCATGTCCCAGAGTGATGCTGTGACCTACCTGTGGCCCATGTCCCAGAGTGATGTTGTGACCTACCTGTGGCCCATGTCCCAGAGTGATGCTGTGACCTACCTGTGGCCCATGTTCTAATGTGGTGCTGTGACCTACCTGTGGTCCATGTCCCAGAGTGATGCTGTGACCTACCTGTGGCCCATGTCCCAGAGTGATGCTGTGACCTACCTGTGGCCCATGTTCTAATGTGGTGCTGTGACCTACCTGTGGTCCATGTTCTAATGTGGTGCTGTGACCTACCTGTGGTCCATGTTCTAATGTGGTGCTGTGACCAACCTGTGGTCCATGTTCTAATGTGGTGCTGTGACCTACCCGTGGCCCATGTCCCAGAGTGATGCTGTGACCTACCTGTGGCCCATGTCCCAGAGTGATGCTGTGACCTACCTGTGGTCCATGGTCTAATGTGGTGCTGTGACCTACCTGTGGTCCATGTTCCAGTGCGATGCTGTGACCTACCTGTGGCCCATGTTCTAATGTGGTGCTGTGACCTACCAGTGGTCCATGTCCCAGAGTGATGCTGCGACCTACCGGTGGCCCATGTCCCAGAGTGATGCTGTGACCTACCTGTGGCCCATGTCCCAGAGTGATGCTGTGACCTACCTGTGGTCCATGTTCCAGTGTGATGCTGTGATCGAATGTCTCCGGATCTTGGAGAACAAGCTGTATGTTGTCTTTGACCTCTGACCATTCTTTCAACTTGTCCCATCGCTGGTCAAGGTCATTCACTTGTGTGCTCTCTGTGCTTAGATTATTACCCTTAAGCTGTAGATGTGATGATAATCATTAGTTGCATTTGTGAAGCCACAATAGGTATTCAGCTTGTGCAAGTGATGTTCGTACGTTATCAGGAATATTTTTGCACTGTTCACTCGTTGCTTATATTTTCATTTCATTCCTACCACTATAAATATTTACCGCATATTTCTTTCATTCTTTCAAAACTAAGCGTTCATTCAACACTCACTTCAGACGGCAGTTCCATGATTCGTTTTCCCACTTAGATGCTGGCGATATGTATATATTTTTCTCCTACAGGCCACGGACTACAAAACAAAACAACAAACTAGATGATACATGTTGTCAGCTCGTGTGTAGGATATTTATCTTTATCATTTTAACAAGATAACTGAGCAAACCTCGCGCTCTCAGTGTTCACTATATATGTAGGTAGGACCTAATTTCCCAGTCAGTTTTAATATTAAGTTATTACACAAGGTGAATACAAGAACCCTTCGGAAGCAGCAAAAACGGTCACTAACAGCATCCAATAACAAACCGAATGTCCAATATTCCGATTTACCACGATGTATGTTAATCTATATGTATAACCTCCTTCGTTCCTGACCGTTCCAGTCGCTATCCCTCAAACCGGCTGGCACTGTTGCCACACGTTGTCTGGACTGGCTGACCATGACGTCCGATTGTGATGACGTCATCAGCATTGTGGCTACGTTGCCACCGCGAGACAACGTCACGAGAGTCCGGGGTCAGTCCGTTATATATCCTGTGCATGCTACATATATAGGAACAGCTTGGGTGATAGATGGGCAATGCAAAGATTCCCGCGTTCTTCCACCACAGAAAACATACATCAGACACGTGATAAACTGAAAGAACTTCACCTCCACCCTACAACACAAGCAGAGTCTATTATTAATGTCAGAATATAGTTAATATGCTACTTTACAGTGTAAACGTTTTGCATAAAAGGTAATTCCGTTACTTTGCCATGGCGTGCAAACACTACGCTGTTAGTCCAAACATTTTAACATTGAGTGAGTAAGGTTTTACGCCTATTTTAGCAATATTCCAGTAATCTCACATTGTATCAATGTGTGAAATCGAGCCCAGGTATTCGGCGTGACGAACAAAACCTTTAACCACGAGGTTAACCCCACTGAACCCAGAACTGTGTAGCTGAACCCATGTAAAATGAGCTATACTTGATGAGGAGTTGTTGTTTTAACAATGTATGGTAGTATTGGGATGTGGAAGTTTTGGGATATAACCAATCGAATTGATTCTTAATAAGTTCAATTAAAGTTGTTGTTATAGGTTAAGAAGGCTGCAACACAAGACCTGTTGAAGTCTGCCAGGTCCATAGTATAGCTCATTTAAAGATTATAATAAAAATAATTATGAATATAATATAATATTAATCAGACCAATATTCAAATGTCAAATCGAAGGTTATATCCCAAAACTTCCACATCCCAATACTACCACACATTGTTAAAACGACAACTCCTCATCGCCCCTTTTAGGTAATAGGATAACCAAGGAAGTGCACTGAACTGAAGCAACAGATATGATACATCTCAGGAAGTCGACCTTTGGATATTTTATAAGGCTCAGGACGTCGACCTGGGTCCGCTTTGAAGTTTGGGTGTTATTTTAGCGCATGACTAATCTCATGTGACTTGTTATTACAAGGTTGGTGGTTGATGGAAGTGAACACATCGCACACAGCCGTGTCAAAACATATATATATATATATATAAGATTGAATTTCTGTTTGTTTTTAGGTGAAGGAATTTGAATAAGTAATATTGTATTAAATATACTAAATGATATACATTTCATCAATAAATACCGTCATATTTGCCATATCATTCATTATAACAATTTATCCTTTATTTTAAGGTTGAAGACCTATTTCTGGAAACCATTGAAAACATGCCTGAAGACCAACGCTGCCACGGCCTAGCGGATAGTCTGTCTCACAGTCCCTGAACCACATTAACTGCCCTACTGCCAAGCCCTCTCTGCAGTGCTAAAGCCCTAAATAAAGCAAGTCTGAATCTCTGGTCTCCCTAGGGCTCCTTTTCAATATAAATGGGCTTGTTTGTTACTATCAAAATTATATATATTCAGAGACTAAGCCTTAGTCTACCTAGCGGACTACATCACCAACTTCTGGGTGGAAGGGGATCTCTACAGATCGCAGTGGAACCAGCATGAGGATGAGGGCCCGCGAACCAATAACCACCCGGAAGGTTGGCATTCCAGACTTAAACGCACCATCGGCAAGGCTCACCCCAACATTTTTTAAATCATCACGTTCCTGTCCAGGGAGCTGGCCAACACTGAACACAAGTTGGAACAATATGCCGGAGGCCAAAGGCAACCCATGAAACTGAGACCTGGAACGTCGACTTCAAGAACTCAGACACAATGTCCAAAATGGAATGTTAACTGTTAGACAATTTGCTTATTCAGCATCTCATCTTTTACATCTTTAATAATATTGATAATAAATATGTACTTGTATAAATGTGTATGTATTTTGTACTACTGTGTATTTTATTTTGTTTTATATTTTAATGTATATATACTCGGTGAACTGAGATTGAAATATAACACTATCTTTATACATATATTTGGCTTGTTTTCTCATTAGGTGTGCTCCCATCCACATAATCCGGATTATCCTCTTCTAACATCATATAGATCGTCATTGTCTCTATAATCCAATATTAATTTCTAAAATGTCGAAACGCCCAGGACGTCGACCTTTTTTCTTCACTCATCCGTGATGATTTGACCAAAGGTCGACGTCCTGAGCCCTAACCCACCTGACTTAGCAGGGTAAAGATTTTAGTGAAAAAGAGAACAGTTAGTTAATAAATCTGAAATATCTATAATATAAATTCGTGCATATTTCATGTGGGCAAAGCTTGTCAATTTTGTTTTCTTGTTTTACCTTGAAATGTTGTTGATTACGTTCATAGTAACAATAATAATAATAATAATAATAATAATAATGCTGCTAATTTTTGCTCCTGGAATCTAGTATTCTGAACATACAAAACATAATTAAATTATGCAAGCTTAACGTACATTTAATGTATATGTCTATTAAAATATGTAGTTTTACAACATAATATGGCTAATGAGTTTTGAAATTTTATAGTTATTGCTTAAAATGGGCCAACAAGCCAAACAATTCCTTTCAATTCTGATTTGCAAATATAAAGTAATATGTAACAAAAGATTCAAAAATGAGAATATATTGTATTATGCTTACTTAAAGCTCTACTACCATACATACTCGCACTACCAAATCCAGGCATAAACACACACATTCTAATTAAATAAGGAAATTGATAATGTTATGTATGGACATTGGAATTAATTGTGACGTTAGTGACACAATAACGGTAGTGACATTTTAATAATAGCTACTTTTATATGGTTTACTTTAAAAGATAATGTAATGAAATTTGTCAGTCAGATATTTCAGAATATTTAAAGAATATGTAATAGGCAAAAGATTTACTTATGGATGTCCATGTCATGTAAAAAACAGGTAAAGACTGCATGTTACGGCAGTGACACTGTGACGGTATATACTGTCACCATCGTAACGGCCCTACCACAGTCGTGTTCTTCTACGCCTGACTCCCCAGGGGCATCAAGACAGAAGTACAGCAGAGACGGAGCCGTCCCCTTGCTCCAACAACAGGAGAGAGTGACAGGGTTATGACTGTCAAATGTGCGGGTGAAATCTTGGACACTATAGGACATAGGTTCTATATAAATGTTCTACATAGACTGTTACATGTAACTAGAAAAGATATGTATTTTTGTTATTTTGATTACTATATGATTGTTTGTATTCATTACTGATTAATGGATTAAACCATTACAGACTGAGGTAATCAGTATACTACCTGGCCATTATGTTGGATTTCCACAGAGGACGTACTTCTACTTGATGGCAGATGTTCTTCTTATACTTATCCTTCTCAAATAATTTCTCGTTGACACGAATCATATTGCAGACTTAAAACAGTCGCTTCCTAATGTGAATTAATGAAAAATGATAATAAACGCAAGTATAAATTGTTTATCACCGTGTGTTCATAGAAATCTTTAACTTTTTAACAAGTTGGTGTCACATGTTTGTGAACATGTTCCCATGGACATGAAGGATCTGTTGGGTTCACCTGGCATCGGGAAGTTTATTCAACATATGCTGACAAGTTAGGGGTTAACTAGCTGTTTGTCTATATTTTAGGGAATTGTATTTGAAACAGACGTGCTGATTAAATATTGCTCAAAATTGTTTTGCCAGTTATTTGGTCAGTGTCCGGCAAGTAGATACACATAGCTAAACATGACAACCAGTTTCTGATAAGGACGTCACTCCTCTACAGTACCTGATAGTTTGGTTTGGTTTCTCTCATGAAAGTCTGACCAAGAAACAAAACAATTAGGCAATTAAATATGTTTTGGCCTTATAGTAATGGATTTAAGATTTTATTATTTTTCATTTGTTTTCAAAATCTATTTAGAAAAGTAACTCGATGAGGTTTAATTTTCAAATATTTGCATGCTTTTCGACCTATCATACTAACTCAAACAGTGGTGAAATCGTGTCGGACTATGCTTCTCCACACCGCTTATAGCATAACACATTTGTTTCAATGTAAGAAATAATTTGAAGAGACTGATCTTTACTAACAAAATTTGATAATCTGAGAGACATATTAAGGTTCTAAATTATCCTTGAACGAATATTTATAACTGAGGCAAACAACGCTGTCACCATGCAGTCATTATGTTAGAAGCGACATTTGTTTACAGTAGAAACAAAATGGCGGAAAAGATAATGCAAATCTGACACTAGTAACAGAAAGAAAACAGTTCAAATTTGATATAATCAATGGCCTGGCGAATGACAATAATTCCGCGTAGAACTTTGCAAACTGCCACATTTAGTCTGACATATTTTTAAAGCGATGTAGCAAAGAGTAGCGTCCGTTTGTCTGGCTTTTCTTGGGTGAGAAGGCGGCGGATAATCGTAGTGTCCTATTTTCGGTCAAATTTCTCCTACGTTGTTGTGTTGTGTAGAGCCAGTTCAAGATGGCAGGCGAAATGTTGCAGCTTGCTAAGGTAAGTATCATGTATTCGATCAGTTCTTTTTGACATGATAATGTAAATTGACCGACCTGAATAATAAAGTGAATATAAGGGATTTAAGTATGAAAATAATTCTAATTAAGATAGTGAAAATAATTACAATGTAATTATATCTTGAGACAGAAACTTGCGACTCTTCAATAGACAGACAGCAGATTAGTCATGGTGTCAACCCCTTTTATCTTAATTAAATCCTCCAAGAACCCTCGAGAGTATTCTGTTGCCATTGGCCATCTTATCTTAAAAATGTCTATGATATTTTTCAATTTTGCAACTGTCGTCAGTCATCTGTGTTTCCTTCTATCATTCAATGCCTGCTCTGTGTAAGTTATGTTGGAACATTATTCTTTTCCTTTTGCTACACCTGCGATCCATACATTTACCTTTGCGTTATAGTGCAATATTCATTATGTAGACCCCGACATTGAGTATTGTATATGCCCACACATCCTCCCCATCATGATCTGTTGTAAGTGTATAATTATATCATACATAGTTCATGAATAATGCAGACCAAGATTGGACAAGCGATATCTGAGGGAAACATTAAAGGCTTGAAGAAATGTTTGGAGCAAGGCCAAGATCCACTTTTCAAAGACAGGGTTTGTTAACAACTTTCTTTACATTCATGGACAGGATTATTTAAATAATCAGAATTGGAGTGAATAGCTAAAGTAGCAAGGATTCATAGTACCATTGTACCAGAGTCATATTGCAAAAGTGTATATATATCAATAGAAACATGTAAGGTTGCGGAGTCTGTGATATATTATATGGTCTGTGATTGTATATATTAACTACTGTGTTCTGACGATGAAAGACAAGATTTACAAAATAGTTTTGTTCGTCACTAGTCATCCATTTTATGAAAGTTCACTGGCCCATCTAATGAGCTTTATTTTAAAGCTGTTGTCTTGTGCTGTTTTTTAAAATGAATCATATAAATCTAATGTTAGAAGCTGGTATCCATGGTGATCCTAAGGTACTGAAGGAGCAAACCCTCGACCCAAATTAACTTTGAACAATGCTGTGTATTGCATGGTGATCGCACAATGATTGCTACAACCAAGAGTTCACATCTGTAAGACAGGGTCACTACTCTCATATTATAAATGAATATTTCTATCAAAGATTGATAGTGTATTTAGCCAGATGTGTCTCTGTTATGTAAACCAAAAGTCCAAAATGAGATATGGAACAGTAAAACACTAAAGTTATCTACCCTGTGTAGTTACAGAGTTGTCTACCCTGCAGCTTGCAGAACGTTGTCTCCTGTTTCAGAAAGACAACACCTACTTGCACTACGTGTGCACCATGCACCGGGCCACACATCATATATATACTATTCACAACACCGATGGACATCAACGCTCAAAACAGGGTGAGTTTTTTCATGTATTGTCCCATCAATACAGATAGCAATACATAGATTGCCAGAATGTGTGTGATTACTTACCTGACATATTTGTGCATATATAATTCCTCAATTAATGAAAGTCCTTTATTATCATGTCAGTGAACCTGGCATAATGTGACAGTTGGTCACTGGTGGTGATTTCGTCTATCTTCCTTGAGGTTAAAGTTTATGAATGAAAATCTTATAATCCTGCAGCTTACAGTTTCAATGATTATGGTGATTTAGCATATCTTTCACATATTTAGAATGCAGTTAATTTCACTGTCCCGTTGAGGTCAGAAAAGCAAATCGTCATAATGGCACAATATTTCGACATTTATTTGGAACTTTCTATTTTCAATGTGAGAAAAATTAATGTACATTTTGAAGATTTATATTATCTAATTCTAAACATATATTTTGTTTCAAGCAAGAAAAAAAGAAACATTTTAGTGTATACTTCCCCATAAATATTTAGCAGAAACAAATTGTACATCTTTTTATAAAACACAACTCCACTTTAGAGACAGTTGTGGTGGGTAGCTGGTGGCCACTAGGGCTGTGCAAATATTACCGGTAAACCGGTAATAATAATTACATACTGCATTGAAGTGCATTCTGTTGAAGCAAACAACACTGACCATGAAAATCATTTCATCAATTCATCGGTCCAATTTTGAGCAAAACGGATTGTCGGCACGTCTGCATGTGCTTTGCATACACCTGGCTGTTCCTCTCTCTGTACTCCTCCCTCGTAACAAATAGTGAACTGTGTGAAAATTTTAATGATAGTTTGTTAAACAACTTTTTTACTTTTGGGACATAAATTCTGTAAAAAAAATCACAGAGTTGGTCTGAAGTTTTGATTATGATCAGCGTTTCATTGAGTAATATATGTTGATTAGTTTTCGAGTTAGATTGCAATTCATCGGTTTGCTTTTGAGCCAGACGGAGTATAGTTCACTATATGTTACGAGGGAGGAGTGCAGAGAAAGGGACAGCCAGGTGTGCGAGAAAGGATGGAGATGGCACAGCACAGGTTGAGATGAATCAATAACTTTGTCGGCACTTGTGCACGTGCTTCTCTAACACCTGCCTGTCCCGTTCTCTGCACTCCTCCCTCGTAACAAATAGTGAACTGTGTCAATATTTTAATGATAGTTTGTTAAACAACTTTTTTAATGTTAGGACATAAATTCTGCAAACAAATCAGAGAGTTGGTCTGATGTTTTGATTATGATCAGCGTTTCATTGAGTATTATATGTTTATTAGTTTTCGAGTTAGATTGTAATTCATCGGTCCGCTTTTGAGCCAAACACACTATATTATAAGTTTCGGATATAGTAGCGTGCAAGTATCAATGGACAAAATACTGTGACTATGTGTCCCAGTTCACCCAGCTGCAAATGGGTATTTTGTGAGGATGAGGCTGTGTCATAACTCGCTGTGCCTAACAGGCTGCATGAGTTGAATGCTCCCTAGGGAGTTCAGTTGGTTAAAAGAATGCTAGAAAAAAAAGACATCCGTTTATCAAGGGAATACTCAAGCACCTTGAGCATGTACTAGTTACGTGGATATGTGCGCTATAAAACTATCCTATCATCATCATCATTATCATCATTATCATCTGTTATTCACCACATATGGCAGCCTACTCCCAGCTGATGATATATGTGAGGGTGGACCTGTGAGTTCATGTAGTGATTCTCTGGTGACTGTGACATGTTACTGTAGCACGGCAACACGCCTCTTCATGTGACGGCGCTGCAGAATGAATGCTGCCATGTTGCTGACCTGATGGCTGCTGGCGCCGACCCAACTGTGAGAAACAAGGTGAGCTGGATGTGACAGCCTAACCATAAGTGTCGGTCGTGCAAATATGTTGTAAAGATGTGACACTGAACAAATCTAGACTTGCAAGAGTAGTGTATAGTTACTTGTACATTTCATTTATTTTTGTATGAGATACTAGTTGACTTAATAATATGCTGGATTAACATAAGTACAGTAATTGGTGATGTCTTTTGACAGGAAGGAAAGACGGCCTCAGAACTTAAGACTAAAAACAAATACTGGCAGTCAATATACAACAAGTACCAGGTAATATGCTCTTCTTAGTTTTCATACAATAATTATGCTTAGTGTGGAAGTATTGTATTTGAATGCTCTGATACAATTACAGTGGTATTCCTACTGTTGCCATGGATACTTCGATAGTGATATCTCAACAGTTGCCATGGATATGATCTCATAGTAATCTCCCTAAAGTTGCCATGGATACTGTGATAGTAATATCACTAAAGGTACTGTGCATATTGTGATAGTAATCTCCCTACTGTTGCCATGGATGTTATAATTTCACAACAGTTGCCATGGATACTGTAATAGTAGTATGTCTGTTGTGGCTCCAGCCAGGGATATTTCAGGCGGTGTCTGACCACAATGTGGAGCGGGTGTTGGAGCTGTTGCACTGCTGGAGCATGGTGGACTCAGTCAGGGTGTGTATAGCACGTCAGGGGAGGATCCAGAGGGGGATAGCGGGGGGTAACCCAAATCCTGGATCCGTCCCTGCACCTTGTATCACATGGTATAACATTCATGTATATCACCTTGTATCACATTCACCTGGTATAACATTCATGTATAACACCGTGTATCACATTCACCTTGTATAACATCCATGTATATCACCTTGTATTACATTCACCAGGTATAACATTCATGTATATCACCTTGTATCACATTCACCTGGTATAACATTCATGTATATCACCTTGTATCACATTCACCTGGTATAACATTCATGTATATCACCTTGTATTACATTCACCTTGTATAACATTCATGTATAACACCTTGTATCACATTCACCTTGTATAACATTCATGTATAACACCTTGTATCACATTCACCTTGTATAACATTCATGTATAACACCTTGTATCACATTCACCTGGTATAACATTCATGTATATCACCTTGTATCACATTCACCTTCTATAACATTCATGTATATATAACACCTTGTATCACATTCACCAGGTATAACATTCATGTATAACACCTTGTATCACATTCACCTGGTATAACATTCATGTATATCACCTTGTATTACATTCACCTGGTATAACATTCATGCATATCACCTTGTATTACATTCACCTGGTATAACATTCAAATTTTTTCTTATCCTGACTCATGCTTATTTGCTTGTCTTCTTCTTCTGGCGAACCTAGTGGAACACGTATATCTCCCAATTGAAGTTCCCTTCAATAAAAGAAATCACTCATTAGTACTCACCACGAGTTACCTCCCTTTCCCCAAGCTCGGGAACGAGGGCGCCACCCAAGCCCATGTGCTTCACTCTCTCCTTCTTCGCCCAGTGAGCTGGACCTGAGAGCACCTGTGTCTCCCAACACACTATATCCTTAATTATATTTAGTTAAGTTCCTCTTATACGTTAGTATAGAGGTAGTACTAGTATAATTATTCAATTTGCATTGATTATTAATTGTGCTTCTGCTGTTTTATTCACGATTTGTCGTGTTTGTTCAGTAGGCTACATTAATGAAAATTTGCACAGAATGTAAACTACGTTATTCTGATACCGATCCACATTTAAAATGCCCTAGTTGCATTACTCCATGTTCCTTTGATTCTCGTTGTAAATTTTGTATCAATTTACCTATCTCTGCCTTTGACAAATATTTATGTTCCGTTTACAGACGGAAGGCAGATAAATCACGTAAACAGAATTCAAACATGGCTAATAGATCGCATATTAATGTTTCATGTCAACTGTTGACTGAGGACACGCCACCGGCTGGTGGCATGCCTGAGTTTCCCTCGGCGGATAAGCGTGGGACGCAGTCCGCTATGTCCAAGAAGCGACCTGCATCTCAAGAGCTGCCGTCTTCTCAGTCCAAGTCGAGGAAACCATCCATATCATCTCGTACTTTGCGTACACCAAGATCTACACCTTCATCTAAAGGGAAGTCAACAAAATCTAATAATTTTGCCTCTGATATCTTACCAGTTACAGAATTAGCATTATATGATGATGATATGCCTATTATCATTCCAGAAGTTCGTCACAAGAAACGGCCCGTTTCTGCGACTGTCACCTCAGCGCAGATGAACACACAACAGGAGATGCCAACTCTATCACCAGAAATTTTATCTGAGGGTCCCGTCACCTCTGCAGAGAGACATCCCTCTTCAACGCAGACCGCTTCAGACGACTTGATCAACCAGATAATGAGGGTGATGGAAGACCGCTACGGCTTACAGAGGCCTCAGAGCCACGGGCCTCAGAGCCCACCCCATATCAAGTCATACAGGGCCTCAGAGCCCGCCTTGGCTTCGCGTAGGGCCTCTGAGCCCATAGACGCGCCTCCGCGAAGGGCAACCCTGCCCGGAGTGAGCTCTTTGCATAAGGTATCCCAGGCCGCCTCCGCGAAGGAGCTAGAGCCGCACCTATTGCAAGAGGCTTCGTGGAGAAGGAGCGCTTTGCCGAGCACGCACCTTGTCATGCACGAAGGGCGCCCACGAAGCAAGCTCATATGTCGGATCGGACACTGAATCCATACATTCGCGTAGGGCCGCCGGCTAAGTGGTTCTACATCGCCTAGAAGACGCTCAGTAGCCCTCAACGCTCGAGAAGTCCACAGCGTCTCGCCTCAAGGCCATCACCGCTCACGATCACAGTCTCCGGGAAGGATGTCTTCTCCAAGGTCTACATACACTAGCCACTCTTCAGTCCATTCTCCTCAGTCCTCACATAGATCTTCTTACAGATCTAGGACTCCGACATACAACCATCCATCAGAGGAGGATGATGGTATTGTTTTCTCAGAAGCTGAGATAAGATATTGGATGGTAAACGAATTACAACTGGCCTCTCCTCTAAGAACGAGGATACAGCCCAAACTTACCTCATGAAAGATGATGATGTAGATCATATCACCGTGCCTCCTATGGATCCTATCGCAGCCGTTCCTGCTAATCTGGATACTACTTACGCCAAATCTACTAAAAACCTACCTACCCATTTACCATTCTTCAATGCCAAGAATTTTTATGGACATAATATGGAGCCCTTTTTCAAGACTCAGGAGATTGATGAGAACTTTCAACTTATCAGTGATTCCAAGTCCAGAACTTATAGGATTGATGATCGCAAGATGGCCCAGTTAGATACCATTTCCAGGAGGATGTTTTTCGACTTAATAGGTCTAGGACTATTAACGAAACTCTCATCACCAAGTTCAAGAACTCTACGGATGAGGAGAGTAGGATGATTTACTCAGCACTACTTATGCAGAAAAAAGATCAACAATTCCTTACAGACCATCTTTCAGCTCTTACTGAAATCACTACCATGACACGTCGGCAAGGGTTACTAGCCTCCTGCTCTTGGAATAAACAATTCACAGAGCCTCTGTACACAGCTCCATGGTCTTCACCGTTACTGTTTGGTGGCAACATTAACACGGTTTCCAAGGAAGTATCTAAAGATTCTAGAGAAGTTCTCATGATTAAATCTATGGATACGTTAGCCAACGCCTTTAAACAATCAGCACAGAGGTACTCGGGTAAGTCTAAGTTTTCAGGGCTACAGAGGGCCCGGGATAAGAAATTAGCGGCCGTTTATAATCCCAAGAATTCTTTTCGTCGCCCATACAACAAGTTCAGAGGAGGATCAGCTAGAGGCAGATCATCCAGAGGTGCCCGTGGATTTAAACGATGAAAGTCAGGTTCGGAACGACTGGAGTCTTCCACCCCCAGTCGTCCCAGTACAACCTTCTCAAGTTGGTGGACGTCTGCAACTACACTGGGAAAACTGGGGAATACTTCAAGATCCGTGATGTATCCAACATCCTTCAGTACGGATATCGCCTACAACTCAAGGCCAAGCCACCGTTAACAGTCGACCCACCAGGGTTCAACGTTCAGCTGGCACTACTACCGATGTTAAGAGAAACAGTTCAGTCTCTACTAAACAAACAGGCCTTAGAAGTTCTCGAGCAGCAAAACATCACACCAGGCTTCTACTCCCCAGTTTTCCTAGTGCCGAAAAAGAATTCCAAAGAGAAGTATCGCCTCATTTACAACATGAGCACCTTCAACAGAGATTTTCTATGCAAACCACCAACGTTTCGCATGATACATTTACCTCAACTCCGTCAGCTAATTCGTCCACTAGATTACATGGTAAGTATAGATCTGCAGGATGCATACCTACACATTCCGATTCATCCCAGGTCAAGGAAATATCTGAGGTTTATGCTAGACGGCATACACTACCAATGGAAAGTACTTCCCTTCGGAATCACTTCGGCCCCTTGGGTATTCACAAGAGTAACCAAGCCTATTGTCTCATACCTACATCGCCAAGGCCATGGGAGTGCATTTTACCTAGACGACGGTATACAGGTGGATCCAGATCCACAGCGTCTCAGACTACAGCTGGAATTTACAATCAAGCTACTAACGCAGTTAGGCTGGTTAGTAAATCTACTCAAGTCGGACCTAGAGCCCACGCAGGATCTGCAGTTTCTAGGTATACGATTCCTTACAGCCCAGAATCGTTTGGTAGTCCCGGAGGACAGATGGATCAAAATACAACAACTGATTCCCCAAGCCCTACTCTCTCCGTTACCACTATGACAGTGGCAGAGTCTACTGGGACTACTCACATCAGCTCAAGACTTGACACTCAGAGGCAGGCTTCAATTGCGTCCATTACAAGTCCTCATCATTGCTCATCTCGAGGACCCTCTACCATTCAGTCTACCAGATTATGTCAAACCACATCTACTCTGGTGGACCAAGAGATTGAATGTTCATGAGGGCGCCTCCTTAGTAGAGCCGAATCGGATATACACCTCTACGTGGACGCTGTCACTAATAGGCTGGGGAGCCCATCTTACCGGGCAGGACAGCCGTCAGGCCTATGGAGCATTCAAGAGAGCTTATGTCACATAAATCTGCTAGAGATGCAAGCAGTCATAAACGCCATAAGTCACTGGAGCAACCTGTTACAGAACGCCCAGTTAATGATTCACACAGACAACTCAACAGTGGCGTTTTATGTGAACAAACAAGGGTCAACAAGATCACTGAATCTACTCACCCGATGTTTCAGACTGTTCGAATTAGTCGACAGTCTAAACATTCATATCAAAGCCTGCCACATTCCAGGAGCAAAAAGTGTGTTAGCAGACGCTCTCTCTCGGCCGCATAAGCCGTCGCCGACAGAATGGATGCTCCACACAGAGATATTCAATCAGATAATCATGGAAATAGGATCTCCTCTCATAGACCTATTTGCCACCCGATTCAACAATCAACTGACAACTTTCTTATCGCCAGTGCCAGATCCACTAGCTTGGGCAACGGACGCACTAAGCATATCGTGGGAGGGACTAAACATGTACACTTTCCCGCCTCCTGCGTTGATCCCACATTTCTTGCTAAAAATCAGTCAAACGAAGAGCCTCGATCTGATTTTGGTCTCGCCTTACTGGCTAGCGAGAACGTGGTTTCCAGACCTCATACTAGGAATCGAAAACCACTACTTCAGCTCCCACTGCGCTCCAATCTACTGATACATCCGCGACACCAAACAAGTGCACAAAACACCAGAAGCATACCAACTTCACGTGTGGGACTGTATCAAAGCATGTTTGAATAAGAGAGGTTATTCCACCAGAGCGCGCTAAGGCGGTCACGCTTTTGCACTACGTAACTCTACTCGTGAACTTGTACGCGATGACAAGTGGCGCAGTTTTGTCAATTATGCTGCTAAGAAAGGATTTTCAGCCAGATTTGCTACACATCCTCAAGTGGCAGAATTCTTGTGTTTCCTACGCCAAACTAAGAATCTGAAAGGATCTACACTATCCACTTATCTTGCAGCCATAAGTTCAGTCATTACTATGAGGACGGGCGTCAAGTTGACTAAAACACCAGAGTTACTCGCCTTATTACGTGCCTTTCGATTGGAAGACCAGAAACGGAAGTTTCAAGCCCAGCCTGGGATCTGAATGTTGTACTTCAACACCTCACAAGTGAGGCTTACGAGCCATTGTTATCTCAAGGCCATTTGAATCATTGACCCACAAAACCTTATTCCTGCTAGCGTTAGCCACTGCAGCCAGGATGTCTGAAATTCACGCTTTGGATTACGAGAGAACACGGTTTGATGATATTCATAACATCGCTCATCTGGGACTTCGATGGGATTTTATTGCGAAAAATCAACTACCAGGTCAACCAGACAGGTTGTTCCATGTCCCAGCTCTCTCATCCATTCTTGGACCACATGATACGATGGACTTATCACTTTGCCCAGTACGTGCACTGAAAATATATCTCCAAAGATCCAAGCAAAGTAGAGGGAAATTCAAAAGATTGTTTATCCCTATATCTACCGCTTCACAGACAGAAGTGTCACAAGACTACTATTTCTATCTGATCCTAACTGTCATACTAAGAGCCTACAAGGCAGCTGGACTGGACCCTCCAAGTGCTACTAATCCCCACGAAATTAGAGCACTAGCTTCTACTTTAGCTTTACATGGAAATTGTTCATTAAATACCATTATGGAGGGATGTTTTTGGAGATCCGATATGGTGTTTGCCATCCATTATCTGAGAGATATCACCACCAAGGACGTCTCAGGTATCCACCATTTCGGTCCCATGGTCCTCGCTCAACAGTTGACAGTTCCACGGAGAAGATAAGTCTATCTTGATGATTTTATACTTATCTGATAACAGTACTAATAGCTACATGCTATCTATATATATTTGCTTAAGTTACAATTTTATCTTAAGCTCAGTACTATGATTTTATATCATTATACACATATAACTACAACTCTTACGAGTTCTACTATTATATATATGTTCAGCTTAAGGTCTATCTTTAAGCTCAGTCATATGTTCATTTCATAACATGTATTAGTTAACAAACTCTCAGTAGTTGGTTACTATTATACAGCTTAAGTTATCTTTATACCTTAAGCACAATTATGTTATAGCTTATATATATATACATATTGTAAGCTTATTACTTTGGTTCTTATAAAAGTATACTTATAAACTATCTACAGTTTATACTTCACATTAATAGCTTTAGCTTTAATTAATGTTCTATATACTTTTATTATATTCAGTAAATTGTAATAACCTTCTTAAGAGGCAGCTGTTAATATACAGCAGGAATTCAGTTCAGTGCCTTCATGAAGTTCCCATAGGGTTATTACAATTATCTCAGTTCAAATCACTAATTAGTAAAATCCAAAGTATATATAATCCCACCACCTATCCGTAGGATTCTACAAGCAAATAAGCATGAGTCAGGATAAGAAAAAAAAAGAAATTTTTAGAGTAAAATTAATATTTTTATACTTATCCTGACTCATGAGGTAAGCCCTCCCGTCCTCCCCACTTAGCACTTTGGATTTCTCGAGAAAAATAAAGTGTTGGGCTCAAAACAAAAAAGGAGAGAGTGGAGCACATGGGCTTGGGTGGCGCCCTCATTCCCACGCTTGGGGAAAGGGAGGTAACTCGTGGTGAGTACTAATGAGTGATTTCTTTTATTGAAGGGAACTTCAATTGGGAGATATAAGTGTTCCACTAGGTTCGCCAGAAGAAGAAGACAAGCAAATAAGCATGAGTCAGGATAAGTATAAAAATATTAATTTTACTCTAAAAATTTCATGTTTATCACCTTGTATCACATTCACCTGGTATAACATTCATGTTTATCACCTTGTATCACATTCACCTGGTATAACATTCATGTATATCACCTTGTATCACATTCACCTGGTATAACATTCATGTATATCACCTTGTATTACATTCACCTTGTATAACATTCATGTATAACACCTTGTATCACATTCACCTTGTATAACATTCATGTTTATCACCTTGTATCACATTCACCTTGTATAACATTCATGTATATCACCTTGTATTACATTCACCTGGTATAACATTCATGTATATCACCTTGTATCATATTCACCTGGTATAACATTCATGTATAACACCTTGAATCACATTCATGTATAACACCTTGTATCACATTCACCTTGTATCACATTCATGTATATCACCTTGTATTACATTCACCTGGTATAACATTCATGTATATCACCTTGTATCACATTCATGTATAACACCTTGTATCACATTCACCTGGTATAACATTCATGTATATCACCTTGTATTACATTCACCTTGTATAACATTCATGTATATCACCTTGTATCACATTCATGTATATCACCTTGTATCACATTCACCTGGTATAACATTCATGTATATCACCTTGTATTACATTCACCTGGTATAACATTCATGTGTATCACCTTGTATCACATTCATGTATATCACCTTGTATCACATTCACCTGGTATAACATTCATGTATATCACCTTGTATTACATTCACCTTGTATAACATTCATGTATATCACCTTGTATTACATTCACCTGGTATATCATTCATGTATATCACCTTGTATCACATTCATGTATAACACCTTGTATCACATTCATGTATAACACCTTGTATCACATTCACCTTGTATAACATTCATGTATATCACCTTGTATTACATTCACCTGGTATAACATTCATGTATATCACCTTGTATCACATTCATGTATAGCACCTTGTATCACTTTCATGTATAACACCTTGTATCACTTTCACCTTGTATCACATTCATGTATAACACCTTGTATCACTTTCATGTATAACACCTTGTATCACTTTCACCTTGTTTAACATTCATGTACATCAACTTGTATCACATTCGCCTCGTATCACCTAGTATAACATTCATGTACATCAACTTGTATCACATTCGCCTCGTATCACCTAGTATAACATTCATGTACATCAACTTGTATCACATTCGCTTCGTATCACCTAGTATAACATTCATGTACATCAACTTGTATCACATTCACCTAGTATCACCTAGTATAACATTCATGTATATCAATGTCAGTTGAGATATGTATTTGCTTGTTGTATACGATGCTGTATTCCCCAGAATGGCCAGACATTGCGCCAGTTTGCTGCAGCCCTCAAGTTCCATGACATTGTCTTCCTACTGGATGACCACAAACCCACCTTGGTGAGTACAAACAGCTTTGTTCTACATGTCACTGTACTTGACCATCTGCATTGAACCAGTAGTAAAAAGTAGTTTAAGATAAGTTGTAACATTCTACATGTTTTTCTCACACTTTAGTGACTGATAACATCCATTGTAGGATGCAGTTTATGGTGTCCTGGAGGTCAACAAGGTCAAGGTGAAGGCTGCACTGAAGAAGTCAAAATGCAACATCAATTACCTCAATCATGTGAGTGACAAGTTTACTGAGACAAAGTGATGTTGAACCAGTCTGTCCCAAGGTCCCTGCTCCAAGGTCAAGGTCCCCGTTCAAAGGTCCCCTTTCTAAGGTCCCTGCTCCAAGGTCTCTGCTCCAAGGTCAAGGTCCCCGTTCAAAGGTCCCCTTTCTAAGGTCCCTGCTCCAAGGTCCCTGCTCCAAAGTCCCTGTTCTCATGTCCCTGCTCCAAGGTCCCTGTTCTAAGGTCCCTGTTGTAAGGTCCCTGCTCCAAGGTCCCTGTTCTAAGGTCCCTGCTCCAAGGTCCCTGTTCCAAGGTCCCTGCTCCAAGGTCCCTGCTCCAAGGTGCCTGCTCCAAGGTCCCTGTTCTAAGGTCCCTGTTCTAAGGTCCCTGTTCTAAGGTCCCTGCTCCAAGGTCTCTGCTCCAAGGTCCCTGCTCCAAGGTCCCTGTTCTAAGGTCCCTGTTCTAAGGTCCCTGCTCCAAGGTCTCTGCTCCAAGGTCCCTGCTCCAAGGTCCCTGTTCCAAGGTCCCTGCTCCAAGGTCCCTGTTCCAAGGTCCCTGCTCCAAGGTCCCTGTTCCAAGGTCCCTGCTCCAAGGTCCCTGTTCTAAGGTCCCTGTTTCAAGGTCCCTGTTCCAAGGTCCCTGTTCTAAGGTCCCTGCTCCAAGGTCCCTGCTCCAAGGTCCCTGTTCCAAGGTCCCTGCTCCAAGATCCCTGTTCTAAGGTCCCTGTTTCAAGGTGCCTGCTCCAAGGTGCCTGCTCCAAGGTCCCTGCTCCAAGGTCCCTGCTCCAAGGTCCCTGTTCCAAGGTCTCTGTCGGAGCATGAAGGACATCATCATAATCACGCATACCCGTGTGTCCCACACTATATATTGCACCATACTTGCTAGGGAAGCCCATTGCAAAGCATCTTATGAGTGAGTGAGTGAGTTTAGTTTTACGCCGTACTCAGTAATATTCCATCTATATGGCGGCGGTCTGTAAATAATCGAGTCTGGACCAGACAATCCAGTGATCAACAGCATGAGCATCGATCTGCGCATTTGGGAACGGATGACATGTGTCAACCAAGTCAGCGAGCCTGACCACCCGACCCCGTTAGTCGCTCTTACGACAAGCATAGTCACCTTTTTTGGCAAGCATGGGTTGCTGAAGACCTATTCTACAAGACTGTCTGTAAGCATGTTGTTCTGGTTTCAGGCATCTACACGGCAGCATATCCTGCAGTACGCAATTAGTCTCCGGGACATTGACCTTGTGACCCTAATCTGCAACGCTGGTGCCGATGTCAACTTACCGGTTCTCGTCAACAGCTACTACTGGGTATGTTAACAACACTGTGTGCTACTGGTATGTTAACAACACAGTCAACAAAATGGTCTACTACTGTGTATGTTAACAAGATGGTCTACTACTGGGTATGTTAACAAGATGGTCTACTACTGGGTATGTTAACAAGATGGTCTACTACTGGGTATGTTAACAAGATGGTCTACTACTGGGTATGTTAACAGGATGGTCTACTACTGGGTATGTTAACAACACAGTCTACTACTGTGTATGTTAACAGGATGGTCTACTACTGGGTATGTTAACAAGATGGTCTACTACTGGGTATGTTAACAGGATGGTCTACTACTGGGTATGTTAACAACACTGTGTGCTACTGGTATGTTAACAACACAGTCAACAAAATGGTCTACTACTGTGTATGTTAACAAGATGGTCTACTACTGGGTATGTTAACAGGATGGTCTACTACTGGGTATGTTAACAACACTGTGTGCTACTAGGTATGTTAACAACACAGTCAACAAAATGGTCTACTACTGTGTATGTTAACAAGATGGTCTACTACTGGGTATGTTAACAAGATGGTCTACTACTGGGTATGTTAACAGGATGGTCTACTACTGGGTATGTTAACAACACAGTCTACTACTGTGTATGTTAACAGGATGGTCTACTACTAGGTATGTTAACAAGATGGTCTACTACTGGGTATGTTAACAAGATGGTCTACTACTGTGTATGTTAACAGGATGGTCTACTACTGGGTATGTTAACAACACTGTGTGCTACTAGGTATGTTAACAACACAGTCAACAAAATGGTCTACTACTGTGTATGTTAACAGGATGGTCTACTACTGGGTATGTTAACAAGATGGTCTACTACTGGGTATGTTAACAAGATGGTCTACTACTGGGTATGTTAACAAGATGGTCTACTACTGGGTATGTTAACAACACTGTGTGCTACTGGTATGTTAACAACACAGTCAACAAAATGGTCTACTATGTGTATGTTAACAAGATGGTCTACTACTGGGTATGTTAACAAGATGGTCTACTACTGGGTATGTTAACAGGATGGTCTACTACTGGGTATGTTAACAACACAGTGTACTACTGGGTATGTTAACAGGATGGTCTACTACTGGGTATGTTAACAGGATGGTCTACTACTGGGTATGTTAACAACACAGTGTACTACTGGGTATGTTAACAACACAGTCAACAAAATGGTCTACTACTAGGTATGTTAACAAGATGGTCTACTACTAGGTATGTTAACAACACTGTCTACTACTGGGTATGTTAACAAGATGGTCTACTACTAGGTATGTTAACAACACTGGCTACTACTAGGTATGTTAACAAAATGGTCTACTACTAGGTATGTTAACAAGATGGTCTACTACTAGGTATGTTGACAACACTGTCTACTACTAGGTATGTTAATAAGATGGTCTATTACTGGGTATGTTAACAAGATGGTCTACTACTGGATATGTTAACAAGATGGTCTACTACTGGATATGTCAAAACTGTCTGCTACTGGGTATATCAACAGTGTTTACTGGATGTGTTAACAAGACTGTCTGCTGCTATGTATGTTAGCAATGCCCTCTGATACAGGAAATGTTAGCAATGCTGACTACCACTAGATGTGTTACTTGCACCAAAATCTACAGCAGGAAGTGTCAGTAAACTCCCACATTCAAACTAGGAACAACTGGAGAGGATGGTAAATTTACCGATGACTGTGAAAGTACACTAGCAAAACTAATTTGATAGTAGATGATGACAATTATGATGATGATGATGATGATGGTGAACATCACACAGGGTCCCCTGTACTTTGAGGCCATCAACAGTGATCTGCCCGCAGAGATTATATGGAAGGTGTTGAAGAACCAGCCAAACTTCAGCCTTAAGGATGAGGTACTTTATAGAAATCTTTTTATCCTAAAATAGCAATAATACTATCCTTGAAACTCCAGTTTAAAAGGAGCTAACTAACGCGTACATCAGCAGTTTCATCATTTTCAAGCAGAAATTGTTAGACATGACAGAAAGACAATAATTTTTCCTTATCCTGACTCATATATTGTGCTTATCTCCTTCTATGCGAATGGTAGTGGAACACTTGAATCCCTTGTAGTTCCCTTCGAAGAGGACGTTAAAGTACACTCACCCACGAGTTGCCTCCCTTGCATACTTTCCCGCTAACAGTCACATGACCAGCCATGCTTGTCACTCTCTCCTTCGTCGCCCTTGTGGATGGTTTGGAGTGCACAGGAGTCCCTTTAAGGCACTATATCCTTGTTATTTCGATCCCTTTACCCTTTACGATTTTTGGGTCGTAAATACTTTGATTGTATATAGGAATTTCGTATTTTGTGATGTTTTTCATCTTTTGTACTTTGTTTACAATTCATAAAAGCTTGCTCTCTTTGTAGGTACCGGCTATCTGCAGCTGATCCGCACACCCCCTATGTCCTTCTTGTACTAATCAATGTTCTTCCAGCATTTGCTGCAATCATTGTGTTAATTTGTCAATTTCTCAATTTAATGATTATTTGTTTTCCGTCCATAGACGTACTAGGGACAGGGTGCGGAGGTTTTCACAAGTCATGGCTGATAACTCTAGAGATAGCATCAATAACCTAGGGTTGCTAACTACTGCTGAAATTTATGTTTCTAGTGAATTGCCGAATTCGTCATGGGGAAGAAATCGTCAGCATCTAGATCCTTGTCAAGGCTGTCTCACTCCAGTAAGACTACCACTCAGAGGTCCTTTATTAAAGACATCGTGCCTCCGGCCGAAGTAGACGTATTCGATGATCCACCGATTTTGCTGCCTGAAGTTACAGTCACCAGTAAAGCATCACAGCGTCACAGCGTCCATCTTCGGCGAGATCAACATCTACAGCAACCTTATCAGGGCAACCGCTTGAAAACCTCCCGTCGGCTACGCAGACATCAGGTACCAGAGACTGCAGCAGTGTATCCTTGTCACAGTTGCAATGCAGATTAGAGGAAGGCTCGGCGTTCTCAAATGCTTCACCGTCTCCACAACAGTTCCAGCCTATAGTGCAGAATGTTGACCCTGGGGCATTCATGAAGCAGATGATGTCTATGATGGAACGACGGTTTGCAGAAGAAAGAGCTGCACAGCAAAAGTCTACAATGACAGCTGCCATTCGTGAACCTGTTCCTGAGGACTTGACAGCTACAGTTCACCATCTTACAGATGAAGTGAGCATTCACGAACGTCAGCATTCAAGAAGGTCCTCACAGACAGAAGACAGTTCATGAAGAGGCATCCACGCATCCTCAGCATTCCAGAATGTCAAGCAGGAAGGAATCCTCATCTAGCCGTTCCGCTCTGGAATCTGGCAGCTCGTACAGATACAGATCAATGTCACCTACTGACAGAGAGCAGCATTCACGAAGGGAGCATTCGCAAAGGGAGCATTTGCAAATGGAGGATTCACGGATGGGGCATTCACGAATGCATTCGCAATAGGAGGATACACGAAGGCACAATTCATTGGAATTAGAAAGAACCCTTACAGATGAAGAGGGTGACCTGGTCTTCTCTGATGGCGAGGTTACGTCGTGGATCGCGAACGGATTGGACTTAGCATCGCCATCCAAGGAGTCGAATGAAGCACTCATGTATAAAATGACAGATGAAGACTCTCTCACTTTCCCGCCTATTGATCCGATTTCTAGAGTGCTTGCAAGCCTCAGCACAGCCTTCGACAAAGCTGCTAAATACCAGAATCAACATATACCAATATTTAATGTGAGAAGATTCCCTTTGCATCACATGGAGCCCTTTTTGAGAGTGCCGGACTTGGACAAAGGTTACAAGTTTATCAACAGGTCTCGTAACAAGTCCTACAAGGTGGATGATAAAAAGATTGCTCAGTTGGATACTACAACCAGAAGAACGTTTTTTGGCTTAGCAAGATCAAGAGCAATCAACGAAGCGCTGATTTCAAAGTTCAGGAACCCCAGTACAGAGGAAGATAGGATGATCCTCTCAGCGTTTCTTACACAGAAGAAGGATCAGCATTTTATCTCAGAACACCTGGCTTCAACATCGGCGGGTCTGACCCTTTTGCGGAGACAAGGTCTGCTATCGTCATGCACTTGGAGTGACAGATTCATCAAACCGTTGCTTAGAGCTCCATGGTCGGCGCCTACTATATTCGGGGGTGGAATTGAGGAAGTCGCAAGGGAAGTCGCGCATGATTCTAGGGAGGTGATGATGATTAAGTCCATTGATACGTTGGTCAACGTCATCCGACAGACTTCACAGAGATACAGTAACAAGTCAAAGTTCGCGGGTGTACAGAAAGCAAGGGAAGAAAGACTCCAGTTCCAGAGGTGGGAAAAACTCTTTTTGCCATCCATACTGGAACAACAGATATACCTCAGGGAGAGGACGCGCCCCCAGAGGCTCAGAAACTCAAGACGTTGAAGATGGGGTTTGGAACGACTGGACTATTCCACCCCCAGCCGTTCCAGTACAACTGTCGACAGTGGGTGGACGTCTACAAAGGTACTGGGAAAATGGCTGAATTCTGGAGGATGACTACGTCTCACAAGTACTGCAAGAAGGTTACAGAGTACAGTTGAAGGCCACTCCACCGTTGACCTGCAACCCACTAATCTTCAACAACGCAGACAATCAAATAGAGAAGTTAGACGTAGCCATCAACTCCCTGTTAGACAAGAACGCCGTAGAAGCGATAGAACAAGATCATTTAACACCCGGCTTTTACTCACCAATTTTCCTAGTACCCAAAAAGAACACCAAGGAAAAGTTCAGACTGATATACAAGATGAAAAGGTTCAACCAAGACTATCTACTCAAACCCTAGAGGTTCAAGATGATCCACCTACCTCAACTCTCGTCCGTCCAGCAGACTCTCTGGCCAGCATAGACCTTCAGGATGCATATCTACACATCCCGATTCATCAGGATTCTCGAAAGTATCTGAGATTCCTGTTTTAAGGTCGACACTTCCAGTGGAGAGTCCTACCATTTGGCATATCCTCGGCCCCGTGGTTGTTCACACGAGTGACCAAGCCCATTGTCAGTTATCTACATCGTCGAGGTCTACGCAGTGCTTTCTACCTGGACAATAGGATACAAGCTCATCAAGTAGCCAGTCAACTCAAACTACAACTGGACTTCACCATCAGACTGCTCACACAGCTAGGATGGCTAGTGAACTTGATGAAATCAGAGTTGGAACCGAAACAAGATTTGCAGTTCCTGGGAATATGATTCATCACAAAGCAGAATCGTATTATGGTCCCAGAAGATCATTGGGTCAAGATACAAGCCATGATCCCAGAAGCAGTCATCTCTCCGTTACCACTATGAAGATGACAATGTCTCCATGGTCTGCTTACGTCAGTGCAAGATTTGACCCACAGAGGAAGACTACTGTTACGCCCACTACAGCGGTTCCTGACAACTCACCCGAACAGTACAGAGCGGATAACCCTACTAGACAGTCTAAAGACATACCTTTTATGGTGGACTCACAAGTCAAATGTCTGCGGAGAAACCTATTTAGAAGAGCAGGCCTGCAACACACACCTTTATGTGGATGCGTCACTACAAGATTGGGGAGCACATCTCAACAACAGTGTAGCAGCAGGGAAGTGGTCGAGGCAGGAACAACATCTTCACATCAATCAGTTGGAGATGAAAGCAGTGATCAACGCCTTACAGCACTGGTCGAGCTCACTGATCAACAGAATGCTAACAGTCCACACAGACAACTCAACAGTGGCATTCTACGTAAACAGACAAGGATCAACAAGATCTCCAAGCCTGTTACAGCTCACATTCCAAATGTTCAACATGGTAGACGACCTAAACATTTGGATAAAGGCGTGTCACATTCTAGGAGCCAAGAATGTATTGGCAGACGCTCTATCTCGTCCACTTCAACAATCTTCTACAGAATGGATGCTACACCCAGAGGCATTTCGGCTCATCATAAAGACAGTAGGATCTCCGCTCAAAGACCTGTTTGCCACAAGGTTCAACAAACAGATGCAGACATTCGTCTCACCAGTTTTTTTTTACCAGATCCGCAAGCATGGGCAACAGACGCCTTGAGCATGTCATGGGAAGGACTTAACGCATACGTGTTCCCGCCTCCGGTTCTTCTACCACAAGTGTTACGGAAAATCAAGCAGATGAGAGTTCTGCAATTGACTTTGGTCGCTCCCTACTGGCCAGCGAGAGTCTGGTTTCCCGATCTCATTCAAGATCTCGGAAGTCCAACCTTGAAAGTACCAGAGTGGCCAAACCTACTCATCCATCCGCACACCAAGCAAGATCACTGGAATTCGGTGATATTCCAGCTACACGTACGGATCGTATCAAGACTTGCTTAAAGAAAAGAGGATACTGCGCCAGAGCAGCAAAAGCAGTAACTTTAGCTCTACGCAGATCAACTCGCAACTTGTACGATGACAAGTGGCAGAGATTTGAACAGTATGCAAGGCGGAAAGGCTTTTCAGCTATGAAAACAACTCATCCTCAAGTGGCGTATTACTTGTGTCACCTTAAACAGACAAGACGATTGAAAGGTTCTACTCAATCTACATATCTGGCAGCAATCAGTACAATCGTCACTATGAAGACAGGCATCAAGCTGACGAAAGTGCCAGAACTCCTTGCTCTACTGCGCTCCTTTAAGCTGGAAGATCAGCAAAAGAAATTTAGGGCACCTGCTTGGGGTCTCAACGTAGTCCTACAACATCTCACGAGTAATGCCTACGAGCCACTGGAGCAAACGACCTTTAATTCATTAGGGCCGAGAGCCGCGTATATGGGGCAAATTAATCAGCTCCTCACAGCGAGTGACGTGTTTATGGGGCAGGTATAATTAGCAGTTTATCACAGCGAGAGCCACATATATCCGTCAACAGAAAGCACATCTTATTCAGCGAGAGACGCACATGTTTGTTGTACTTTTAAAAATCGCACTGTACCTATTATTTCAACCAATTTAGTACTACTGAGCCAATATTAGCTTTTCTTACGAGAGATGCTACCTTTCGTGTCAATCAGAAGAAGTATTTAAATTGTTTTGATAGCAATTGCTAATCATTATCATAGGCTTGTACAGCGTTTGGCTAATGAACACGTGTCGTCGAGAAAGGGGATTATGATGTCTTTACAGAGGTAAGTGTCTGGTACTCTTCATTGGGAATGGATACTAAAATACTTCGTATGCACATTGATTGAATTAGATGTAATGGTTTAGAGGTCACTGAAGATTATATTTTCTTCAACTTCCTAATAAATAGGAAACAATATACGAAATTTCAAGGACATACAAAGAATTCAAACGCAATAGAATAGTTTGAATTTACTTTTTAGGTATTATTACATTGTCATGTTTCATATATTGAAACATAATGTATAAACACAAATAATTATACATCCAAGCTCGAATAGAGTAGACATACCGGGGTAATACTTTCATATACATTTTACACACACAACTAGTACATAAAACATAATGATTTGCTGTACATGTAAATATAATCTTCACCTTGATACGAATGTACAAACTAAAGGACACGTATTACAGATTTCACGAAATGACACTATACTGAATTATTATAGTGTATAAACTTGCAGTTGACCCCCCAATATTTATGAAGGCGGGCGTGCCTATATTTATGCTGAATGCAAACGAGGTTCATAAGATTACAGATGTGCATGCATGCATAAACATTACAGAGAGGGGCATGACTCCCTAAAGCAGGTTGTCCAATGATTTAAACCAGGTGACAAGGTTTTAGTATATCTACCTATACCAAGTTCTTCATTAAAATCCAAGTTTTTTGGACCATACACAGTCAGAAGCAAGGTTAGTGAGACAGGTTATGTAATTAACACGCCAGACCGAGGTAGGAAGACTAGGTTCTGCCATGTAAACCTGTTGAAGGCATACCACGAGCGTCTGCATAAACATTACAGAGAGGGGCATGACTCCCTAAAGCAGGTTGTCCAATGATATAACAGCGCATCTGTTTATTTTACACTTGTCACGGGACAAACCTTTCAACAAGGACGAAACTACATATGCATTCTGCCGGAGGCTGTTATTTCAAGGCGAAAGAGGTGTTCAATTATCTCATTACTGTAATCTGATTGAATGATTATATGCATGTGTATCGATACCATAACTGATATACTATCCAGCTTTTATTGATGATGGATCATTGATACATGTGATAAAATTACACTGGATTTGATCATTACAGAGATCAAATACAAATGTTTTACACAATGCTCATGTAAATTGCATAGAAAACTGAAAATTAAAATCAACATGAAACTTTGAACAGCTTGAACAAAAATGCTTGAAATACCTTTCTATGGTTTACATGTAATAACATGATATTACTTCTGTCTATGTGTGAGAATTTTTTGAATTACCAACTTACTGTGTTTTATAACAAATGTAGTAAAAGATTTCATTGTTGTAATACATTGACATGTATATATATTCGATGCAAAGGCGTGACTTATCACTTTATATTCGATTAGGTAACATTATCAACTCTAGATTATGGAAAATAACTAGTTACAATTCAGTAAGCTTTAAGTTAGTAAGTTAAAAATACTATCTCTACTCAATGGTTGGATTTCACGCGCTTTGTTTTTACTTATCGAAAAACACTAAAATGAGGACAAATAAACTCGCCAAAGTGTCTATCTACTCCTAGTTGTCTTATGTGTATATTTCATACATCATTACCAGTGTGTATGTTTACAATACACAAACTGTTACATGATAGCTTGAGTTGATAAAGCCAAAACCCAGCATATCGACTGGTCAACGATACAGCCAATGATTAATCTCTATCCAAGCTGTTGAGTGACCAAACATACTCTTCGGAAATTTCACCCATGCCCCATCACCTATCCTTTCCTCTGTGACAGGTATCTCATGATACAATTGCTCACAGATAACATATGACCAGCCACTACATTGAACAGTTGAGATACCGAACGTTCTATTCGGGAAATTTGATGATGCCTTATCACGTGACTCTTTGTTTTATGTCTATGCAAGGAATATGTAGTATACATTCTTTTGTATGTATGTTTGTATGGTCACGTATGTTTTCTGCATTAAATCTAGATGAAACAAAGTGCCAAGCTATGAATGTGCTTTATGTTAGTCACAGACTAGCGTAATAGTACTTTCATTAAAATAATTTGTATGCACTCGGCAAAAACGCTATTTTCGTCGAAGATTAAAAACTATGTAAGTAAATCCTCTTTACAGTATGTCATTGTCATAGATGTTTTGTAAAATTAAACTTCACACAATGATATGAGAGAGAGAATTTGTTTATGTGTGTCTCATCTCTTTCATACAAAGAATACATGCATATGTTGATAAAATATAAACGTACAAGCCGCCAAAGGTCTATAAGAGAAACTTGCAATAAAATTACATAAAACTTTGCAATAACGATATGTATTCACATCTGCTTTCTTTCAACATATATCTTTACGAAACAATTAAACAATCAGGACTTCTTTGTACGACTAGATAGTTTCCTGTCATCGTGGAAACCTGCCAGGGAAATCAGGTGTGATTAGCACTGATTAGTCTCGGCACAGCGAGTGGGCAATCAGCGAGGGGTTCCAGGTGTTGAGTAGTGAGGTGGCTCTCGGGCTTAATGAGTTAAGCTACTCACACAGAAAACTCTGTTCCTACTCGCCTTAGCCACAGCAGCTAGGATGTCAGAAATACATGCACTGGACTTTGGACGAAATCGATCTGCAGGGACACCGTGCTGCAGTACATCTAGGACTTAGATGGGACTTTATTGCAAAGAATCAGTTACCTGGCCAACCAGACAGACAGTTCCACGTCCAAACGCTATCTACGATCCTCGGTCCGGAGGATACACAAGACTTATCCTTGTGTCCAGTCAGAGCTTTACAGATATACCTGCAAAGGAATAAAACAAGGAGAAGAAATTTCAAGTGCCTATTCATCCCCTTGTCTACAGAGACACCTACAGAAGTCTCAAGAACGACAATATCGTTCTGGATGAGAGCCGTTATACTAAGGGCCTACAAAGCAGCAGGACTAGAACCTCCACGAGCTTCCAACCCGCACGAAGTCAGAGCTTTGGCGTCTACACTTGCTTTGTACGGAAACTGCTCGATTACAGCGATATGGAGGGCTGCTTTTGGAAGTCAGATACAGTGTTTGCCAACCACTACCTCAGAGACATCGCCACTGAAGACGTTTCCGGTATTCACCAATTTGGGCCATTTGTTGTAGCACAACAACTAACGGTTCCACAAAGATGCTGAGATGAATTCTCACCCTTTTATCACGTGACTTGCTGATAACCTTCGCTCTGAAGAGTTTTGGTTGAGAGTCCAGGCGTATGTCTAGGACAGGCTAGCATGAGTGATCAAGACCCCGTACTTGTATAGAAGATACTCGTATGTCTAGGACAGGCTAGCATGAGTGATCAAGACCCTGTACTTGTATAGAAGATACTCGTGATCAAGACCCCGTACTTGTATAGAAGATACTCGTATGTCTAGGACAGGCTAGCATGAGTGATCAAGACCCTGTACTTGTATAGAAGAAACTCGTGATCAAGACCCTGTACTTGTATAGAAGATACTCGTAGGTGGAAAGGGTTGCAACTCTTATGATAAAGAAGATATCATAATCCATGAGTTGCTATAGATAACTAGTAAGAAGAGATACTAGTTTATCTAAAATCCACATGAATCTGATAGATTCACTTGTCTTAAAGAAGTCTGACAAGATGTGGTCCCCCCGAGTTGACAGATGAAAGTTGGAAGAATAGGATCGACAGAGTGCCTTTACATAGTTCCCATGGGGGGAGATACAGGACGTAGCTTAAGGACAGCTGATGAATCCATGAAGTGGCCTGACCCACCACCAATCCACTGGATTCTGGAAGCATAATTAGTCAGGATAAGGAAAAATATGTAATTTTTAAGTAAAATTGATATTTTATACTTATCCTGACTGACATGAGATCAAGCCCTCCCAACCTCCCCACTTATGGCACTTCGGATTTCATAGTACATCCAAGTGTCGGGCGCATTCAGGAGAGAGTGACAAGCATGGTTAGTCATGTGACTGTTATTGGCGGGAAAGTATGCAAGGGAGGCAACTCTTGGGTGAGTGTACTTTTACGTCCTGTTCGGGGGGAACTACAAGGGATTCAAGTGTTCCACTACCATTCGCATAGAAAAAGGAGATAAGCATAATAAGCATGAGTCAGGATAAGTATAAAATATCAATTTTACTTAGAAAATTACATCGTGGAACTTACACCAAGCTGTATTTTGTTTGATCTGTTGACCATAAGTTAGTGTTCTCCCACCCACAGCGAGGACGGAACTGTATGATGTTCTCTCTAGACAAGACCAATGGAGCCATGCCACTTGATGTCATTGCATACATGCTGAAACATGGAGCCTACATCGCAGAGAGGGATGAGGTGAGCTGTCTGTCTGAGGGGTGACTTGGTTGATTGGGTGGAGGTGAGGTGAGCTATCTGTCTGAGGGGTGACTTAGTAGATTGGGTGGAGGTGAGGTGAGCTGTCTGTCTGTGGGGTGACTTAGTAGATTGGGTGGAGGTGAGGTGAGCTGTCTGTCTGAGGGGTGACTTGGTTGATTGGGTGGAGGTGAGGTGAGCTATCTGTCTGAGGGGTGACTTAGTAGATTGGGTGGAGGTGAGGTGAGCTGTCTGTCTGTGGGGTGACTTAGTAGATTGGGTGGAGGTGAGGTGAGCTGTCTGTCTGAGGGGTGACTTGGTTGATTGGATGGAGGGTGAGGTGAGCTGTCTGTCTGAGGGGTGACTTGGTTGATTGGATGGAGGGTGAGGTGAGCTGACTGTCTGAGGGTTGACTTAGTAGATTGGGTGAAGGTGAGGTAAGCTGACTGTTTGAGGGGTGACTTAGTAGATTGGGTGGAGGGTGAGGTGGGCTGTCTGTCTGAGGGGTGACTTAGTAGATTGTGTGGAGGGTGAGGTGAGCTGACTGTCTGAGGGGTGACTTGGTAGATTGGTTGACGGGTGAGGTGAGCTGACTGTCTGAGGGGTGACTTGGTTGATTGGGTGGAGGGTGAGGTGAGCTGACTGTCTGAGGGGTGACTTAGTAGATTGGGTGGCGGGTGAGGTGAGCTGACTGTCTGAGGGGTGACTTGGTAGATTGGGTGGAGGTGAGGTGAGCTGTCTGTCTGAGTGTGTCTGTATATGTGCGTATACATTGTGTCAGGGATGAGACTGTGTCTGTATATGTGTGTATACATTGTGTCAGGGATGAGAGTGTGTCTGTATATGCGTGTATACATTGTGTCAGGGATGAGAGTGTGTCTGTATATGTGTGTATACATTGTGTCAGGGATGAGAGTGTGTCTGTATATGTGTGTATACATTGTGTCAGGGATGAGAGTGTGTATGTATATGCGTGTATACATTGTGTCAGGGATGAGAGTGTGTCTGTATATGTGTGTATACATTGTGTCAGGGATTAGAGTGTGTCTGTATATGTGTGTATACATTGTGTCAGGGATGAGAGTGTGTCTGTATATGCGTGTATACATTGTGTCAGGGATGAGAGTGTGTCTGTATATGTGTGTATACATTGTGTCAGGGATAAGAGTGTGTCTGTATATGCGTATGCATACAGTAGTGCGGGCTGTGTTTCATAGATATGTGGATGATTTATGTCAACTTATTGTATTATTTTTTCACAGACAGGGTCAACAGTGCGAGATGTGGCTCGGTTTGCTCGTCGTCGTGATGTGGTGAATCTGATAGACAAGGTGATTACATCAGATTAAGTTAAAGAACAACTAACTGATAGCAGAACTTAAATCTTTTGGGACCTGTGTACCTGGTGTGTCTGGCAATCAATTATAATTCTGGGCAGTACTCCATCAAATCCAGACTGTGTTGTGTGTAGCTGACTGTTGTACACTGTTGTTCTGAGTTTAATGTTGCGTGTAGCTGACTGTTGTTCTTAGTTTAATGTTGTGTGTAGCTGACTGTTGTTCTTAGTTTAATGTTGTGTGTAGCTGACTGTTGGTCTTAGTTTAGTGTTGTGTGTAGCTGACTGTTGTTCTTAGTTTAATGTTGTGTGTAGCTGACTGTTGTTCTTTGTTTAATGTTGTGTGTAGCTGACTGTTGTTCTTAGTTTAATGTTGTGTGTAGCTGACTGTTGTTCTTAGTTTAATGTTGTGTGTAGCTGACTGTTGTTCTTAGTTTAATGTTGTGTGTAGCTGACTGTTGTTCTTAGTTTAGTGTTGTGTGTAGCTGACTGTTGTTCTTAGTTTAATGTTGTGTGTAGCTGACTGTTGTTCTTAGTTTAATGTTGTGTGTAGCTGACTGTTGTTCTTAGTTTAATGTTGCGTGTAGCTGACTGTTGTTCTTAGTTTAATGTTGTGTGTAGCTGACTGTTGTTCTTAGTTTAGTGTTGCCTGTAGCTGACTGTTGTTCTTAGTTTAATGTTGTGTGTAGCTGACTGTTGTTCTTAGTTTAGTGTTACGTGTAGCTGACAGTTGTTCTTAGTTTAATGTTGTGTGTAGCTGACTGTTGTTCTTAGTTTAATGTTGTGTGTAGCTGACTGTTGTTCTTAGTTTAATGTTGTGTGTAGCTGACTGTTCTTAGTTTAATGTTGTGTGTAGCTGACTGTTGTTCTTAGTTTAGTGTTGTGTGTAGCTGACTGTTGTTCTTAGTTTAGTGTTGTGTGTAGCTGACTGTTGTTCTTAGTTTAATGTTGTGTGTAGCTGACTGTTGTTCTTAGTTTAGTGTTGTGTGTAGCTGACTGTTGTTCTTAGTTTAATGTTGTGTGTAGCTGACTGTTGTTCTTAGTTTAGTGTTGTGTGTAGCTGACTGTTGTTCTTAGTTTAATGTTGTGTGTAGCTGACTGTTGTTCTTAGTTATGTGTTGTGTGTAGCTGACTGTTGTTCTTAGTTTAGTGTTGCGTGTAGCTGACTGTTGTTCTTAGTTTAGTGTTGTGTGTAGCTGACTGTTGTTCTTTGTTATGTGTTGTGTGTAGCTGACTGTTGTTCTTAGTTATGTGTTGTGTGTAGCTGACTGTTGTTCTTTGTTATGTGTTGTGTGTAGCTGACTGTTGTTCTTAGTTATGTGTTGTGTGTAGCTAACTGTGGTTTATCATTGCTTCTCTTGTGTTTCAGTTCTATGTGAAGATCCTGAGAGAGGCTGATCTGGAGACATTGAGGAAACTCTCCGTAGATGGATATGACAGTTTACTAATTCAGCACAATGTGAGTGTGTATGACATGTTATCTCTGTGTCTTTCTATCCCATCCTCGATAATCTCCAGGGTATATGTTCTGATAAATCTCCACTATACCCTGGATGCATCTACGGCTAGGTGATTTTATTACCTTCCTTGGTTGGCTTTTTATCCAATCAGGTGTCTACGCTTGGAAGTTGAGCGTACCAATCACAACTCACTTTCACTTTTTAAATCATCTAACCGATTAAACTTAGCAACATAATAATATATTGCTGCAGAGGTACTCTGAAAGAGGTAGAAGGAGTTCTTGCATATATTTTCGTAAGGTTTCAGACCTGTCAATTTGTCTGTATGTTTTTCCCCCAAATCTGAGTCACAATGCGAACAAACTTTCGCGGCTGCGACCTCTATCTTTGTTGACACTGGCAAGCTCGGTTGTAAACCTGGCTTATCTGATTGGCTATTGTGAGTATGTGGAGCAGCAAAGGGAGGTAATAAAATCATCTGCTCAAGCCATAGATGCATCCAGGGTATAGTGGAGATTTATCGGAACATATACCCTGGAGATTATCGAGGATGTTTCTGTCCATGCATCATCACATACCTTTCTGAGATTAAAATAGTTTATGGCTCTGATTCAGTTTCCATTTCTGTCACTGGGTGGTCCAAGTAACAAGAAAAGTGCTGTTTTTCTGTTTTAAAAGCGCATATAGTATCTGTTCATTGCTCTTTCAGTATCGTGACACTTACATCTATGCCTGTGGGAATGAAACAGATGATGTACTCAAGTTTACAAACTGGCTGCCAGAATTCCAGGTAATAATTATATTGTATCATATATGAAAAACATTTAAATCATGTAGATTGTAATATCGTATTTTAAAGCAATTTTGACATGTACAAAGTTTGTGACAAATATTTTATAGAATACTAATGTTGTATTCTCATTTCAGAAAAATGTCATCTTAATTCATAAACACATCCGTAATTCTGACAAGATCATGGTTGAGAAGTTGTTGTCTGACACAGAGAAGTCTCCAGACATGCTGGTCAACGCCAGGGACAAGGTGGAGCAACAGCAGCTAAAGCCAATTACTGAAATAAGGGGATCCCAGCGTGAATTCTAAATTAGAAATAACTCTGTGTTAGAACTGGGACTTGTGTCTCGAGGCTGCTCTGGGTGTTGCCAGGGTTGAGGTTGTCTGTAGTGTGTCGAGGTTAACTCTGGGTGTTGCCAGGGTTGAGGTTGTCTGTAGTGTGTTGAGGTTAACTCTGGGTGTTGCCAGGGTTGAGGTTGTCTGTCTGTTAGTGTGTCAGGGTTGAGGTCTGTAGTGTGTCGAGGCCACTCTGGGTGGGTGTTGCCAGGGTTGAGGCCTGTAGTGTGTCGAGGTTAACTCTGGGTGTTGCCAGGGTTGAGGTTGTCTGTAGTGTGTCGAGGTTAACTCTGGGTGTTGCCAGGGTTGAGGTTGTCTGTAGTGTGTCGAGGTTAACTCTGGGTGTTGCCAGGGTTGAGGTTGTCTGTAGTGTGTCGAGGTTAACTCTGGGTGTTGCCAGGATTGAGGTTTCTGTAGTGTGTCGAGGTTAACTCTGGGTGTTGCCAGGGGTTGAGGTTGTCTGTAGTGTGTGTGAGGTTAACTCTGGGTGTTGCCAGGGTTGAGGTTGTCTGTAGTGTGTCGAGGTTAACTCTGGGTGTTGCCAGGGTTGAGGTTGTCTGTAGTGTGTCGAGGTTAACTCTGGGTGTTGCCAGGGTTGAGGTTGTCTGTAGTGTGTCGAGGTTAACTCTGGGTGTTGCCAGGGTTGAGGTTGTCTGTAGTGTGTCGAGGTTAACTCTGGGTGTTGCCAGGGTTGAGGTTGTCTGTAGTGTGTCGAGGTTAACTCTGGGTGTTGCCAGGGTTGAGGTTGTCTGTAGTGTGTCGAGGAGTTAACACTCTGTAGGTCGAGGCCAACTTGCCAGGGTTGAGGTTGAGGTCTGTAGTGTGTCGAGGTTAACTCTGGGTGTTGCCAGGGTTGAGGTTGTCTGTAGTGTGTCGAGGTTAACTCTGGGTGTTGCCAGGGTTGAGGTTGTCTGTAGTGTGTCAAGGTTAACTCTGGGTGTTGCCAGGGTTGAGGTTGTCTGTAGTGTGTCGAGGTTAACTCTGGGTGTTGCCAGGGTTGAGGTTGTCTGTAGTGTGTCAAGGTTAACTCTGGGTGTAACTCTGGGTGTTGCCAGGGGTTGAGGGTTGAGGTCTGTAGTGTGTCGAGGTTAACTCTGGGTGTTGCCAGGGTTGAGGTTGTCTGTAGTGTGTGTCGAGGCCACTCTGGGTGTTGCCAGGGTTGAGGTTGTCTGTAGTGTGTCGAGGTTAACTCTGGGTGTTGCCAGGGTTGAGGTTGTCTGTAGTGTGTCGAGGCCAACTCTGGGTGTTGCCAGGGTTGAGGTTGTCTGTAGTGTGTCGAGGTTAACTCTGGGTGTTGCCAGGGTTGAGGTTGTCTGTAGTGTGTCGAGGCCAACTCTGGGTGTTGCCAGGGTTGAGGTTATCTGTAGTGTGTCGAGGTTAACTCTGGGTGTTGCCAGGGTTGAGGTTGTCTGTAGTGTGTCGAGGCCAACTCTGGGTGTTGCCAGGGTTGAGGTTGTCTGTAGTGTGTCGAGGTTAACTCTGGGTGTTGCCAGGATTGAGGTTGTCTGTAGTGTGTCAAGGTCACTCTGGGTGTTGCCAGGGTTGAGGTTGTGTCTGTGTGTGTGTCGAGAGTTAACTCTGGGTGTGCCACCAGGGTTGAGGTTGTCTGTAGTGTGTCAAGGCCGCTCTGGGTGTTGCCAGGATTGAGGTTGTCTGTAGTGTGTCGAGGCCACTCTGGGTGTTGCCAGGGTTGATATTGTCTGTAGTGTGTCGAGGCCATGTTGGGTGTTGCCAGGGTTGAGGTTATCTGTAGTGTGTCGAGGTTAACTCTGGGTGTTGCCAGGGTTGAGGTTGTCTGTAGTGTGTCGAGACCATGTTGGGTGTTGCCAGGGTTGAGGTTGTCTGTAGTGTGTCGAGGTTAACTCTGGGTGTTGCCAGGGTTGAGGTTGTCCAGGGTTGAGGTTGTCTGTAGTGTGTCGAGGCTAACTCTGGGTGTTGCCAGGGTTGAGGTTGTCTGTAGTGTGTCAAGGTTAACTCTGGGTGTTGCCAGGGTTGAGGTTGTCTGTAGTGTGTCGAGGTTAACTCTGGGTGTTGCCAGGGTTGAGGTTGTCTGTAGTGTGTCGAGACCATGTTGGGTGTTGCCAGGGTTGAGGTTGTCTGTAGTGTGTCGAGGTTAACTCTGGGTGTTGCCAGGGTTGAGGTTGTCTGTAGTGTGTCGAGGTTAACTCTGGGTGTTGCCAGGATTGAGGTCTGTAGTGTGTCGAGGCTAACTCGGGGAGTTGCGAGGGTTGATGTTGTCAGTAGTGTGTCGAGGTTAACTCTGGGTGTTGCCAGGATTGAGGTTGTCTGTAGTGTGTCAATGTCACTCTAGGTGTCGCCAGGGTTGAGGTCTGTAGTGTGTCGAGGTTAATTCTGGGTGTTGCCAGGATTGATGTTGTCTGTAGTGTGTCAATGCCGCTCTGGGTGTTGCCAGGATTGAGGTTGTCTGTAGTGTGTCGAGGCCACTCTGGGTGTTGCCAGGGTTGATATTGTCTGTAGTGTGTCGAGGCCATGTTGGGTGTTGCCAGGGTTGAGGTTATCTGTAGTGTGTAGAGGTTAACTCTGGGTGTTGCCAGGGTTGATGTTGTCTGTAGTGTGTCGAGGCCATGTTGGGTGTTGCCAGGGTTGAGGTTATCTGTAATGTGTAGAGGTTAACTCTGGGTGTTGTCAGGGTTGAGGTTGTCTGTAGTGTGTCGAGGTTAACTCTGGGTGTTGCCAGGGTTGAGGTTGTCTGTAGTGTGTCGAGGTTAACTCTGAGTGTTGCCATTGTTGAGGTTGTCTGTAGTGTGTCGAGGCCACTCTGGGTGTTGCCAGGGTTGAGGTTGTCTGTAGTGTGTTGAGGTTAACTCTAGGTGTTGCCAGGGTTGAGGTTGTCTGTAGTGTGTCAATGCCGCTCTGGGTGTTGCCAGGATTGAGGTTGTCTGTAGTGTGTCGAGGCCACTCTGGGTGTTGCCAGGGTTGATATTGTCTGTAGTGTGTCGAGGCCATGTTGGGTGTTGCCAGGGTTGAGGTTATCTGTAGTGTGTAGAGGTTAACTCTGGGTGTTGCCAGGGTTGATGTTGTCTGTAGTGTGTCGAGGCCATGTTGGGTGTTGCCAGGGTTGAGGTTATCTGTAGTGTGTCGAGGTTAACTCTGGGTGTTGCCAGGGTTGAAGTTGTCTGTAGTGTGTCGAGGTTAACTCTGGGTGTTGCCAGGGTTGAGGTTGTCTGTAGTGTGTCGAGACCATGTTGGGTGTTGCCAGGGTTGAGGTTGTCTGTAGTGTGTCAAGGTTAACTCTGGGTGTTTCCAGGGTTGAGGTTGTCTGTAGTGTGTCGAGGCTAACTCTGGGTGTTGCCAGGATTGAGGTTGTCTGTAGTGTGTCAATGTCACTCTGGGTGTTGCCAGGGTTGAGGTCTGTAGTGTGTCGAGGTTAACTCTGGGTGTTGCCAGGGTTGAGGTTGTCTGTAGTGTGTCGAGGTTAACTCTGGGTGTTGCCAGGGTTGAGGTTGTCTGTAGTGTGTCGAGGTTAACTCTGGGTGTTGCCAGGGTTGAGGTTGTCTGTAGTGTGTCGAGGTTAACTCTGGGTGTTGCCAGGGTTGAGGTTGTCTGTAGTGTGTCGAGGTTAACTCTGGGTGTTGCCAGGATTGAGGTTGTCTGTAGTGTGTCAAGGTCACTCTGGGTGTTGCCAGGGTTGAGGTTGTCTGTAGTGTGTCGAGGTTAACTCTGGGTGTTGCCAGGGTTGAGGTTGTCTGTAGTGTGTCGAGGTTAACTCTGGGTGTTGCCAGGGTTGAGGTTGTCTGTAGTGTGTCGAGGTTAACTCTGGGTGTTGCCAGGGTTGAGGTTGTCTGTAGTGTGTCGAGGTTAACTCTGGGTGTTGCCAGGATTGAGGTTGTCTGTAGTGTGTCGAGGCTAACTCGGGGAGTTGCGAGGGTTGATGTTGTCTGTAGTGTGTCGAGGTTAACTCTGGGTGTTGCCAGGAGGTTGAGGTTGTCTGTAGTGTGTCGAGGTTAGGACTCTGGGTGTTAATTCTGGGGTTGAGGTCTGTAGTGTGTCGATGCCGCTCTGGGTGTTGCCAGGATTGAGGTTGTCTGTAGTGTGTCAATGGGTTAACTCTGGGTGTTGCCAGGGTTGAGGTTGTCTGTAGTGTGTCGAGGCCAACTCTGGGTGTTGCCAGGGTTGAGGTTGTCTGTAGTGTGTCGAGGCCAACTCTGGGTGTTGCCAGGGTTGAGGTTGTCTGTAGTGTGTCGAGGTTAACTCTGGGTGTTGCCAGGGTTGAGGTTGTCTGTAGTGTGTCGAGGTTAACTCTGGGTGTTGCCAGGGTTGAGGTTGTCTGTAGTGTGTCGAGGTTAACTCTGGGTGTTGCCAGGGTTGAGGTTGTCTGTAGTGTGTCGAGGTTAACTCTGAGTGTTGCCATTGTTGAGGTTGTCTGTAGTGTGTCGAGGCCACTCTGGGTGTTGCCAGGGTTGAGGTTGTCTGTAGTGTGTCGAGGTTAACTCTAGGTGTTGCCAGGGTTGAGGTTGTCTGTAGTGTGTCAATGCCGCTCTGGGTGTTGCCAGGATTGAGGTTGTCTGTAGTGTGTCGAGGCCACTCTGGGTGTTGCCAGGGTTGATATTGTCTGTAGTGTGTCGAGGCCATGTTGGGTGTTGCCAGGGTTGAGGTTATCTGTAGTGTGTAGAGGTTAACTCTGGGTGTTGCCAGGGTTGAGGTTGTCTGTAGTGTGTCGAGGCCATGTTGGGTGTTGCCAGGGTTGAGGTTATCTGTAGTGTGTCGAGGTTAACTCTGGGTGTTGCCAGGGTTGAGGTTGTCTGTAGTGTGTCGAGGTTAACTCTGGGTGTTGCCAGGGTTGAGGTTGTCTGTAGTGTGTCGAGGTTAACTCTGGGTGTTGCCAGGGTTGAGGTTGTCTGTAGTGTGTCAAGGTTAACTCTGGGTGTTGCCAGGGTTGAGGTTGTCTGTAGTGTGTCGAGGGCTAACTCTGGGTGTTGCCAGGGTTGAGGTTGTCTGTAGTGTGTCAATGTCACTCTGGGTGTTGCCAGGGTTGAGGTCTGTAGTGTGTCGAGGTTAACTCTGGGTGTTGCCAGGGTTGAGGTTGTCTGTAGTGTGTCGAGGTTAACTCTGGGTGTTGCCAGGGTTGAGGTTGTCTGTAGTGTGTCGAGGTTAACTCTGGGTGTTGCCAGGGTTGAGGTTGTCTGTAGTGTGTCGAGGTTAACTCTGGGTGTTGCCAGGGTTGAGGTTGTCTGTAGTGTGTCGAGGTTAACTCTGGGTGTTGCCAGGGTTGAGGTTGTCTGTAGTGTGTCGAGGCCAACTCTGGGTGTTGCCAGGGTTGAGGTTATCTGTAGTGTGTCGAGGTTAACTCTGGGTGTTGCCAGGGTTGAGGTTGTCTGTAGTGTGTCGAGGTTAACTCTGGGTGTTGCCAGGGTTGAGGTTGTCTGTAGTGTGTCGAGGTTAACTCTGGGTGTTGCCAGGGTTGAGGTTGAGGTTGTCTGTAGTGTGTTGAGGTGTCTGTCTGGGTGAGGTTAACCAGGGTTGAGGTTGTCTGTAGTGTGTCGAGGTTAACTCTGGGTGTTGCCAGGGTTGAGGTTGTCTGTAGTGTGTCGAGGTTAACTCTAACCTGGGTGTTGCCAGGGTTGAGGTTGTCTGTAGTGTTGTCTGTAGAGGTTAACTCTGGGTGTTGCCAGGGTTGAGGTTGTCTGTAGTGTGTCGAGGCCATGTTGGGTGTTGCCAGGGTTGAGGTTGTCTGTAGTGTGTCGAGGTTAACTCTGGGTGTTGCCAGGGTTGAGGTTGTCTGTAGTGTGTCGAGGTTAACTCTGGGTGTTGCCAGGGTTGAGGTTGTCTGTAGTGTGTCGAGGTTAACTCTGGGTGCTGCCAGGGGTGTTGAGGTTGTCTGTAGTGTGTCAAGGTTAACTCTGGGTGTTGCCAGGGTTGAGGTTGTCTGTAGTGTGTCGAGGCCACTCTGGGTGTTGCCAGGGTTGAGGTTGTCTGTAGTGTGTCGAGGTTAACTCTGGGTGTTGCCAGGGTTGAGGTTGTCTGTAGTGTGTCGAGGCCATGTTGGGTGTTGCCAGGGTTGAGGTTATCTGTAGTGTGTCAGAGGTTAACTCTGGGTGTTGCCAGGGTTGAGGTTGGTGTTGCCAGGGTTGAGGTTGTAGTGTGTCGAGGTTAACTCTGGGTGTTGCCAGGGTTGAGGTTGTCTGTAGTGTGTCGAGGTTAACTCTGGGTGTTGCCAGGGTTGAGGTTGTCTGTAGTGTGTCGAGGCCACTCTGGGTGTTGCCAGGGTTGAGGTTGTCTGTAGTGTGTCGAGGTTAACTCTAGGTGTTGCCAGGGTTGAGGTTGTCTGTAGTGTGTCAATGCCGCTCTGGGTGTTGCCAGGATTGAGGTTGTCTGTAGTGTGTCGAGGCCACTCTGGGTGTTGCCAGGGTTGATATTGTCTGTAGTGTGTCGAGGCCATGTCTGGGTGTTGCCAGGGTTGAGGTTATCTGTAGTGTGTAGAGGTTAACTCTGGGTGTTGCCAGGGTTGATGTTGTCTGTAGTGTGTCGAGGCCATGTTGGGTGTTGCCAGGGTTGAGGTTATCTGTAGTGTGTCGAGGTTAACTCTGGGTGTTGCCAGGGTTGAGGTTGTCTGTAGTGTGTCGAGGTTAACTCTGGGTGTTGCCAGGGTTGAGGTTGTCTGTAGTGTGTCGAGGTTAACTCTGGGTGTTGCCAGGGTTGAGGTTGTCTGTAGTGTGTCGAGGTTAACTCTGGGTGTTGCCAGGGTTGAGGTTGTCTGTAGTGTGTCGAGGCTAACTCTGGGTGTTGCCAGGATTGAGGTTGTCTGTAGTGTGTCAATGTCACTCTGGGTGTTGCCAGGGTTGAGGTCTGTAGTGTGTCGAGGTTAACTCTGGGTGTTGCCAGGGTTGAGGTTGTCTGTAGTGTGTCAAGGCAACTCTGGGTGTTGCCAGGGTTGAGGTTGTCTGTAGTGTGTCGAGGTTAACTCTGGGTGTTGCCAGGGTTGAGGTTGTCTGTAGTGTGTCGAGAGGCCAACTCTGGGTGTTGCCAGGGTTGAGGTTGTCTGTAGTGTGTCGAGGTTAACTCTGGGTGTTGCCAGGGTTGAGTTGTGTCTGTAGTGTGTCGAGGTTAACATGTGTGGGTGTTGCCAGGGTTGAGGTTGTCTGTAGTGTGTCGAGGTTAACTCTGGGTGTTGCCAGGGTTGAGGTTGTCTGTAGTGTGTCGAGGCCATGTTCTGGGTGTTGCCAGGGTTGAGGTTGTCTGTAGTGTGTCGAGGTTAACTCTGGGTGTTGCCAGGGTTGAGGTTGTCTGTAGTGTGTCGAGGTTAACTCTGGGTGAGGTTGCCAGGATTGAGGTGCCAGGGTGAGGTCTGTAGTGTGTCGAGGTTAACTCTGGGTGTTGCCAGGGTTGAGGTTGTCTGTAGTGTGTCGAGGTTAACTCTGGGTGTTGCCAGGATTGAGGTTGTCTGTAGTGTGTCAATGTCACTCTGGGTGTTGCCAGGGTTGAGGTTGTCTGTAGTGTGTCGAGGTTAACTCTGGGTGTTGCCAGGATTGAGGTTGTCTGTAGTGTGTCAAGGTTAACTCTGGGTGTTGCCAGGGTTGAGGTTGTCTGTAGTGTGTCAAGGCCACTCTGGGTGTTGCCAGGGTTGAGGTTGTCTGTAGTGTGTCGAGGCCACTCTGGGTGTTGCCAGGGTTGAGGTTGTCTGTAGTGTGTCGAGGTTAACTCTGGGTGTTGCCAGGGTTGAGGTTGTCTGTAGTGTGTCGAGGTTAACTCTGGGTGTTGCCAGGGTTGAGGTTGTCTGTAGTGTGTCGAGGTTAACTCTGGGTGTTGCCAGGGTTGAGGTTGTCTGTAGTGTGTCGAGGTTAACTCTGGGTGTTGCCAGGGTTGAGGTTGTCTGTAGTGTGTCGAGGCCACTCTGGGTGTTGCCAGGGTTGAGGTTGTCTGTAGTGTGTCGAGGTTAACTCTGGGTGTTTCCAGGGTTGAGGTTGTCTGTAGTGTGTCGAGGTTAACTCTGGGTGTTGCCAGGGTTGAGGTTGTCTGTAGTGTGTCGAGGTTAACTCTGGGTGTTGCCAGGGTTGAGGTCTGTAGTGTGTCGAGGTTAACTCTGGGTGTTGCCAGGGTTGAGGTTGTCTGTAGTGTGTCGAGGTTAACTCTGGGTGTTGCCAGGGTTGAGGTTGTCTGTAGTGTGTCGAACTCTGGGTGTTGCCAGGGTTGAGGTTGTCTGTAGTGTGTCGAGGCTAACTCTGGGTGTTGCCAGGGTTGAGGTTGTCTGTAGTGTGTCAGGTTAACTCTGGGTGTTGCCAGGGTTGAGGTTGTCTGTAGTGTGTCAAGGTCAACTCTGGGTGTTGCCAGGGTTGAGGTTGTCTGTAGTGTGTCGAGGCCACGTTGGGTGTTGCCAGGGTTGAGGTTGTCTGTAGTGTGTCGAGGCCACTCTGGTTCTGGGTGCCAGGGTTGAGGTTGTCTGTAGTGTGTCGAGGTTAACTCTGGGTGTTGCCAGGGTTGAGGTTGTCTGTAGTGTGTCATGAGGTTAACTCTGGGTGTTGCCAGGGTTGAGGTTGTCTGTAGTGTGTCGAGGTTAACTCAAGGTTGTCTGTAGTGTGTCTGTCGCTCTGGGTGTTGCCAGGGTTGAGGTTGTCTGTAGTGTGTCGAGGTTAATACTGGGTGTTGCCAGGGTTGAGGTTTTCTGTAGTGTGTCAATGCCGCTCTGGGTGTTGCCAGGGTTGATGTTGTCTGTAGTGTGTCGAGGTTAACTCTGGGTGTTGCCAGGGTTGAAGTTGTCTGTAGTGTGTCGAGGTTAACTCTGGGTGTTGCCAGGATTGAGGTTGTCTGTGTTGTGTTGAGGTTAATTCTGGGTGTTGCCAGGGTTGAGGTTGTCTGTAGTGTGTCGAGGTTAACTCTGGGCGGTGCCAGGGTTGGTGTTGTCTGTAGTGTGTCGAGGTTAACTCTGGGTGTTGCCAGGGTTGAGGTTGTCTGTAGTGTGTCGAGATTAACTCTGGGTGTTGCCAGCATTGAGGTTGTCTGTAGTGTGTCGAGGCCACTCTGGGTGTTGCCAGGGTTGAGGTCTGTAGTGTGTTGAGGTTAACTCTGGGTGTTGCCAGGGTTGAGATTGTCTGTAGTGTGTCGAGGTTAACTCTGGGTGTTGCCAGGGTTGAGGTTGTCTGTAGTGTGTCGAGGTTAACTCTGGGTGTTGCCAGGGTTGAGGTTGTCTGTAGTGTGTCGAGGCTAACTCTGGGTGTTGCCAGGATTGAGGTTGTCTGTAGTGTGTTGAGGTTAACTCTGGGTGTTGCCAGGGTTGAGGTCTGTAGTGTGTTGAGGTTAACTCTGGGTGTTGCCAGGGTTGAGGTCTGTAGTGTGTTGAGGTTAACTCTGGGTGTTGCCAGGGTTGATGTTGTCTGTAGTGTGTCGAGGTTAACTCTGGGTGTTGCCAGGATTGAGGTTGTCTGTAGTGTGTCGAGGCCACTCTGGGTGTTGCCAGGATTGATGTTGTCTGTAGTGTGTCGATGCCACTCTGGGTGTTGCCAGGGTTGATGTTGTCTGTAGTGTGTCGAGGTTAACTCTGGGTGTTGCCAGGATTGAGGTTGTCTATTGTGTGTGTGACTGTTTAATATAGTCTTTAGCTGATATTTCCAGGAAGGAATTTTTTAAACTTGGTGAGAGTATTGCATGTATATCACCCTGCAGGCAGTGACATGATGTTGATGTTCTGTATATGTTTCAGGGCGGTCGGTCTTCTCTACATCTTGCTGTGTTGTTCGAGAACTTTGATATCGCCAAGTATCTAATGTCAATGCCAGCAATTGACCTAAATGTCAAAGACTGTGTAAGTTGAAGATGTAATTAGCTACTTATTTGCTACATTTATATTGTTTAGTATAATTGTACTCTGGTACTTATCTTTAACACACATCCACATCATATCTCACTTAATTAAACCGATGTCACTGTGACAGAACATATCTCACTTAATTAGACCGATGTCACTGTGACAGAGCATATCTCACGTAATTAGACTGATGTCACTGTGACAGAACATATCTCACTTAATTAGACCGATGTCACTATGACAGAGCATATCTCACTTAATTAGATTGATGTCACTATGACAGAGCATATCTCACTTAATTAGACTGATGTCACTGTGACAGAACATATCTCACTTAATTAGATCGATGTCACTATGACAGAGCATATCTCACGTAATTAGACTGACATCACTGTGACAGAGCATATCTCACGTAATTAGACTGACGTCACTGTGACAGAACATATGTCACGTAATTAGACTGACGTCACTGTGACAGAACATATCTTCAGCTTGACAAGGTGAGCTATGAGGAAGCTGTGTACAAGTCGGGTGTGTTATGTTGCAGCATCTACGCAGTGTGTACCACTACGCATGTTCCGTTCCTGGAGCCGAGGGGATCCGCCTTGCCCTCATACAGAGGGGTGTTGACATGGAGGCTCTTGATACGGTGAGAACTTCCTGAGAATGAAACTATATACAGTAACGAGCATATGCATGTGTTTATGTTTAAGCTTTTTGTGGATAAAACCTCTCTAGGAGCAGCTGAAGCCCAGGGACATCCTGACAAACTATGACAGAATTATGAATGTTTATTTTTGTGACTATTGTGACTATTATCAAATTGTGACTCAATTACTAATTGCCACTCAAAGATTTGATCATGGTAATAAAGTTTACTTTTACAAATATACAGTAAAGGCTCCAGTATGAAGTTATGACACATGCAGACCTTTCAGCCATGTGTGATGTATATATGACAGAGTATGTTTTTCTGCCTGGTACCCATGTAGTGCTGGAAGACGGGGGAGGACTACCGGAGTGGGAAGGGGGAGGTCCCAGCATGGGTTGCAACATGCAGGATGGTGAGTTACTTAGTCAAGTATGTTTCTTTCTTTTTAGCACAACAAATAATATTAGATATGTTATGACTAAAATTACTTTTGGTTCATGGTGTTCTGTCTCTGGTGTTTGGTGTTGAGTGTCTATAAGATGATGAATGTTGTATGCCGTCCTTGAATGCCTCATCAGGGTGTAGAACAACAAATCTAAAAGCCTTACCCATGTCACATTTTATGTTCACACTGTCACAAGACTGATTCCAAAGATATAAAAGCATAATGCACAATAAAATGTAGATTACTATAATCACTGAAGCTTGAATCTTCTTCCAGGCCAAGTTCAGCATGGCGCTGGAGCTACAGTGTGTGGACAAGGTAACATACAGTGTGTCACACACCAACATACAGTGTGTCACACACCAACATACAGTGTGTCACACACCAACATACAGTGTGCCACACAACAACATACAGTCTGTCACAGCAACATTCAGTGTGCCACACACCAACATACAGTGTCTCACACACCAACATAGTGTGTCTCACACACAACATACAGTGTGTCACACACCAACATACAGTGTCTCACACACCAACATACAGTGTCTCACACACAACATACAGTGTGTCACACACCAAAATACAGTGTGCCACACAACAACATACAGTGTCTTACACACAACATACAGTGTGCCACACACCAACATACAGTGTCTCACACACAACATACAGTGTGCCACACACCAACATACAGTGTGCCACACACCAACATACAGTGTGCCACACACCAACATACAGTGTGCCACACACCAACATACAGTGTGCCACACACCAACATACAGTGTGCCACACAGCAACATACAGTGTCTCACACACCAACATACAGTGTGCCACACAACAACATACAGTCTGTCACAGCAACATTCAGTGTGCCACACACCAACATACAGTGTCTCACACACCAACATAGTGTGCCACACAGCAACATACAGTGTCTCACTCACCAACATACAGTGTGTCACACAGCAACATAGTGTGTCACAGCAACATACAATGTGTCACGCAGCTACATGCAGTCTGTCACAGCAACATATAGTGTGTCCGATTGCAGCATACGGTGTGTCACATAGAAATATACAGTGTGATGCACTAATGTACAGTGTGTCACACTGCAGCATACAGTGTGTCACACAACATCATACAGTGTCACACAGCAACATACAGTTTGTCACACAACAACATACAGTGTGTCACACAGGAACATACAGTGTCACACAGCAACATACAGTGTGTCACACAGGAACATACAGTGTGTCACATAACAACATACAGAGTCTCACACACCAACATACAGTGTCACACATCAAGATACAGTGTGTTACATAACAACATACAGTGTCACACACCAACATACAGTCTCACACATCAAGATACAGTGTGTCACACAACAACATACATTGTGTCACACAGCAACATAATGTTTTCTCTATGAGAGAGATGGCTCAAACAGTTTTATCTAGATGAGCGTTATCCTTTTCCATGTAACCTCTCTTGCCAGATTCCAACAACAACACTCAAGTAGTGGTTTGTGCCAGCTTGTGTTGCATGTATATTAACAGCAATAATATTAAAGGAAAACGTGAACCTGTAAGGTCTCTTATGGAGAAATGCTTAAACTGACTCAGCACAGTGTTATCTAGCTTCTTCAGATGATAACAGTGTTTTATATATACAGCTGTTCTGTGTGTTCTCATTGATTTCGCACATCAAAGCCCTGGTGTGTGAATCCTGTATGTCCCTACTGTTTGTTGTTTAGTATGAGGAACTGAGGCGGATTGTGAAGAACAAGAGGAAAGGTCTCACTGAGTTCACGGATGCCATGAAGCACTTCAAGGCACACCCTGTGGTGGACTTTCCAAAACTTGTAAGTCAACCTGTCAGTCATTGTTACCTACACCAGCATGTGGGGGTCAGTCATTGTTACCTGTGCCAACACCTGGATTCAGTCATTGTTACCTGTGCCAACACCTTGGGTCAGTCATTGTTACCTGCTCCAACACCTGGGGTCAGTCATTGTTACCTTTGCCAACACCTTGGGTCAGTGATTGTTACCTACTCCAACACCTCAGGTCAGTGATTGTTACCTGCTCCAACACCTCAGGTCAGTGATTGCTACCTGCTCCAACACATGGGGACAGTAATTGTTACCTGCTCCAACACCTTGGGTCAGTCATTGTTACCTTTGCCAACACCTTGGGTCAGTCATTGTTACCTGCTCCAACACCTGGGGTCAGTGATTGTTACCTGCTCCAACACCTGGGGTCAGTCATTGTTACCTGTTCCAACACCTGGGGTCAGTCATTGTTACCTGCTCCAACACCTGGGTCAGTCAACACCTGGGGTCACCTGTCATCACCTGGGGTCAGTCATTGTTACCTGCTCCAACACCTGGGGTCAGTAATTGTTACCTGCTCCAACACCTTGGGTCAGTCATTGTTACCTTTGCCAACACCTCAGGTCAGTGATTGTTACCTGCTCCAACAACTGGCATTATTTATTGTTACTAGTGTCAACACCAGGGATTTAACATTATTTCCAGTGTCATGACAAATGAGTGTTTGTGACATATGACATTTCTATTACACATCCCAGTTTGTGTAGGGGCAGATGCATTTTGGCATAATTGGCACAAATATGTTTGTCTGATGACAAGTTACTTTCAGGACAATCAACATACATCTGTTCGTGTTCAGACCTAGTGCATTTCAGTGAGTGACACAGGTGTTGGGACCAGGTGTGTTTGTGTTGGGAACAGGTGTGTTTGTATTGGGAACAGGTGTGTTTATGTTGGGAACAGGTGTGTTTATGTTGGGAACAGGTGTGTTTGTATTGGGAACAGGTGTGTTTGTATTGGGAACAGGTGTGTTTATGTTGGGAACAGGTGTGTTTATGTTGGGAACAGGTGTGTTTGTATTGGGAACAGGTGTGTTTGTGTTGGGACCAGGTGTGTTTGTGTTGGGACCAGGTGCGTTTGTGTTTGGAACAGGGTTGTTGGGACTGTGTTTTTGTTTGGACCAGGGGTATTAGCATCAGAACCAGGTGTTTTGGTGAGTTTCATGTGTTTGTGTTGGCAGCTGGTACCTCTCATGCCTGACTACAGGGATCTCATCTTCCTGGCTCTGGAACACAACAAACCAGAGGTCGCAGAGAGACTGGCCAACCTCGGGGCTGACCTCACACAGACAGAAGTGGTCAGTTTATACTGCAGCTTGACATATTCCACCTTAGATGTACATGTATCATGAAGCCTTCAGTCGATACGCTGTTAGAAAACTGCATTTATCAGACAGTCCTAGATCACATGGCAATATCATCTTCATGTAATCCTCTAACAAACACCGATCCAGAGAAATGCATAACAATTTTCTTGTGACAGTAAACTTTTCAACTTTCAGTATGTGATTGACTTTGAGCCAGAGACGGAGTCTGAGGATGATGAATCTAATGTTGGTTCGAATGGTCGACCGCCGGTCAGTGCAGAGATTGAGATGACTCCTGCTGACCGAGCCCGATACCTGGGACTGCCCAGTCTAGCTGAACGCATGGACAAGAAGAGGGACTGGCAACTCCGTGACAAGGGCGACAGCCACCCCACCGTGATGGAGCAGCTGAATCAACAGTTTCCATCCATCTTTGTAACCCAGATGTTCTGATCTTCCTACCATCTTCATTATGTGATCTTCCCTCCATCTTTGTCATGTGATCTTCCATCCATCTTTGTAACCCAGATGTTCTGATCTTCCTACCATCTTCATTATGTGATCTTCCCTCCATCTTTGTCATGTGATCTTCCATCCATCTTTGTAACCCAGATGTTCTGATCTTCCTACCATCTTCATTATGTGATCTTCCCTCCATCTTTGTCGTGTGATCTTCCCTCCATCTTTGTCATGTCATGTGTCTTCCCTCCATTTTGTCATGTCATGTGTCTTCCCTCCATTTTGTCATTTCATGTGATCTTCCCTCCATTTTGTCATGTCATGTGATCTTCCCTCCATCTTTGTCATGTGTTTGTCATGTGATCTTCCCTCCATCTTTGTCATGTGATTTTTCCTCCATCTTTGTCATGTGATCTTGCCTCCATCTTTGTCATGTCATGTGATCTTCACTCTAATTTTGTCATCCCAGGGACAAACTACAGGCAACCAAGTGTTGTCATCTTCCAACTACAGGCAATTGTTGTAACTGTGATAACCTAAACTGTTGTTTGTTTATTGTTACAAGTTGTGAAATCTGTGATATTATATACTTATATCCGTTTCTGTGATGTGACATGGTCACAGTTTCACCAGGGATGATATCAGTCCCCGACTCATTGGTGATCTCAGTATCAGCAGCAGCTGGAGTTGCTTGGTGGAGACATGTTTGAGTTGGTCAATATTTACCATAGCAGAAGGTATTTAAGAGAATAAATTGGACTGTGACTCTCTTTAACTGTTTTACATGTCAACCACCCTGATTGTTTTCTTGAAGGATATTTAAATCAAATGACAATAAATGATGACTGTGTCATGGTTCTCTCACTTAAAATGTTATTCATACTTTTAGTTTGATCAGTGTTTGACCCTTCAGAAATGAAAAGGCGCATGTTTTTCCAAGAAAGTAGTTATTCTGCGCGCCAAAGCAATAGCGGTCCTTACTCAATGGGGAACAAGGCAAATAAATGCAATGACCCAAAAATAAATTGCTTCAGTGTCGAACTCATGTTTCGCGTATTTCAGACATTAGCACACTCATCTTGATATAGTCGACAGAGTAACCTCCCATGTACTGTGATACGCGGAACAGGAAATCCGTGTTTCAGCCACTATCAAATATCAGACTATTATTTGTGAATATCAGACTATGAATATGAGCATAAAATGCGTTCTTTTCCTCCATATAAAATATGACATCCACAAACATTACATCTGAATGTAATTTATAATGTAATTCTTTTAATTCAAGAAAAAGTCACATGGTTAATGTATTTTTGGGTTCGATGGAGATTAGAAACAAGGAGTTTTGCTTAATAAATTAAACGTCCATACCCAAAACCTGTATTACGTTGTTGAAGTCCTTGCAGCTCAGCTGGTTTGTACAACTGGAAGCTCTAACTCTCATTTATGTGGACATGAAGCAATCAAGCCCAGAACGCTTCTGTGTATTTCCGTGGGCAGGAAAAAGTGATATTTAGGAGACGTGCCAACGAGTTATGCCACTGTAAATTCATCGTTATCTTACTGCCTGAGTGCCGTTTGACGGAGACTTAACGGCTTAAGGCACCCACGGCGAATCTACAAACTCTTCAACTGAAGTTTAATGTGTTTCCAGTATATGCGCATGTTGGGTGCATGTGGTGCTACTTAGAGATGTGGTGGTTTTTGTGCAGTGCATGCACCGTATATTTGCTTGGTTACAGATTCCCAAGTCATGCCTGAACAGAAAACACACATCCTTATTTCAACCGTAGCCTTCTTAACGAATTTCCTGTTAACAAATATCCGTTTTATTTAATCACTCCCTATAGGGGTCATTTATGTTTATGTAGATGTACAGTGGTCGTCCTTATACAGGGGGTTTCGGGATAAGGGGGTTTCACAATGTTTCGGTTTCCACCGAACTGAGGCTGATTATCAGGATGTCAATTTGATATATAGTCCTCAATAGTGCGTCCACAAGAAGAAATAACATTTCGTAGAACTCGTCAGATGTACTGGAGATGAAATAATTATAAACTGATGATACTATTTTGGTTAGTGAGTGCTGTGTTACTCCGCTGATGACAGCAATATATCACTAGTGAATAGTGTGTGGCTGATGACAGCAATATATCACTAGTGAATAGTGTGTGGCTGATGACAGCAATATATCACTAGTGAATAGTGTGTGGCTGATTTTGTTTTGGAGTAGTAACCAGCGCGTGGTTGGTGGCTTGGGATACGAACCGTTAGAGTATTAACATGATTACCATGACATCCCGAGCACATTAGAGTCGACTCTCACAAGTACTTGGTGATAGAACTGTGTTACCGGAAATACATGTTACACTTAAAGCAAAACAGCTTCAGAGACGGCTAACTATTGAAAAAATGTATATTTGTAACCTCCCTACAAAGGTAACCGACTGGGGTGGATAGCCTCGGATGAGACGCGCCCGGCTTTGTGGGGATTCAGCGATGGTATCCAGAAACCGTGGGGTCGTTTCGGGTGACTTGACAAATCACGTGGACAGGCTCGGTGGCTTGATGGATCACGTGGACAGCCTCGGTGGCTTGATGGATCACGTGGACAGGCTTGATGGATCACGTGGACAGGCTCGGTGGCTTAACGGGTCACGAGGAATTTGAGGTAGTGCCATCTGACATCGAGAGTGTTTGTCGATTTTGACTTGACGATCTTCTGAAACCGGAACCTACACTGTCAGGTTTTCTGATGGTGCCAGCACGCAGTGCATGTTGTCATTGTGGTCGCTCCCAGCAATAACTGGCACATCTGTAGGATCACGTGAAGATTCCGAACGGAACTGGCCCTCAGCAACCCATGCTTGTCGTGAGAGGCAATAAACGGGATCGGGTGGTCAGGCTCGCTGACTTGCTTCATACAAGTTGTAGATGGACGCTCATGAAGTCAGTCAGTGGATCGTCTGGTACAGACACGATTACTTACAGACCACCGCCATATATTGGTCCATGGAACGTTAGTCAACAAACAAACAATCAGCCAACACGCTGGCGGGCCCAGTAACGCTTCAGCATGAAGGATCAGTACTGAATATACAGTCCTCGACACTTACCACAAATAATGATGATTGCATTCTGACACGGAACGCTGTCTAAGTGCTTGATTTATACAAGAAAATAATTTGTTGAAACTTGGTAATTCAAATGTTAAGCCTTCTGACCCTGTCAGAAACCTCCTGACGGATCTGGCGATGTCTTGTTGATTTAAGGTTTAACGATTTCACACTCAGTACTTTTTCGAATATTTATTACCCGATAATTGTGCGATATTAGATTTATATCAGGAGTAAATCTCCCCGCACACCTTCCTGTACAGACGACCCTTCAGTACACCACTACAGAAATATTTCATGGCGTCTTCCAGTGATCAAATAGCGCCGTCTCCCGGCATTTGGACACGCAGAGGTATTCCACAAGTGTGCCTTTCTCATTAACACCTGTGACTTTGAGGGATAATCCACGATTATCGTTTCTGACCAACTTAGGTGACCCCAGGATAAGATAAGTGTGAAAGGGTGGGGGAAAACCAGATCATTTGGTGTAGATGTGCCATTACTGGCTGACTGCTGCTAAGCTCTGTAACATGAACGTGGTATGTAAGGAGTGTACGTGTCCATCTACCACAACTTCAGCAACCTTGAACTGACACCCCCACTACCCGCCACCACCCCCCTCCCTTCCCAACACACCCACAAAAAACCCACACTCACGCACAAACATACGCACACACATACAAACACACACACATACAAACACACATACAAACACGCACACACACAAACATACGCACGCACGCACACACATAATAGAAATGAACAAACAGTAGAAATATAGGAACACAGTCAAATGGAGACCAAGTATGCACAATGAGATGTAGGAACAGTAGGCACGATCAGATGAAGGATGAATAGGCACAATCAGATGAAGGATGAATAGGCACAGTGGAGGTGTAGGAACAGTAGGTACAATCAGATGACCGAGGAACAGTAATCACAAAGAGATGCAGACCTAGTAGGCACAATGAGATTAGAAACAGTTGGCATAATGAGATGAAAGCCCAGTAGATATATAAGAAGAGTAGGCACAAAACGATGGAGACCCAGTATATACACTGGGATGAAAGCCCAGTAGGCATGCACAAAGTGTATTCTAAAAGCACAGAAGGCACATACTGAGGCATAATGAGAGTAGGCAGGGTATGGAAACATAAAATGTAGGCACAAAGCGATGTAGAGAAAGTAGGCACACCGACATGTAGGCCAAGTGTGTATGCTGCCTGCAGTGTGGCACAACGAAAGGTATAGACACCATAAATACCAAGCCCCGATGTAGATACAATTAGATGTGGAGACAGGAGCACAATAAGATGAAACCCACAGCGGCGCCTTTCTTTAATTCACTGGATGGTACTTGAAGTAGAAACGAGATAGTACCGTTCTCGGAGAACATGAACTATAGGCTCATCTTGTCTTTTGAAAATCGACTTGTTCTCCAAACGAGGAGATCAATAGTCGAAATAATAAAAAAGCCGAACCTAGAAATCTCTTAAAAGTATTGTCGGTCGAGTTTAATCTTTAAAAAATGAAAGGAGCGAGCTGCTTGGAGAGTTCTTTGAATGACAAATCAAAGCGTTAAGGTCTCACAATATCGATCTTCCTGGGAGTATTTTATTGATGGGATGTGGTAACAAGCGAAGAAAGGAAACTTCTCTAAATTTTAATTTCATTCTACATTTGTAAAATGGTGGTTTCGTAAGCCAATACTTTAAAGAAAAATATCCTGCTGATCAAGATAAATGACGTCAGCCCTCCTGTGAAACTATTTGTCCGTCAGGCCAGTTTATTCAAGCTGAGACTAGCTGTTCAGTTACCCTCTATTTCTCACACCGTGCTGAACACAGCAAGCTGAGACTAGCTGTTCAGTTACCCTCTATCTCTCACACCGTGCTGAACACAGCAAGCTGAGACTAGCTGTTCAGTTACCCTCTATCTCTCACACCGTGCTGAACACAGCAAGCTGAGACTAGCTGTTCAGTTACCCTCTATTTCTCACACCGTGCTGAACACAGCAAGCTGAGATTAGCTGTTCAGTTACCCTCTATCTCTCACACCGTGCTGAACACAGATCTGTTGTGGGTTCTCGTTACAAAGAGGCTACTATTTCAACAGCGTAGCATGGCAACATCGCCTCCTCGAGTGTTGTGTATCCTCGGGTGGTGGTGTATCCTCGGGTGGTGGTGTATCCTCGGGTGTGGTGTATCCTCGGGTGGTAGTGTATCCTCGGGTGGTGGTGTATCCTCGGGTGTGGTGTATCCTCGAGTGGTAGTGTATCCTCGGGTGTTGTGTATCCTCGGGTGGTGGTGTATCCTCGGGTGTGGTGTATCCTCGGGTGGTAGTGTATCCTCGGGTGGTGTTGTATATCCTTGGGTGGTGTTGTATCCTCGGGTGTTGTGTATCCTCGGGTGGTGATGTCTCCTCGGGTGGTGGTGTATCCTCGGGTGTGGTTTATCCTCGGATGGTGATGTATCCTCAAGTGGTAGTGTATCCTCAGGTGGTGTGGTGTATCCTCGGGTGGTGGTGTATCCTCATGTGTGGTGCATCTTCGAGTGTGGTGTATCCTCGGGTGGTGGTGTATCCTCATGTGTGGTATATCTTCGAGTGTGGTGTATCCTCGGGTGGTGGTGTATCCTCGGGTGTGGTGTATCCTCGGGTGGTGGTGTATCCTCGGTGAGTGGTGTATCCTCGGGTGGTGGTGGGTGGTGGTGTATCGTCGGGTGGTGGTGTATCCTCATGTGTGGTGTATCTTCGAGTGTGGTGTATCCTCGGGTGGTGGTTTATCCTGGGGTGGTAGTGTATCCTCGGGTGGTAGTGTATCCGGGATAGCCGTATTTAGATGCTATTTTACGAAGTCACACCGATGCCAACGTATTTAGGTGGTATATGAAGGCTCAAGCATGGAATTCAGTGATAATCTCGTTTTTCAGTACAATCGGCGAACCCGTGTCTACAGGCGTAGATATTAACGGTTTGCAATAATGTGTGTTTTCGTCATTATTGGGCCAGCCATTTTCTACTCATGTTGAACCCGCCTGATGCACGTGCGAGGCAGTACGATACGTAAAGTTACGGAGATGAAACTCTCCAATGTCTCCTGCCTGTCGTTATCGACCTACAGAAGAGATTGTCGGGGAACGCCTGACCACATGTCTCTGGTGTCCTGGTGAACCAGAACATTACCGAGCTTTCACGGCCATCAAGATCAACCCAGTTAAACCCATTGGAATATCAGTGGGATCGCCATGTCCGGCAGCCGCC